CACAATCAACCAGATGTAAATACAATTGAGCGACAAACGTGCATGACTTTTGCAATGTTTGTCTTAAGTACCCTCAAAAATGTTCTCTTTTAAGTTTGCAGACGACATTTCTATGCACTTGTGTGCCTTATTGTTAGTACTATATGTCTTTGCCAACATGATATTATTCAAAGTTATCTGGTGGGCTGGTAATAAAGAGTATTTTTCTGTTCTATAAATGATTGAAGGAGACAGTTCAGCAAAGTTGGACAGCTTTGAAATAACTTTTGTTTTGCTAAAAAAAAATTAATGCAATAAAAAGAATACCCAAGTAGCCAACTTTGGGTGGGTATTGTTTCAAAAGTTTGCAGTGACTCACTCTGAAATACTTTCAAGAGGCACCCCCATTCACTCATTATTCATAAGTCACTTTGGTGTCAATCTTTTCCATCGATTAGCGTCAGGATTGTAGCTTACGCATTCAAGTAAAATCCTTTCAGTAACAAAACTGCAGTCTCACTCAGACCATCCAGTTGCCACCCAATCCTGTCCATCCCAGTGGAAACTTTTGCATTTGAATAAGTTGCATAAAAGTTTATTTGCTCTCGATTTCAATTTTGTCAGAGCGAGGAAGATACTTTGTCAGGAATCAGGAGGACGTGTTCCAGAATAAATAACACTATAAATTACACAAGTGTCAGAGTGATGATGGAAAGTTTTCAATAGAAACTATATATATCCGATGATAGCCGGTGGATGGATTACATTTGCTAATTAGGTTATGTAGCCTATTGATTCTGAAAATGTTGCCAAAATTATCTGGTAGAATATTTTTGGGCTTTATCTAATGGTTATTATATATGACACGAAGCGTGGGCTGCACTTCATTTTTGGTGTTGACACACTCACTTTGGAAAGCACCCATCTTTATGGCCGGCTGGTGTTTTTTTTTTTTTTGCTTAATGTAGATGGAACTCAACAGATACTCAACCTGTTTACATGGTCTGGCCTTATCGCCCATCACCCCTCCCCTTTTGGCCAGGCTAATTAGACAGTTGCTGGCACCGATAATGGGGCTTAGATAAATTCCACCATGTCCTATCTGGCCGGTGGTGAGATTTATGTGACATTTAAACTTGAATTCTGCTGACTCTGGCTCTGGTGGGCAAATAAAGCTGGGAAAATGTGCGGGATAGAGCCTGTTTGCCTAATATATGGTCTTGGCCATTATAATTGCAAATTGGACTTTTGGGTTTAGTTTTAACTAGACATATACTTTATACAAGTGTGAACAATGGCTGGAAAAGACTTTAAATTAAATTTGTAAAAATTCAATTATCAGATTAATCCTTTTCCGTTTTATTCTTAAGCCGGCGTAAAACAGGAATATTACTCATACGCCCGGACGGCACATGTTCGGAATCGCTCTTCTGCTTAATACGACGCCCAGATTATAAATGGCAAAGTAATAACAGTTTAAAATTATTGAAATGTCAGTAGCAGCGATTTATGCATAACTGCATGGCCAATAAAACGTATGAAATCCGCCGTTAAAATGTCAGCGACGATTATTGGCCTCCAGTGAGCTCGATAATTAAGCGACGAGAGTGCCGAGAGCAGCCGTATTAAAAGTAAATTGTTGTGTTAAAGCCTTTTCCAGTCGAGTGTTGGGTGGGGACAGCTCCGACACATCATTAAAAATGTGGCAAGCGCAGCAAAAAAATAAGAAGAGTTCCTGCGGCAGACAGCCAGACACATAGGCTGAGGAAGGCAGCGGCAGTCAGACAGACAGAGTGGCAGGCAGTCAGCACATTATAGGTAATCACAATATTTATGTGCGTTTAACGAGACATTCGGCAGGCGAAATTGTTGAAACAAATCATTGACAGCTGGCACAGCAGCCACACATTTGCGGCGGTCTTCATTGTGTGTTTTGAAACTTTTTGTGCCTTATTTTTTAAGACATTTGCTTGCTTGTTTGCCTGCTTTTTTGCCATTTATTGCTGAGGACCTTGCCACAATAAATCTGATTTTTCTGCTCCTTGAAGAAGCCATCTCCCCTGAGTCGAGGCTTGGGTACATTAAGTTGACAAACAATGGCAGTAATAACAAACTGGATGCGAATTGTGCAAATTGTTTCTAGTATACATGATTAAATCCTCATTTTGTTTTGAATATTTCAACTTTAATTTTTTTAATGATTTTAACAAGGCTGTAGTTCTCTTTTATTTGTAAGATATTTTTTGTCTAATTTGCATTTCAATGTGGCCTATTGTTGCAAAGCAATTAGCCATTTTCAGGGACATGCTGCAAAAACATTGTACAAAAATTGTCAGAGTTTTTATTGCAAAATGCGATATCCTTAAAAGAATGTAAATCACGCTGCCTATCAAGCCGAGCAGGAGCATTGTGACCCAATTTCTCAAACGATTTAACTTGAACAAATAAATTAGATACATTTATTTACAACGGGAGGAGAACAACGAAAAGAAGCAACTCGAAGATTCAATTAGGCATATTGGAGTGGCAACAAATCAGAGGCACATTCAGCTGAAGATGATAAACTTTTGGGTAGAAGTTTCCGGCAATGGCACCGCCACCGGCACCAGTGCAGCATACAAAAAATAGACTTTGGGGAAATGGGAAAACTCTGGACGGGGGAGGAGTGATAGACAGCCTGAAGACGGTCTGTCTGGGTATCTTTATTGCAATCTGTATCTTTTTTTTTGGGCAGAGTCGTGGGTGTATAATAGACAACTTCCTGTTATTGCTGGCCCAGCCCCACTCGGGCCCATCCCAACTCGGGCCGAACTGTCGAATCAATGGCATGTAAAATTTGTAGACTGTAGTAACCCCGAGAAGTCTCCTAATCAATGGCGGAGTTTAGGATTTTGGTTCTGTTTTTGTCCTCTTTTTATGGCCGTGACACACGTAAAGTTGCGATTAGCCATGCACTTCTATAAAGGGGAGTATGCCCTCGATAAGAACGTGACGGATGGGTATGAGAATGGGTATTCGCTATTGTACCATTCTGAAGTTTAAAGATACCATGCACGACCAGGAGCCGGCATAAGCAGCTTCTAAGCAAATAGACAACAGAGGGAATAACATAATCAATGCATCAAAAGTGCCAGCCATTGGAAATTGAAATCATCGGGAGCTTTCGAAACCAAAGCTACAAATGCGATTTGCAATTTTACACGCACGTATCTCTGTGCAAATATGTATGCTCTAGTATTTGAAGAACTCTGAACGAGGAGTGGCGGGGTGGTGCTTGGCAAATAGCACTCAAACGTGATATGGCTGGCACTTCCATTGCATACATCTGGGAGGGCTGTCGAGCTGGGATCCTTACTCCAGGATTGCCTGATGTTTTTGACGTAAAATGGGTTGGGGAGTAAGTGAATATGATCTTATAGAAGCTGAAAGGGATTTCCAGTTCAATTCACACATCAGCCTTCCAAGAGAAGTTGCCAAGTCGGGTACCAGCTGCAGAGGTGAACTTCTATGTGAAGGACCTTTATATTTCCAGGCCAGAATCAAAACTTGGCCAAGTTTGCCTCTACTTCCTGCGATATTTATGCGCATTTTTCTGACCCAATAACAAGGACATGATTAGCTGGACCCCAAAGTTACAAGCTCGTGAAAATGCGAGGAGAGGGAGAAAGGAGACCCCGGCATATGTTGGCCGGATTGCATGTCAGCCGGGATTGCTGGCACGGCCGACCACCAGTCAACAACTTCATAAATATGTCGAGCATGTGCAGATGGGAGTGTATCGGATGGCAGCTAACCCAGCCCCCGAGGACCCTCTGGCAGAGATTTGTGCCACATCATCGCTCCGAGCTGACCATTTTTACGCTTCCGTCTAACAACAAAATGGCATTAAACGCAGATCAATCACAATCAACACTGCTGACCCACATCCCGCACAAAGATACATGAGTTGCGGTCGTGGGGAGATTGACTCCGAGTTGGGAATAGAGTTGTCCCTTAGTGGGGTGAGTGGGTTCAGTCGGTTGAGTGGGTGGGTGCCTGCTCATAACTGACTTTCCTCTGACATTCATCTCCTCGCAGTTTGCCTTTTTTCACTTTCCGACCGAGTTGAAAAGTTTTTCTATTTACTTGACATTCTGTGTGCCTCGCCCGTGCCCGCTATTTTGGCAACTTCCGCAAACGCCAAGGACAACAAATGAGGCTGGCGAAGACTCAAGTTTTACTTCTTCGAGAAGTACACTTGTTCAACTTTATCTTGCCTCAATTTCGCTATTAATTGGCAAACACCATTGAAGCCGCTGTTCTCTGTTCTGGATCCAGCCAAGAGATGCTGTGGTTTGGGCCGTCTTCCCCCAGAGAATTGGTCAGTGTAGCCGACACTTTGAAACAAATTGTCAACTATAGACGGTATATACTATATATATTCCAACTAAATTTAATTTCCAGTCAAGCTATTGGGACTTTGTGTTGGCTTGTTCATGCACATCGGTCTGAGGTATGGCTGTGGTTTGTACCACTCGGAGAACATTTATTTGCACAGCTGCACACACTTTCGTTGGCTATTTAAATGGGTCAAAATACTGGTGAAATATTTTGTAAAGTTACCTATGATACTAGTCTTGATATTATATTTCTAACAAAGTAGTTTAATAACACAGTTGCCTTGGCATTTTTGAATTTAATAAAGCCTCTACCAGCAGACAAGTGACAAACTAAATTTTAATTAAATTTTGTACCATTCTTTTGTTTCTGGAATTACTAACAATTAGTTGACACTTTAAACTTGGCAAAATCGTATGTGTAACATGCACAATTTGGAAATCCAAAAAAGTAAATTAATTGCCAAGCTAAGCCTTTGCAATGGCCGGCGTGATTTCACATTCAAATGTTAAGATTAATCACTGTCAACTAAATGCGAACAAATATATAAATTGAATAGATACTTAGAGCTAAGAGGGAGACACATAGCCGTATAGTCCAAGGCATGGCGCTTAGCAATTGCGCAATCGTATCGCGATACTCACTCAAGCTACTAGCTGCGACATGAATTGCAATTGCAATTCCAATTGAATATTGTGCACTTCGAGTGGAAATCGAAATTGAAATTACAGTTTGAATTCAAATTGAAATTGAGTTCGGTGTTAAAAAAAATGTGTTAAACAAGCCCGCTGCCAATTGGCCAGCAATCCGGGACAACTGCAATTTGCACACCGATTTGTGCAACAAATTTCACTCGAGGCGTTAGCTGCGATGAGCCTCGTCATGCAAACGCGATCCGCAGGCTTGTATCTTGTCTGGCGAGTATCTGGAAGATGCACACGCGATGGCTGGGCAGTCTGCTGCCTAATTGAGTCGCCAAATTGATTACACTTTTTTCCGAATTGACGTAATTTGATTGCAACCTTTTTGGGCCACGACTTGTTAATGTAATGCCATTATTGGTTGTTGTCCTATTCCCAGTCACAGTTCTTACACCCGCACTTAACTCTGGTACGCGTTGGCTTTTGCCAACATTTACGCACTTGCCAACAAAAATTCTTTTGGCCACGCAGCGTTTAAATATTTCGCGTCTGGTTCATACAAAATTTCGCATTGAACTGAATTTCTGTGTGGCATCGTCGTGCGGATTTTCCTGTTTGGGCTGCTGTTGCTGCCAGTGTTGCTGGTGTTGCTGCTGCTATCGTTGCTTCTGGTGGGCCAACACCGACGACACGACGGCAACCGACACACGAGCCTGATTTCACTTCACAAAGCTTAGCCGGCTTCTTTCGCCGACAACCTTTCAACCAAAACAGCTGTTCTTTGTTTATGTTGCCGGACTCGTTTGCCTCACGTGCAACACACGTTGTCAACATGCTGTGTATCGCTTTGTTGTTCAGTCGCTGTTGCCATTGCACTTGACCAAGCCTTGCGGATGTGTGGCTCAAGTGTTCAGTTAATATTTATAACGAGTTGGCCAATTAATTATTGTTAGTACGAGCTAGCAACATGTTGCTGCCGGCAAGCAAAAGCTTAAGGTTGCTCAACATTTTTATGGCCAGGAGCTTTCTTATCACACTTTTTTGTAGGGTTCTTAAAAATTAATTGTAAAATATGATGTATATATTTTTAATTGTAGTTTGTTAGTAATTTAAATGCCTTTTAAGCTTATTGCTTTTTGAGTTGTCTTCCCCGTATTTATGATTTTAATTGATTCAACTGAAGTGATGTAAAAAATGGCGCTGACCCAAATACCATTTTCTTTTATTTTTCATTTCATTCAGTTTTCTGCACTGACTGTGAGCCAAAACAAAAGAGCCAGCCAGAACCCTGCTGCTGATCTTGTTTGTGTTTAAAAAATGACACAAAAAACATACATAAATGCCCTGCTCAGAATTCATGACAAAAAGCCATCAAAATGCCGAAAATAATCATCAACAATCAAAGTCGAGTAAGAGCAATTTTTATTAAAACAAAATAAAACAGAAAACAAAACAAAGCGACAGCAGCTGCATTTATGAAAAGGCCTGTTCGGAAACTCAATTCGAATCCCGAGAATCGAGAAATTTTGTTGGAAACTTTGTCAGCATCGCATAAATAAGCAAATTTATTTGTCTCATATCTGTAGCGGCAATTTATTTTATTGTATCATTTATTTATTGTGAACATTTTGTCATAAAGCACAAGGCAATTCTCGCCTGCGATGTCTCTCGTCATGTTTGTCTGGTTTTAAAATAAATAATCGCCAATAAATAGCTCTTGAATAAAATAAATAAAAGTGCCTTAAATTATTTACTTGCTTTAAACATAAATATGTGTAGATAACTCCTTAAATGAGCTCTACTCTTTCCGGTATTTTAATGTGAAATTCCTCATTCCAACTCAGAATAGAAAAATGAAAAGTGACGTATTTTGGGTGGGCAGTCTTGAAGAGACCCGATGACAGCGCTGAAGAATTTATGCGTCTGAAAACTGTAGCTGCAATGCTTGCTTGGCTTTTAATTGGTCGGGTCCGCAATTAAAATAAAACAAACGCCAGCGGAAACATTTCTGATTTTATGCGGCTTATAAATACTCAACAATTTGCTGGCGAATGACACGCGGTCAGCACTCATTTGATTTATCTGCGCCGCGGGCTAAACTTTCTTGGGTGATAAATTTCTTGGAAATGTTTCGGCCTTAAGCTGGTGTAGTGCTTGTGTAGTGCCACATCAAAATTTATGGTTGTGCCTAATGCTAATGACTAATATTCATTCCGAGTGGCTCACGTTTTAGACGGCCCCCTCGGCTCTTCTAATTTAGTTCGCATTTTGCAGCTAATCTGAGGCGACACTCGACAGATCGTTTGCCAGTCAGAGCCACAAATCAAGAGTCTCATTGAAGCAACTAGTTAGTGATGATTATAAACAAGTGTGGCTATATATCGGGATATGCCAACTCCAGCGTCAGGGCCATTCAGCATTGTGACAGCCTTTCATGGAGTCTCAGCAAATAAAGCCTGGCCTCCGACGGTTGCCACATAATGGATATTCGCAAGGAAACTCATTCGAAGGACATGCCAGGACTGCGGTCAACTGCAGGCTGCAGGCGGCGACACTGTCTGTCGTCGGCATTCATGGATGGCTTGTATCTATGCATACGACCGCTCTCACGCATTTTAAATAAGGTCATTTAGAGTAAACTATCGGGGCGGGCATTAAATTAAAAATTATCCAAACGGATAGCATCTTGTTCGTAATAACTTTGTTTGTGGCTTATCGCATGCAACAGATTGTCAGCAAAATTATCTGCTTGCAGAAATAGGATAATGCCTCATGCTGGGGCCCGCAGCCATCCGGCACACGCGTCGTATGCGCAATTTGCATAATGAGGACGGGCGGACATTCGGATATGAAGCAAGGAGTTAGTCATGCCCTGGGTTTTCTGTTTCAAGGCTCCGTCTCCGGGTGACCCAATTTTTAAAGGGCCCATCCGATTCGAGTCTTTATTAAGCCCTTGCCCCCTCTTCACTAGGCCGTATTTCTATTTTATGTCTTGAGTGTCTGTAACCTGAGGCTGAGCGGTCTATTTTCAGCAGGCCAGACATGGACTCCTGACTTCAGGCCTTAAAGCCACCGCGCCGGCAAGTCGGGTACTTAAGGATTCATCCTGCGTGGTCGTCCGTGTCGAATCATACGCCTCGGATGATACATTCGACACCCACATCCCCGACCTCCATCCGGGGACGGTTCAAAGGTAAATAATCGGATAAATATTTGTAATAATTTTTCGGGAGCGGTGTCGACGTGCTTTGAAGCACTTCCCAGGTCAGGCGGAGCATAAGTAGCAGCCGCAATCAACTGCAGCTCATTAGCATTTGATTTGGCATAAAATCAAACAAATATTTCCGGCAAAGCTGGCAAACATTGAACCGCAGTCTGTGGCCTTTGGTCTGCGTCATTGCCACTTGCGGTTAGTTGAGCGGCAAAAGGTAAACAAATTTTCGGGAAAGTCTTCTCATCTCACTGCACGGCATCTAATGAAACTCAGGTACTTGAGGTGTGAAATTCGACTTGATAAATGGATGTTCAATAGGCTTTAATATCTCTAGAGGAAAGTTCTGTCTTTGTTGCCATTTGTTTGGGTTTCCGCTCAGGAGTAACTTGCAAGCCCTGTAAGTTATATTAATGTTATTTTAAGGCAGATTTAAGAAACCAAATAATGTTTATCCTTGGCTTCAATTTCCTATAAAGAAGACCATCAATTTTGAGAAAGTCTGCTATTATTACTAAAATAATAGTACAAAAATGAGCAGCAAAGCAGGCCTTTAATCTTATTTGTACATGCTACAGACCAAAGGTAACACTATTTTAGAATTCAATTCAAGTTGGCCTTGCACAACACCTATCAACATTTTCTACCCTTTCTACTCATTTAAGATAAACCACCCGAAGCACATATATATTAGTGAAAAACTTTCAAAATACAGTTCAAACTTTTTTTTTGATTTGCGTTTTCTGGTAGAACACGAAACGATCGAAACTGGCTGAACTGGAACAGGCACTGGATAAGAAAGACCAGTGTATCCCGAGAATTGTTTCGTGATTTCGTGATCGGCCGGCGGTCCGATGAAAATGGTGCGCCCCAGTCGTCGCAAGGGGATCGAGGAGGTGTATGGCTCCAAGTTGGATCCCATACACCCGGCCAAGTCGATGGTGGTGTCACATATTGGAATGACCAAGACCGCCGCTTTGCGGGCCGAGCGAGCCATGGCGGGTGGTGCTGGGGGAGGCGGTGGTGCCGGGACCGGGGCCGCGGTGAATGGAACGATGAGCAACCGCCAGATGGAGTCTCGCACACAGCGTAGTTTCGTGACCGAAAACGACTACTACATCACCACGAATCTACCCCTGACGGCGGCCAACCTAAGGAACAGTGGAACACAGCCGTCGACATCCCAGATGATGCCCGGTCACGGCCACCACCAGCCGTCGCCCTACAACGCCATGTCCTCTAGGCGAAACTCCATGGCCAATAAGGCCAGTGCTCGTCACGCCCAGATGGCGAAGGTGCCCCACTTCACGTTACCCGAGAACAAGGTGAACAACAGTGTCTTTAGCTTGGCCAAGCCAAAGGATAGCCACCGCATGCATGGACACGGGAAAGCCACCTCCCAACGCGCCGCCTTTGGCATCGAGGATAACATGGACTTCTCGGACAAGGAGCTTATGGCGGCAGCCCCGAACCAGTGCAATAACCGTCGTCAGCACTCCCATGTCCATCAAATGCAACCAGGTATCTTGCCCCACTCGCATCCGACCCAGCATCAGCTCCACCAGCAGCAGTTGACCCACCACAGTAAGCATCAGTTACAGCCCCAACACCAGATACAGCAGATGCATCAGCACCACCACCACCACCACCAAGCGCACCACAGCCACAACTCGCATCAGAAGCACTCGCGTGGGCGGCAGCCGAATCCCACGAGCAAAGTGCACGTGAGTACCGCCGATGACGATGACGAGAAGGACGACGATCCAGAGGAGTTCTTCGAGTTGATCCGCCAGACCGTTCAAACGGCTGTAGGGGTATGTTTTGGTCTAGTTTTTGTTATACCTATAAAAAGGGTTATCTGGGTCTAATTCAGTTGATTATTTCTGATCATTATAACCTTACAAGTTTAGCTTTCATAGCTTTCTGTATAAATGTTAAGGTGCTTGAGTTTAAATTTTAATCTGGGGATCCTTATCGTTCCTTTTAGTAAAGGCTCTATTAGTTTTCATGGGATAATCTTTTTCATAACAAATTTATTATTATTACCCCACCTAGAACACCATCTCTGATGCTATGGTGAAAAGCTTCCGTGATCTGGGCCACAAGATCGATCGCTTCTTCGGGGAGCTCAAGCAGACCAACGAGAACTTGGATAAACTGCAAGAACATGTCACCGGCAGTAGGTTTCATAGTTTACTTATAGAATTATCATAAATCATAAAATTTCAGAGGTTATTTATTATGGAGAGGAGAACTCGAGGCACTTTAAATACTTGTGCATGAAATCCGAGTATGACAAGATGTTCTATCAGCATCAATACATGATGACCGGCAAGCCAACGCCGGAAATGGTGAACGCTTCGCAGCTGAACCTTTCGGCCGCGGACTCGGCCACCAAGAACCTGGGCTACAAGACGTCCCAGGTCATGAAGAATCCTACGGGAAAGGTCACCAAGAGTAAGAATAACACTAAAGCGACCACAAGCAGAGTAACCAAAAAAGACTTGATGGAAGCCCTGAAGGTTGGACCCTTCCACAGCACCCCTAAGTCCCATCAGGCGCAGCAATTGCTGACGACCCCATCTCCTATGCCTGATGCTCACAAGTCTTCCTCGGAGCAGAGCCTGAATGCCAAGTCCTCGGAGCTATGTATGCGCGAAGTACTGGGCCACATCCAGCGCTTCTGCACTCAGATGGAATTAAAAGACCTTAGCGGCAACGTCATGAATGATGCTCTCCCAAACCTGGATGACATAATGGTTCCCAAGAAGATGTCCAATTCTGGAATCGGCGATACTCCCGCCAAAACTTTGGTTCAAAAATTAGCCGACTGCCAGGTCGATAAGAAGGCAGACGATGCCGAGAACGACACCCCTGTGGATAGCATGGATGAGACCTATACCGAAATGGACGAGTTCCAGTTCTCCTCTGAAATATCGTCCTGCAGCGACGACGACGACTGCATGAAGTACGGAGCTGGGGATGTGACCACTCGGGCGCCACAAAAGTCGATCCGGAGACCCGTCAATGAGGGCGCCGGCGACGGCCAATAATGGAGACGCAACTGTAGCAACTATAATATGAAGCTTTTATCCTTTAACATACACAAAAACATACTACAATCCTTGAGACGGACACACAGGACGAATTATACCCTAGAAGCAGTCGAGATCACTAAAGAACATGCAAACTGCGTTTGCGTTATCCCGATTTGCTGTTCAAATCTTTGTTTAGAATGCACAAAATTATCCCATCGATATTGTAAAACCAAAAATAATTCATTTCGGCTTCGGACCTGGTTCTATAAAAATTAGCAAGGACCTTCCTAACGTCCGGCACACGCAGCTATTCGCGTTAAAGGGATGAACTTGAAACATAAAGACACGATGTTTTAGTTGAGAATAAATCAGAAATTGTAAAATCTTTGCGGAATCCAATTCCAAAAAGAAAAATTCGAGTTTTATTTTGAAATTTTTTAAGTATTTTAAACACACTAAATTCTTATTATTTTTAATTCACACTAAGATTAAAAGTAAATACAATAGCTTGAAGAAATCAAATAATTCCTGGAATATATTTAAAGGGTAAGTAGTTTATTTCTTTATATCATAATCATATACATAAAAACTGACCTATTTGCCCCCAACAAGTTCAATCCCAGCTAAGTAATGCTCATTGGTGTCACTAATAACTGAATATTATATTGACTGCAAAGCAAGCCACCTGAGCTGACACCAAAAACCGGGCAGGTGAGGGCTACTAGCGAGTCGAGTGGAAACTGAGGCCTAGCCACCCCCAACAAGCCCGACCCCGGGGCAACCTGCAGCTGCATTTTTATGGGCTTACAGCAGTCGCGGCTCAGTCAATTCTTCCGTGTCTGTGTTTTGGCCAAACAGTTGAGACGCGAACGTGGCCCGGAGGCAACACACTGCGGCTTTGTACCTCGGAATACAAAATTTGTGAAAAAATATCAGCCCATTTGTTACCAAAAAGTGATGTTTTAAAATTTAAATATTGATAAAAAGCTATCTTGTGTCGATTTTCCCAGGGGTGTGGAGGGCGAATGTGGCTGTAAAAAGTGACTGAATTTGTATTTTGATTGCCTTCTCTGTTGACATTAATTAAAATGTGTTATGCAAAAAACCGATTCGGCAACCCGGATGTGCGCTCTGCGAATGTCACAGCCCAAGGCCCGTGTGCCTGACCTTAGATTAAATGTCTCTCGAATTGAATGAAAATATTTTGAAACTGCAAGTGACAAAGTGCATATTGTATAAGCCATCGTGGCATATCCTTAGAGCTCTTCAAAGAGTTTGCAAACTGCCACCCCCTTAAAGGTGCAACCCGAAACTTTTCTTAGTGAGTCGGCTAATTGGAATGACCAATATTTGAACCCTTAGGGGTTGCGTTGCGTTACCCTCTGTACATATTTGGTTGGTTTATAATTATGGGAAAATGTACACTCGATGGGGCAAGCCAAAACCACTCAACACCGAGTGACAGTTTGAGCCAATAACCATAACAACCATCGGGTGGCCGGCCTAAGCCAAGTTAGTCAAAACAAAAGCCAAAACAGGTGCAAAACCTTGCCACATCAGTGTTCCGTGTTTCGAGCTGCGAGGGTGGGTCCCAAAGCACATATAAATAAAAAAGAGAAAAACTAAAAAATAAAACAAACCGAATAAAAAACCAATAGAACATAATTGCAACTTGGGGCACTGCAATGGTGCATCCGCTAACAGACGGGCTTACAAATCAGACTGATTGTTCGCCGAGAGTTGCGTACCTCACTGACCAAATATAAAAACGACAGCATTTAATTGACCCTAAAATCACTGAAGCATTCAGTTTGTAGTTTTTTGATTTTTTTTTTTTTTGCATTTTGCCTGTGAATCCGTGCTTGAAACCAAAAACTAACATATTACGGCCTAGATCGCCAGAGGGCCCAGTGCCGCGATGAGTGCGTGAATCTGTGGAACTATGTTATAAAGACTGTGTGTGCCTTAAAATAATGCTATTGATTTTTCTTTTAGAATCTAGAGTGAGAGAATATGAGAAAGAGAAATATTTTCCGCCGCATTACTTTGCACTGATAGTAGTCGTAGGGAAAATCACAAAGAGTCGACAATACAAGGCAAAAATGCAAAAGAGGAAACTGTGTCACGCCAAAGACTCTGGTCTCTTGTCTCTGGCTCTGGCCGGGCTCTGTGTTAGTGTGACAATTTTTAATGCGATTAAAGTGCAACACTCTCAACGCAGGCGGCAAATGGCAAATGGAAAATGGTTGAAGTGGCAAGGAAAAATGGCAAAAGCTAAAATTAAAATGTCCAGAAGTTCGCATAACGATTCAAAGCCCTGTCCAACAAGCACTTGCCGCCGAAACCGTCGCGTTCAATTCTCAAATTCCAATATTCTCTCTCTTCCAGAGTGCTCATAAAATGCTGCTAATTATCCCTAAATATTAAAAAAGAACTCTGAAGAACGATAAAATAAAAATTAAATTGAAAAACCATAAAGCTTCTGAAGAAGGGCCATGAGTTCGTGGCAGTGCGGTCCAAAAAAGCCATTACAGTTGGGTAAGTACTTTGTAAACGAAGCCAACAAGATATTCAATGGAATAAAAGACAATCGAACAATGAAGGCCACTTTTGGATGCCTAATATCTATTAATTACATTTTTAAGTAGACACTGCTCTCATGATTTTTCTCCTCAAGTTACGACATTTTAATGAGTTTTAGTCTCAATATATATCTTAATTTTTAATTTAAACATTTTCAGTTTTATTATGCCTCATTTTTACACTGTTCTGCCATGGCGCGGAGGTGACTTCTCCCACAAAGAAATCCGTACCCCTTCGCATTACCAAGCCGCAGCCCACAAGCCAACAGGCTAAGCCCAGCAGTATTACCACAAGAACTCCCACAACAGCTGCCTCCAGCACCACCGAAGATGGAGGTTCTAGCTCGTCGGACGGACTACTGGCCCCCCTTATTTCCTCCACGACGGAGGAAAGTGGCGGCAGTTCTGGATCCAGTGCTCCCACCGCCAGTCTGGTGCCCGAGATATGTCTCAACGGTCTCCAGATGTCCGTAAACAGTGCGGACGAGGGCACAGTAATCCGGAAACAAGAGGAGTTCGTTCAGATCATAGAGGGCGATGTCATGCTCAGTGTTCTGACCAAGGACCCCATTTCGGCCCTGTTTGTGATCAATCGAGTCAATCAGGCCAACATCATAATGGCAGACTTTGAAATTGGTAACAAAATTAAATAAAATTATTAACATTAAAAAATTTTTAATCACAAATACTAAATCATTTTTAAAGGAACACGCGCCATACATGTCGAGAACAGCAGCCTGGCCGAAAACATCCTTCTTCAGGAGGTTCAGTACCTACAGCAGTGCACCACGTATGCCATGGGCATATTCATGGACTTTGAGCTCTACAAACAGCTGGAGTCGGTTATCAAGGACCTTGAGTACAACATCTGGCCTATACCAGGTACCAGAGCTCATCTGTTCCCAAAAGTGGCCCACCTATTGCATCAAATGCCCTGGGGAGAGAAAATCGCCTCCGTGGAGATTGCCACCGAAACTCTAGAGATGTATAATGACTTCATGGAGGCTGCCCGCCAGGAGCACATGTGCCTGATGCACTTCAAGAGCGAGGAGAACGTCTACATCTTATTTGGCAACAAGGTGGCCAGTCACTTCAAGGAGAACGGAACCATATTCGCAGTGCCCACCGATCGAACGGATGATGAGTTTCTGGCGGGTGAGATTAGTTCGATATAACTCTAAACAGTATAATTTTTTATATCATTCTCCGTAGAACTGCCGAACCGAGCCTTTATCCTAATGGAGAATGAAATCGACCTTGGAACCACCGTGGAACTGGATCCTTCACCGACCACCCTGGACGAGGTGCTGATCGGGAAGAGCGTAGTGCCGTCGCGGGTGCTCAGCTTTGCCGGATCCATTATCGACCTAATGAACTGGCTCCGCGGCTCCCTGGCCAAGCACTGCAAGCGGGATGAGCAGTTGTACGTACTGGAGAGCTGCTTCAACTTCCTGAACTTCATCGAGGACTGGCGGACATCGGAGTTCCGGCAGATGCACGAGATTCCAGAGATCTTGGCCCTGCTGGCGATGCGCAAGCTGGGCACCGCCATGAACTTCCAGATGTACCAGAAGAAGGTTCTAACTCTGGGCAAGATCACTGGCGAGTCGCGGACTGAGCTGCGCGAAATCGCCTCCCAGAATTTTGTGACCAACGTCACCACCTACTATCACTACAACCGGGACAATGGCACCAGTCTGGAGCTGAAGACAAAGTTCGGCCAGGTCTTCAACTGCCAGTACAGTGCCGGAGACAACCGCAGGTATCCGTTCCTGTTCGACGGTGAGTCGGTGATGTTTTGGCGCATCAAGATGGACACCTGGGTGGCAACTGGGCTGACGGCCGCCATTCTCGGCCTGATAGCCACGCTGGCCATCCTGGTCTTCATAGTGGTGCGCATCTCCCTGGGGGATGTCTTCGAAGGCAACCCAGCCACCTCGATCCTGCTGCTCCTCTCGCTGATCCTGGTCTTCTGCTCCTTCGTCCCCTTTTCGATCGAGTACGTGGGCGAGCAGCGAAACTCGCATGTGACCTTCGAGGATGCCCAGACCTTGAACACCTTGTGCGCGGTGAGGGTATTCATCATGACCCTGGTGTACTGCTTCGTCTTCTCTCTGCTCCTCTGTCGCGCCATAATGCTGGCTTCCATTGGTTCCGAAGGAGGGTTCCTGTCCCACGTCAATGGCTATATCCAGGCGGTAATTTGCGCCTTCAGCGTGATTGTCCAGGTGGGCATGTCGGTGCAGCTTCTCGTCGTGATGCACGTGGCCTCGGAGGCGGTTTCCTGTGAGAACATCTATTACGGCAGGTGGTTGTGGGGGCTCGTGGCTTACGACTTTGTGCTTCTCTGCTGCGTCGGCGCCCTGATACCCTCGATTTACCGATCCCAGCGCAACTACCGCGAAGGAATCCTAATTGTTATCGGAGCAGTTCTCATCATGGTCATCTGGGTGGCCTGGATAGTGCTGTCCCTCTTTGGCGACGAATGGCGAGACGCTGCGATTCCCCTGGGACTCCAGGCGTCCGGATGGGCAGTGCTGGTGGGTATCCTGATACCCCGCACTTTCCTCATCGTAAGGGGCATCGAGCGGTCGGATATAGCTCAGGCGCTGCCCTCGCTCACCTCGCTGGCGTTTGCCCAAAATAATCAGTATTCCTCGGAACAGGTAGGACTATCTTTCTAATAAGACCTGAAATAAATTAAATTTCTTTTCAATTTTGATTCAGAGCGTCTACGAGTGTGTGAATCCCGCCATGCGCCACTGTTCCCAGGAGGAGGTCAATCATCAGTCGCCCAGCGAGATCCCCACGTTGCCCCTGCGAGGCGGCGGGCCGAGGCGCCAGCAATTCTTTGCCAATCTCCGCCAGGCCAACGCCAACATAAACCCACAACGCCCTCCTCCCCGCCCACATCAGAGTCCTTCTCGTTCTTCGGTGTCCTCGCTGCCGCCCTCACCCGAAAACAACAAGATCACGCGCTTCTAGCCAGAGTGCCACTGGGTATTGATGCCTTTCTAGTCAAAGATCTGAAAAAAGAACCCTACTTTTAAACTGTCCATCTATTCTTTGGAACTTGAGATAATAATAAATCGATAAACATTTTAAAAATAATTGAAATTGGTGTGCTTCATTAATTATTCTCCAGTTACCCTATTTTTTTATCCATTTTCATAAAAAATATTAAAACATGTAGGGCTCATCAAATTATGGAGTGCCACCGAAGCCGCTCCTGTCACGAATCGGGACTTTCCCGGGCTATGGTTTGTGCCTCTGCTAAGTGGAAAAAGCTTATAAAGCTCCATGCTCCTTCTCTCTCTGATGGACAATAACTCTAATTGGCTGGGCAAACACGTGATGGCGTAAACACCATCAGCAAGCCGGGCGAAAAGAAATTCATCTAAGGCGGCAACCACAACAACAACAAGGACGACGACGACAATCACAGGACTCAATATCCTTGTGCGTCACGCGACATTGGTAGTACGTTTGTTTGGCCTTGGACAGGGGCGGAGTTGTGCGTGCTGGAGAGTTGGGAGCCGAGGGATCGGGGGAGTGCTGAAATAGAAAAGTGGGTGTGGGAGATGTAGGTGTTGGGGCTAGGACGCTGTTAATCGGTAAATGGGGGACGCTGACGTCAGTTTGGCACTGGCCGGGCTCGAACATTGACCGGGTACATGGACAAATGCGCAACAAGATATGGCATCCAGCCTGAAAGGCCGGCTGGGAACCGACGAGGTTGCCGCAAACCACCGACTACACGCGACCATTTCGAGTGGCGCCGATTTCGTTGACAATGCCACGCGCCAAGCATTATAGAGGGCGTTGGATAGAAGGGCGAGGTCGAATCCATGCTCTAACCTCCATAAAGTTATGCTTTAACATGTAATCTCGAGCCCCGAAGTACCCCTCCCTTAAGTTTTCGGGTTTCCGGAAAATGTATGGCATACTTTTTGGGGCACGGGACGGAAAAAGCGCTTTGTTTTTTGCTTTTCGCGCATTTCCATGCACTGGCCGTCGGCATAATTTGCACTTCATTTGCCGACAGAAGAACCGAGCACACAAAAAGGAAATGTCTTTGGCCGCCAGGGACAAGGATAAGGATTTGCCGGTGGGTGGCTCTGATTGCTCAGCGGCGATAGCGCTGCGAAATGAGTTTTTCCTTCCGCCGTTCTCGAGTTTATTTGTATGGCGGCCGCGTTCTCTGTCCTTGCGTATGTTTTGGCATAATTTTCAGCCCTGTTGTTCGGTGCTTGGTTTTTGTAATTAAATTTTCGCTTCTACACAAGATTACAAAATATTTAAATGGATTTTTTTCACCAGGTTCTTCTCTCCCTGGCAGACCTCCATAACTTCTCCCACAATTAGCCGTGTTAAGAACCGTATAATCATGAGCATCCTCCAAGGACACCGGGCTGAAGTGCGTCTGGAAGTGGGAGTGACACTTGGCTGTCAAAAGCTGTGCTACGTGACATTATTAGCAATGCAGTCCTGCCGCAATATTCCGTACATTCGTCCTTGCCTCCTTGGCGTGCCGCCGCCGGCAACATCTACGGTTTGGGAAGGAGTGCCGGAGCGGGTGTCTCATGATTTATGACTATGACAGAACTAATGATGCCACATTCGTTAGATGGCAGGAGTGCGCCAGTGGCAATGGCACGGGGATATCATTATATTCCCATATATATCCACGTCTGCTCTGGTATGCTTTTCTCGACACAAAGTTTCACGTTTGACGCATTCGACACACGCCGAAGATAGCCGAACGTTTTGCAAAACAAATCACAAGAATGGCTGCCACTTGTAAACTTCAGCTTGTAGTTCAATCTGCCGCAGGAAAAGTTTCTGTTTTGTCGGGGCATGTCATAAAAACTCACCCACTTACCCCATCGCCTTTGCCGATGAATGATTCAACACAGTATCCATGGATTCAGTGACGACATCAGCGGCAAACACCCCATTGGCTCCCCGGCCGGTAAAAATCCGTCAGAATCCTAGGGCCTAGGGAAAAAACATAACGTGTTTGTACACTATAATTATACAAAATATCTTACAGATAATATAAAAAAGTAAACCAAAACAAAGAAACATAAAGGTTAATTGACAAAATAAGTATGTCTTCAACATATTTTAATATGAAATGTTTCCAAAATATCGCAGCCCTATAAAGTAAAGTAAACCTTATATTTTCAAAAAAAATTCTTATTGTGCAGGCCAAGTTTCTCGAACACTTCGTTTAAGAATGCGTATCTGCCCTGGCATGTCGCCAAATGTGCGCCACATCCTGCCACCCTGACGGCACTTGCCATTTGCCTATATTAGTCATGCGGATCGAAAAAGACATGTGACGCTCGGAATCCCACCCACTCCGGGAACTCCGGCTCTACCCCATCCGCCTCACTCTTCCAGCCCATGACTTACAGCAAGCTTTTACTATGCGGGGACGTCAGTGGCTGTCACTGTTTTACAACTACAACATGCTCTCTTGCGGTAAGAGCGGGTTGAGCGGGTCTTTTCGCCACCCGTCCACCCACACCACCCACCTTGCCACGCGGTAGCGCAGATAGCGGCAAAGCCAAAACAAAAAGCTTTTCATTCATCAAAAGTAATCAGGCGCGAGCAACAAAGACAGATGATGCGGCAGGACCGTGGGCGGGAAAGGAACGGTATGCTTTGGATAGAGTTTGCGCCATTTGGCGACTCGTGGAGCTATTTTTTGCCTATTTCATGGCCTGGCTCTTTGCTATTTTGGTTGGACATATTCGCGGGCCAACTTGACGAAGCTTCTATTTCTGTGCATTGGCTTTTCATATGCGGTTGTTGCTTTTTCCCATTCTTGTTGTTGTTTTTTTCACTTTTTTTTCATTTTTCGACTTCTTCAATTGCGCTTCAGGGTTCATTCATGAAATTTGACAAGCTGACTCGACTCGCGTTGAACAAACAAAGACGAATTCCGAGCTTTTATTTCTTTTGTCATTTTAATTGCCTTTGGCTGGCTGGCTATTTTTAGATCGCCATTGTGTCTCAAAGGAGTATTTTGTCAATAAATTCTAAATGGGACTCCTAAATAGCTATAAACTTTAGAGAAACGTCTATAAGACGTTATTTTAAGCTCGTCTTGATAATTGGGACCTAGGAATATAACAAAAATGAAAAGGAAAATATTTTGAAAAACAAATTTGGTATATTATTTTTTCTATATTTTGTGCGTTATTTATACGCCATGTGAGTTCAGAGTTTTGATAATAAATAATGATTTTTCTGATTTTATTGAATAATGTTTATTATTGAAATTTATACATATTAAAGAAAGATTTTCAAAACTCTAAACTAATTACTCATACGCCAGGTGGTACGAAATTAATATTTTATCTCTTATCTACAATAGAATATTTGAAGGCATTATTTAAAACTTAATATTTATTTCATATTTATATATGAAAACAACAATAATAATTTATAAGTTTATAATAAAATCTAACACTGACACATACATAAGCCCAATATTTAAGTTCATAATTGCATAACCCATACGCCATGTGGTACAAAGATGAACTCCCTTTAAATAAGAGCACTCAAGATTTTAAAAAAAGAATTCCTGTTTAAAAGATCATGTTCAGAAGAATGAAATGTCAGTGGAGAATTTTCCGCCTCAGTTTTCTCATCACTCACCCACTCCGCATCACTTTCCCTCTCGACAAACAGCTGAGAACCAGCGGCCCATACTCCAGAAAGCTTTCGTCAAGTTGGCCGAGCTTTTCCAATGCGTTCCACAGGCCGAACATGGTCGGAGCTCGAGCATGAAACACTTGAAAAAAAAAATCGAGTCTAAAGGTATAGGGATTGTGGGTATTGTAGAACCAGAAGCATCCTTGAACAAACGTTTGGAATCCAACGGGCCTTTCGCTTTACAGTACGCGACGTTGACTCCGAGAGTACAGACATGACAGCGGGTGAACGAAAACAGGAATCGCACTGAGACACAGGACACGCGCACTCACACTCACACATACACAGCTGTATATAATTGAAGCGCCAAGTGCCAGTGTCCTAGAAATCGAACATCAGAAACAACGGAAAACCGAATCGAACGCGATAATGGAAAAGTAATTGGAGGGTCGGGAAACGGGATGATAAGACAGCGCGATTCCGAGTGGAGGCAGAGGAAAAGTGCAAGTGAAAAGTGCCTATAAGAAGCAGAAAATCAAACACTCACACACACAACCGCGACACACACACGCGCGCGCACATACACACAAAGGAAACGTCATATGCCAGAGGCATTGACAGGAGCCAGTGGAAAAGCATTTTGTGTATCCTATTTTGTGGCCCCAACCAGGCAGGCGAGCGTGTCCTTAGCCATATCCCAAGCCGAAGCCGAAGCCAACAACAACAAAACAACAATACCACAACAACAGCAGCAATTACACCGTGTAGTTGCTCTATAATGATAGATTTCAAAAAATAAATTGAGCAAATTATCGTATAAAACGTGCCCTCGCCTCGAAAGTCTAAAAATATCCGCAGTACCCGTAGCTCCCCTCCGTGGTACCGTGCGACGCCAACTTGTCGAGGTCCTGTAATCCTCACCGCAGACCGCCCCCGCTCCCAGCCCGCAGGAAGAAGGGTCCAAGTGGCGCAACTGACTTTAAATTATGCATGCCCATTGATTTTCCGACCACCGTCGCCATCATCCAAACCGCCGTCGTTATATCCCCATCATCTATATTGCCAGCCTATCCGGGCTTTGTTGTCGCATGTTATCAGCGGAACTAGTGTCGTCGACGGCTTTGTTGAATGCGAGTTATCAGCGCAGCAACGGCCCCTCGAAAGGTGAGTCCTTGTCCACACCTCCATCCATCCCAGACAATCCATTCATCCGGCCTGGCCATCACCCATTCGCTCCATCCGCCAAGAGCACGCAGCGTGAGTGTGCTTTGTACTTTGGCTGTACAAACATGGTTCTAATATAATACAAGTATATTAAAATATGTACATAAATAGCCACATAATAGGCAAAAAGGGACATTAACTTTTTAAAGAATATTTTTAGACCTAAATAAATACCATTATTAAATAAATAATAATATTAAAAGCTTTAAAAGCTACTAATAATTAGACCTAAATAGTTAATAAGCTTGAACCACAAGGAATTACGTGAATAGTTTTAAATAAAATATGTAATAATTATAGACGAATAATATATTTGAATGGAGCCTAATAGAACATTTTTCTTTATTTTCTGAGAATTCTTTAAACTCACTTCAGACAGATTATAATTATAATAATAATAATTAAATTAATAATAATAAATATAATAATTAATTAATAATTATTTATAAATTTTAATGGAAAGAAAGTGAAGAAGAGCTCTATGAAGAGCTTTACGCATAACAGAGAATCACTGATTATAAAATTAATGAATAAATATTAGATATTCTATATTGGAAGATATACTGTATAATATATTTAAGATATATTTTATAATATATTTAAGCTATCCACAAATCAAACTAATAACTTTTCACATTACCTATTTTTGCTATTGCACATATACCTTTTTTTTTTTTTTTTAAACAAGTTCAATTTTATTGTAGTCGCCTGAATCGTTCAGAACTATTTGAACATAACCGGGCGCTTAGAAGATGGGGTGAATATGGTACATATGGGATATGAACCTAGACTATATACAATAATTTACAGTTATTTACATCAGTTTACAATATTATTGAACAAATACCTTAGAGCGTAAATATATACATTCATTTATTTAAAAATCAAATAATAATAATAATACGCATCAATTATAAACGATTCCAATCGATTTGATTTATCTGCCCCTCAGGACCCAGCCATTGGGATACTTTTCCCCTGCTTTTCCTCGGCTAATAATTTCTATCAAAAGGCCATAAAATACGTTTATAACTCGTTTAGAATGCTTATTAACACATACGCAGAGTGGGCGTCAACTCATTAGCACCCTTGGACATGACCTATTCGCAGTTTGCAGCCTCTAGTCCTTTGGCCTAGGACCAGGGCTCATTCTCCTCCCGCGTCTGCTGTTAATGCTGCGTCATTGTTGGCACTACACAACTGCTTTTAATCAGATTTCAATTATAATTCCATTTTACTGCACTAATGTCATTTGGCGCCCACTGCCAGAGAATGCCTGCCACCATTGCCCGCCCCTTGACATCCACTCACCACACACCGCCCAGCGCCCGCTGCACCACCCAGTGCCCTCCATTTGGGGCTGCCCACGCCGGGTAATTTCCTTTTGTGCAACAGCATTTTAATGAAATTTATTAGGGCTGACAACGGCTCTGCACCGATGGCGTTAAAATTTCCATTCGAACGACTGCTAAGGCTCCCACCGGAAATACAGTTATAAAATGTCAACAAGAATGCTAACCCGAAACAGTTGCCACACATCCGGAATGCAACTCTGTGTCTACTAGCTGGTGTGTGGTGTTTGTGTGTGTCACTTTTGTTTTTGTTTCAAGTTTTTTTTGCTGACGTTGTTCTAACGATTTTACGACTTGATGGCATGCTCTAAACGCAATAGTGCCTTCTTAGCTTTTCGTAGAATTTTCAACGACATGCAACAAGGAGTTGCACAGAAATTGACTTTATGGTTCGCATTCAGCGAGGCAATTGGCTTGATTATACAAATTGTTTGCAAGATTATAAATTACGGTGCAGTTTGCATATTGAAAGGGAAAAGATGGTATTTCCCAAATCCTTGACTTTTATCTGATTATTCGAGGTTTAAGTTGCAGCTTCTTTATACAAAAACTTGGCCAGATAAAAAATAAAGTTAAATTTATTAACAAAATTCTTCTAGTTTATAGAATTAAAAGGTTTACAAAAGATTAATACTTTGAGAGGATTTGAGGATACATATATTTGAGCCTTATTTTAAACAAAAGACTTTCGATACAATACTTTTCCTATCCACATTGCATATAACCAATTTAATCAAAAAAGTCAAATAGACAATACCATTGTGTGTGGCAAGGATTAAATGAAAAGTCAAGCCACATGTTGGGTTTAAGTGTTTCTTTTGACACGAAGTTGTTAAAACCATTTTCTTCCGTCCTCTTTTGTTGCAGATGAAGTTTGCCTCTCGACAACATATGACAAGGGCTACATCACAGCAACAACAACAATACCGACAACAACAACAACAGCCACAAGAGCAACATCAGCAGCAGCAGCAGAAAAGCCGACAACAGCAACAATGACCAAGCAATTGACAACCAGCATTGCCACCAATGCAGCATCGAGTATAACGCAAGCGGGCGATTTGGCGCCCACAGTTATATCCCCAACCACTGGAACCACCATTGAATCCGGATCAGGAGTGGGAGTGGTTGCTGCTGCAGGAACAGCAGCACCCATCACCGAGACAACAAAGACTTTGACGCAAGCTGCAGCATCTGCCACAGCATCGCAAACAACAACAGCAGCAGCAGCAACTACTAAACACTCGAGAAGCGATGCCAGTGGCAGATCAGCAGCTTTGGAACGTGCCTACGTCCACGATGTCTACGAGCACTGCGAAGAGCCCACGGGACCCATCCGACCCCGGATGGCCCACTTCCTGGGGAACCTCGAGCCCGGCTCCGTGGTCTGCGACGTCGGCTGTGGCAGTGGCCGATACCTCACCCAGTGCAACCCGTCTATCTGCACCATCGGCGTGGAGCGTTGCTACCGTCTGAGTAAAGTGGCCCACGAGAAAGGAGGCGAGGTAAGTGACCTAAAAACCACATGATATCTACAGGAGAAAGGGCAATTACCCACATTCCAAAATTTTCGTAGTGGGGTCTCTCAGAAAAATTGACAAAAAATATAAAAAATATTTTGCTATCTGATTTTGATGCGAATCGATGGAGAATTAATCAACAGATCATTTAAGCTACTTCGCTCAAGAATCGAGTTGAAATTAAACAAGTTATAGCCACCATTCTGGCACATATAGGGCGAAACCTCAAAAACCCCATTTTTCGTAGGGGGTCCCTCAGGAAAATTGACAAAAAAATTTAAAAATATTTTTCTGTCATATTTTAACCCAGATCGATGGAAAATCTATCTACAAATCTTTTAAGGTATTGCACTCCAGGATCGTGATGAAATTGGCAAAGATATTGCCACCTTTCTGGCACATATAGGGCGAAACCTCGAACACCCCATTTTTTGTAGGGAAAATTGACAAAAAATTTGAAAAATATTTTGCTTTCAGATTTTAATGCAGATCGATAGAGAATCCATCCACAAATCATTTAAGGTATTCCGCTCAATAATCGGAATGGAATTGGCAAAGATATATGGGAAATATGGGCCACATTCTGGCCCATATGGGAAGAAACCCAAATTCCCCACTTTTCGTAGGGGCTTCACGAAATTGCTCAGGAAAATTTACAAAAAAAATGTTTGCTATTATATTTTGATGCAGATCTATAGAGTATTTATCTACAAGTCAATAAAGACATTCCGCTTAAAAAGTTAAGGACGATTGATGAAGATGTAGACAGTATCAAGGTGAAAATGAAACCCAAACCTTAAAGTGCTTAAATACATAGCAAAAATATATATAAGGGGAACATATCCAAAAGTTGTGTGTGCAATCTAATTGCACCCTGCTAATTGCATGTGTTTGGTGCGGTCGTGTTCTTGGAATTCTCTTGGCCATGCAATTGACCCATTTTGCTCTAACAAGCCGCAGTGGGAACAGCCAAGGCTGGTGGCGAAAGGAGGAATGGAGAGGGCCCTGGCCATAAAACATTGCCAGTATATTCAAATGCCAGTTGCTCCACTTGAGTTGGGCCATTAGGAACATGCATAAATTATGCTTATCATTGGATATTATTTGCACATGTTCCGCTTTCTCACGCTGCATTGGGAGTTCTTAATGCCCCATAATTGCAATGGTCCACAATGGTGTCGTTAAGCGAGTCATTCGGCTAAGGAGCCAACGGGTCACGTCTAATAAACTGCAGATGCTTGTCGGGCAAAATTGTGCGAAATGGCCGATTGCACATTCTGTTGCAGGAGTTTCGAAATGAAATTACTTGAAATCGATACAGACCGAAGTGTGCATAAGTAGGATCTTAAATAGGAGAGAGTTTCCTACATATTCCTAAAGAAAAGTCAAACTACTCACTCGCCAAGTTTTTTAATTTTGCGGAATGACGTAGTTCCGTAAAATCTCTTCAACTATTTTAATATATTTGATGAAAGGGTTATGGTTTGAGATGCACCCATCTAACTTTTTGCCACAATTAAGTGATACGCTCTGCTATGTCATAATGAAAATGAACTATAGAGCACTTAGTTATCCCCGCGCACAATTCCCCCATAACAATGACACAACTGTTCTGCATACTTGTTCCCTGTCGCTATTGTCCTGTCGCTGTTGTTCGGCTCCTGGCTGGCAACCCACAGCATTTCCTTTAACAGCGTACAACAATAAATTGCGAAAACCCCTTCATCCGCGCAATAAAGACCGCGAGGCCTGAGGTATGCAATAATCTATTACTAACGCTGGGCTCTGGAGCGTTCCGCTTATTTATGGTGCCATTTGCAGGCAGGCGGGCTGCAGAAAACCATTTCCCAAGAAGTGCATTCTCCATTTTCTATTCGCTGCCAGGGGCTTTTCCGCTTTCCATTTTACCATAATCGACAACACGCATTCTTCGCATTTAAATTGCTTTTTGTGTGTGGCACTGACAGAGTGTGGTGTTGCAACAACAGGGAAGACCTGCCGCTGGCCCAACCTATTCACACTGCAACTGCAGCTGCTGAGGTTCGCCCACAATTTACGGTAAATGGTTTAATTTATTTAATAACATGCCACATTTCCGTGACCTGATAGGTTCGATTGTTCGCCGACCGGTCCTTGACATTTAACCAATGTCCTGCCATTGATTATCCGCATGTGCCTCTAATCATTTCACTGACCATAACAATACGTACGTAATGCGATGTGGCATTCGTTGTGCCAGAGACTCAGTGTCAGTTTTATTTCTATTTTCCTACATAATGTGTTTAATATAAAGCCGACTGCAAAATGCCCAAAATGCGAACGTGACATGCAAGCGAATGCAAGTTTTGTTGCCAACTGGAAGCGAAAACTTTATGCAAAACCAATTTAACTTGGTCCGGGCCAGAGTGCAGAGTCGGTGGGGCAACTTTGATTCCTGCAACTCGTGCACGGCCTGATTTTCAATAATTTTGTAAAGCAATAAGCCAGCAAGTGGAGCAACAGCAGCAATCTGACATCGACACGATCCACACAAGCAGAAAATAATTTGTAATAGGGAAAATTATACTAACCATATTTAGAATAAGAGATTACCTATCATCCCTGCTAACTAAAGACTTAAAAGCATTAAAAAGATTTTCTTATTAAAGAAATATAAAATCTGAATCAAATAGGATTTCTTTCAGTGCTCAGTGCTCAGTGCTTCCAGTGGGACATCCTGTAGAGCTGTGGTAGCTCGTAAATCTTAACCCGCCCAAAATGGCGCATAAAATGGGCAGCTCACAGCACAGCCGCAAACATAAAAAAGTTAAACTCAATAACAGCAGCTGAAAGCGAAAGCGAAAAAGGTGCAGAGTTTTTGGCCCACTTTTGCCTCAGAGCCCTCCTTATTTTGTTGGCCTGCAATTTTCAGTTGGCATAAAAAATGGCCTAAGGATTCGTTCTTGGCGTTCTTAAGCGTCATTTAAATGAGCCGCAAGAGCCGAAAAGAGAAACTGCATAAAGCATAAGTATTTTTGTATTTTCCTTCTAGGCCAGGTGAGGAGGTCTTTCTGCTGCTGCACTTTGGCCTCATTAGGGTGCAACGTGGCGTATGCGTAACGTGCTTCACTCTCACCTAGAAGCCCTGTCAACATAAATTTCAAAAGCGTCATGTGCCCGACCCGTGTGACATTACACACCCACAAAGCCCCCCGTAGGATGTGTGTGAAAAATGGCAACTGCTATAAATACGATTTGTAAGGCCCAGAGAGCACTGAAAAGCGAACCGAATAAAGGATGAGGGAATATGTCAGCGTGTGTATTCATCCTGCCCCATGGACATTGAAAGGAGAAACTATGAGAGCTGCATGGCTTTGAATTAAATGCACGCGTTGGAAAGTGTGCGGGGGATCTGATGGATTGAGGCTATCCATGAAAAAGTAGCAAATAACAACACAAAAGAAGCCATTTCAGACTGAAATGCATCATGCATTTAATAAATGAGCTATGTTTTTGCATTAGTTTATGGCCAAAAATCCATCCCTGACTTAAATGAAATTTCTCTTGAGGGCTGATAAAAACACTTATGTTAATGGATATTTACTATAAAATGGGAACTTTCCAGTCCAGCCTCAGTCTGAATTGCAGCCACCTAGCTAACTGCACCTGGAACAGAAAACTCTGAGCCAAGAAGAGGGCTTGGCGGGTCAAGGATATTTCTTTTTTGCAGAAAAACACACCCACAAACGGGTGAAAAGCAAATACACATTGGGGCTTGTAACATTGGCGGAGCAGGAGAGATTTACAAGCACAACTAAATTGCAGAAAATAAATTGTCATTTCATCAGGAAGCGAATCATTGATTTCCGTTTTCTATAAAATATATATATCCACAGTCGTTGAGGCAAATATTTATTTAGAATTTTTAGTGAAACTAGAGCTTAATAGAATTTCCTGACGGATTGCAAATCCGTATTTGCCGTTCGTGCTATTTTGCGATGCATTTTGTGAATAATGCGCAAATCGAAACGGAATTCCTCGTCGACACCATTGAGCCGTTAAGCAATTTGTCATTCATTCGATTGGCGACTAAAATAGACGAAGCTTTGTTTGGTTACTTCCTTTTGCGTTCTGCCGTGGTAATTGACACCATCAGTTGCGGCCATGACACGAAAATGAATATAAATGGCGTGCATCCACCTGAACGGACATATTGTTCTATTTGCCACCATTGGGTTAGGTCAGTTTGGGGCACCTGGTCAACTTACAGCGGACTTTGCTGCCACATGCAGACTATGCCTGTCCCACCCCTTTCCCTTGACAAATGGACGTAGTCAGCTTGACCAAATATTCCGATCGGAGCCAGCTGGGAAAACCGATAACTTTGTTATTCCGTTCACCGCATTGTCGTGGAAAAGTTTCTAATTGCAAATTGATGTTTTCAACCGAAAGAGATACTGGATTATTCAATCGGGCTGCTATGCTTTGATATGGAAATGGCTTCTGCCAGAGTTTGTGCCAAAAAGAAATCCTTGCTCGTTGGCCTGGACAGCCTGGACTCTGCAGCTTGAAATGGCATCAGCCCACATAGTTTCGCATTTTGCTTTATGCAGCTTTCAATTGCATACTTTTGCGGGCAGGACTCATGGGAAATTGCTTCCGGGAACTCAACGTCAGCGACAGAGAGCAGGAATTCTTGTGGTATTGAATCTGCAAAGAGATTCCTGCGCGGACTAAGTCCCGCCGCAGCGTAATTGGCATGTCCTCGCTGGGGATTTACTACGATAAGCTTCTTTCAATTGAATTATTTTTCAAAAAGCAATAAATGCACCGGAAATTAATAGTTTCTTGATGTTCTTTAAGTTTCTAGGATAATAGAAATAAATTTATAATAAAATTTAATAAGTCATGTACTAAATAAACTAATATTGCATTTTGTTTCTAGGTGGCCTTGTGCGACAATCTGGAGCTGCCTTTCCGGGACGACAGCTTCGATGCAGTGCTCTCCCTAGCGGTGGTCCATCACTTCGCCACCACCGAGCGACGCGTCCAGGCTCTGCGGGAACTAGCAAGAATCCTGCGGATCGGTGGGCGGGTAGTGATAACCGTATGGGCACTGGAGCAGCGCCACCGCCGCTTTGAATCGCAGGACGTTCTCATACCGTGGCAGCCACCCAAGAACCGAAACTACTCGTACTCCGATGAGGAAGACGATGACAATTTCCAGCCACCCTACCATGCATACACAGAGGACTCTACGAATTCCAGTCGATCGGCTGGGGATGGAGATAGTTCCAGCCTGAGCTCATCTTCCCCGGGGGAGTCCTGTTACAGCTTCGTGCGCCGCGCCATTCAGGTAAGAGGAATAAAGATTTGAATAAATTATTTAAATATAATCCACTTGATTTTTCCTTCCAGAAACTTGCTCGCGGACGTCGTCATGCGTGGTTTATGGACTCGTGGTCCTCAAAGGACACAAAAAATGACAGCAGCCTGGACTTCGAGGACGCCAAAGACCTTCCCATCGAGCTACGTCGTCTAGAGGACTTCGAAGACTTTCCCGACCCGCCCCTCACTGCAGGATTGAAGTCCCGCAGCCTGGGCAGCATTCTCCAGCCGCCTCCCCGCCAGATTGTCCGCTCCCGGTCGAGCGTCCCTAGCCTGGGAGGTCCACTAATCCCTGGGGAATCGAAGGCCGCTGCGGCGGCCTTGCTGCTTAATCCTACCGAGGCTCAACAGCAGCTCCAGATGAATGGGAGGCATTCGCCCACGACCACCGCTAGTGCCGGGAACACGCTAAGCCGCCGGCCCAAGCTCATCAAACAAAAGCAGTCCTTATGCGATGAGGATGCAGCGACGCCATCCGCTGCCCCGGACGCGTTCCAAATGGTGAGCAACTACAATGGAGCCAATGGGGCCGTGAGCACTAGCTTGTACCAGCGTAGTGGCTGCTATGCGGGAAACTTTCACCAGCATGCTTCCTCCTCGCCCTCCAACCCCGGCACTTCAGCCTCCCCCTCGGCGGTTCCAGCACAAGGAGGTGGTCCAGGTGGCTCGGGGGCAGCGCCTACATTCTTGCGCAAGCAGAGCTCCCTGAACGAGGAACTGATGGCCTGCAATAGACTGCGTGAGAAGGAGCGCGTGCGGAAGCGCATCCAGAAGCAGACCTCCCTGAATGAAGCCTTCCTCTGCCGATCGGCTTTGTTCTCCAAGCGGCTTCAGGTAATCCGTGAGGGATTCACCACTAAGATCAAGAGCTCCACCGGCAGTCTGGAGCGGGTGACAAAAACGGGCATCAGCAAGCTTATCCAGAATATCAAGAGTGGGCCGCAAAATATGACGAACCCGCTCCAGAATCCATCCCATGTAGACAAGAACCAGGCTCTAAACAACAACAACAAGCATGGAATGGCACAGGCAGGCCACCAGCATCACCACCACCATCACCACCACCATCTCGCAAACAGCCACCAGTCGCACAACCACCTGTCGCACCTAATACACGCGGCATCCGCGCCAGCCACTACCCCGGGAGGGCCCGTGACGTACTGCAGCATCGTGGAGTGCACCCAGGCTAATCTTTGTCACTGCAGCCAATACCAACAGGAGTGTCCGGCCTGTGCGGACGGCGGTCAGTGCGACAAGGCCAGACGTCATTCCCGGGAATCGGGATCTGACTCCTCCAAGGACAGCAGCCTGCAGTCGGACACAAGCATCGAGTCGGAGGACAGCTTTGCTTCCGTAATCTTCATACCCAAGCCGGAGCAGCACCAGCAGCAGCTCAACTACCAGCAACAGCACCAGAACTCTAACTCAAGTTCTAGTAACTCCTCCTCTAGCAACGGACAGCGAGGGGCGGGCGCGGCAGCTGGCGGCAATCCCGGGATGTCTGCTGGTGGATCCCGTCTGCCACCCACACACTCTGTGCCAACCTCCCCTCTGATCATGCCCTGCCCCCCGACCCCGGCACACTCCCCTGCTGCCATCCAGGGCACGGTGACCTCGCCGCCTCAATCCACGGCAGCGGTGTCGGCAGCCATGGCGATACTAACGCCTCCTTCGAAGCCAGCCCGATTCAGTTTCGACGAGGCTCACATAAAGCAGCAGAAGGAGCAGCAAAGGGAGCAGCATCTGGAGAACCTGAAAGAGCAGCAGAAGGGACAACTTAAGGAGCAAAAGGAAGCGCAAAAAGAGGAGCGCAAGGAGCAGCCACCCAAGGAACCCAAAGAAACAAAAAAGGTACCATCCCCCATCCATCGGATAACCCGGCAGGCCATACGGGACTTGCCACCCATTCCCAAGTTCCGGAAGCAGCAATCCCTGCAATTGCAACGCCAAAGTTTTCCCATTATCCGGAGAGCTTCCGGCTCGGGAATTTCTGCCTCGTGCTCTTCCTCATCGCTGGCCAGCAAGCTGCTCTCCCTGGAACTTTTTAACCCAGCCACCGATGACCTGGACAGTGACTCCAGTGAGCCCTCCTCCCCCGATTCCATTGACAGTGTGATTAGTGCACCGCGATCGGCCAAGGTGCCCTCAGGAAGCGGTGAGGGTGGCGAAGGATCGGCCAACTCCAACTCTGCTTCTCAAGACGAGGGAGAGCCCAGTCTGGCGAAGATAATTAGCATTCAGCAGGAGCAATACCACAAGGGAGAGTTGCAGATCAGCAACAGTTCTTGCTCGCAGAAAGCTCCCGAGGACGACATAATCCTGAATGCGGACAGTGCGCCCCTGCTTCCGGAAAAGCGGGAGGCGGCTAATCAACAGCAGGATTGTGCCGAGTTCGCCGAGCAACTAACAGCCCAGCTGCAACGGGAACTGGACGACAAGAGCAATCGCACAGAGTGCCGGTATCTAGACGGGATCGGGATGGGTGACCTGTCCGAGATATTCGGTGGCGGCAAGAAGCGTTCTAACGGCGATCTGAGCGCCTTTCGTGACGAGCTCCGGGAACGTCGGCTTATGCTGGCCAATCTCTCCACCCAGCCCAGTCTCCAGCAATCGCCGGTGAGCTCATCAACCTCTTCCCTGTCCTCGCAGACCCGCAGCTTCACCATCCAGGAGGAGGACGGCGAGGAGGAAGAGGAGGAGGAGAACGAGTCGAGCTATTCGCTAGGCGTGTACGAGCACTGCAAGATCTCCAAGTTCAGCTATAAGCGAAATCGCCACTACCAACTGAACCCGGAAACAGCCTATCTGCTGCAGGACGACGGCGACAGTGATGTGAGGGAAGAGGATGAGGACGATGTTATACCGGAGGAGGAGGAGCAGGAGGAGCCGGATGAGCAGGCCGAAGCAGAGGCCTTGGAAGCCAGGGGTGGAGATCAACTGGGCGAGGGCATGGCGGATTACGGTCAGCGGCGCCGTCACATGGCCGCCTTGAAGGTGCAATCACCTGTGGCCCCACAGCAGCACAATCAACAGCAACAGCAGACTCAGCAGCAGCAGCAGCCCCAGGAGCACACTATGCAGCAGCGTCACTCCTCCGATTCACTGGAGCACTCGAACAGCTCCACAAACTCCCTGGACAGTCCCTCTCAAGGCGGGTCCAGCACTCACCATCGCTACTACCACGTGTTCCGCGAGGGCGAGCTGGACGCACTGATCAACCATCACGTGGCCAGCCTGCACATCGTCAGTTCCTACTACGAGCGTGCCAGCTGGTGCGTGGTGGCCGAAAAGGTCCAGGTGTGGACCATCTAAAGCACTTTACAAGGTAGCAGGGTTTGGAACCGAAATGATATTCGATAGGGTTTAAATGAACTTTTCTGTCCACATAGCACATTTTAGTTAGTAGTAAATTATTGTTTGCTTTTTTATTAATTTTATTATATAGTAATACTATACAGAACAGCATTATTGTATCAGTTTAGATAGAGAATGTTTGGATAATCTAATCGCTATATCGACAAACCATTTCGGTTTCAATCCCTGCCCTATCGCGAAAGCCCATTACTAGCTATAGTCTCTGATGCCCCCAAAGGAATTGTTAAATTTAGTCTCTTACTCTAGTCGGCTGGTGAGCTGAGGCGGGGAAGCCCCGATCTCATGGCCAGCTTAATTATTAAATTTACTCAACTGTTAGCAGACCTGCTCAATATCGTGAAAGCAGGGATTGCACTTCATTGAAATCCAATTTCAAAAAGAAACCACCTAGATATAAGACCACAAACGAAACAAATCGAATCGAATACGATAATTATAACGATAATGAAACAACGCAAGCTAAATAGAAACTTTACAAATTCGTACAAAAGCTTAGTATCTACTTACAACGAAAGTATCTTTGTATCTTGCGCTATCTTCTCAATAAGTTTATTGCACTTTAAGCTATAATTTCTCAACAAATAATCATCAAACGTCCACATACATAAGATATAGAACTTATACAACAGATATACGGCTAGATGAAACAATATTGCAAGTATCTACAAAACTAAATACAAGTTAATAGAACCCCCTAACTGAATAATATCAATAATGCATTTAAGCCCACAAATCAATGCTTCATACATATGTATGTATATCAAATGCAAGATAAATCAAAAGATATTCATAACCTCTAGGATATCTAACTGCAAGTCTCATATTCTTTCCCCTATGCTTACAACAATATTTAAAACCTGTTTTCGATGCACAAACTTATATTTACATTGATTATTAGATTTAATATAGTAACCAACTCACTTCCCAAAAACGGCCAAGATTCACGATTGCAACATGCCTAAAATATACACTTTTTGTCAACTTAAGAACTGTTATTTGAAAAATAACGCAAACATTTTCAATAAAATATATTATATACATAACACCTATATGCGACTGTAAATGTGTTTTTTAGCTAGCAAAACTAACTTTATACCGTAAAATAATAGAACAATTGAAAGATTAAATATTAAATAACGTTGGGCGCAACATTAAATCATAACAGATAGAATTCGATTTAAAACTACTACTGCTCGAAATGCTGAAACATTTAAAGATATTTAGTATGTAAGTAACACATCCAGAAAGACACGACAACACCGGCTACTAAGGAGAAAACTATCAGAAATATTCAATATTTATAATTTGTAAAGCATTAACAAGGACATTAAATAAACTAATAATAATTGCCAAAGAAAAATGCTTTTATTCATGACATTTCTCAGCGATCTTGTTTGTAGGGGCGAAGTATCTAATTTTGAATCTCCCGCCGTTCACTTTGGAGCTAGTTCTAACACGCCAGTGCTGCAAAATGTTCAATTTTTTGGCGCCAATCGACCGTAAAACATGAAATGACCAATTAAATATATGAAATATAACAAAAATGTAGCAAATAGTATAAATCCTACATAAAATTGTCTGCGTAGGAGTATTTTTGCGTAAATGTACGCAAAAATTCCCCAGCCACCTTTTTGGACTTCGATATTTCAATGTTGGTCAACGAATGCAATACAGGCAATACAGTCGAGTCCTGTTATATCGAGCAAGGCTCTTATTTAGAATAGGAATATCGATACATTCATATTTTGATACACTATCAACATGTCCAGTTTGTTTACGAAAAATGCAGTGAAAGACCTGGAATAAAAGCTACAAATATTACAAAATGGGCACCCAAAAGCCAGGCGAGTGGGCCAGCGCCCTTTTGGCCCGCTTCGAGGATCAGGCAAGTGTTTTTAACCCGTTTTTTTCGCAGCTGCGACTTCGCCTTCGTCGGAGTCCCAAGCGAAAAAATGTACCTGCTGCTCTGCCACCACCCTCTCTCCCTTCATGCCACACGACTCGGCTGCGTTGTTTTGGGGACTGCGTGGGCGCAGGGGAGAGAGCTTGGGGAAGCCGAGACGAAAGTATGAATGAAATGGAAATAATCAATCAAATGCGTCTTTGCAGCTGCCGAACAGAATCGGAGCCTATGGAACGCAGGCGAGGATGAGCCAGGACCAGCTAGTGGCCTGCTTAATCCACATCTCTCGTTATCGTTTCTCGCTGGTCATATCTGGACTTACCAAAATGTTGCAAAGGGTCAATGAAGCGGTGCGTAATTTAATTATTTATTCATTCATTCATATTAATAATATTCGTATACATTCTAGGCCCTTCAAAATCGTCACGAACCAGAGCGTTGCTACTTCGAATCCCTGGTCATTATACTGACCACACTGGAGCGCTGTCTGACCAACCAGACCAAGGACACCGCCCGCTTCGAGGAGGCCATGAATGTGAAACTTCTGCTGCGGGAAATCTCCCAATTTGTGGACGTTCAGAGCGACAGTAATCCAAATGCTGCTCAACTGAAGGCTTTGGCATCGAAGGTGCTCTTTGCCCTATCCCAGAATCACTTCTCGGCCGTGTTCAATCGCATTTCGGCCAGGATTCAGGAGTTGACGTCGTGCTCCGAGGAGAACCCCGACTATAATGACATCGAGTTAATACAGCACATCGATATGGACATGATTAAGTTGACCAAGCTGCTGCAGGGTAAGTAGATATTTTAAAAAAGATGTTAAACCAACTAAAATTTGTAACATTTTAGAAACCATTACAAAGTTTCGATCCAAGCGAGCTCCACCCTTGATTTTGCTTTACTCGCTTGAGAAGGCCATCTGGAACTGGATTGAATACCATCCTCAAGAGTTTCAAGATCTGCAGCGGGGCACCAACCGCGATATATCCACGTAAGATTATTCGAACGAACTTTAAAAACATATCCCAAACCTTGTATTCTTTTAGCTGCTGGGAACCATTAATGGATCTGGTGGAGTACTTCAAATCGGAAAACAAGAAGAGCAAGACTCTTGTGTGGCCACTGCAGATGCTCTTATTGATTCTGAATCCCTCTTGTCTGGAGGCCACTGTGAACGAACTCCAACAATCGGAGAAGGAAAAAGAGAAAGAGAAAGTGCCCTCGAAGTCAACTCAATCTACTTCGCGGGACAAGGACTTTTCGGCAAAACAGTTTATTGAGAGTATTAAACGAGGATTGGGCCAGCATTCGCCCTCCAAACAGGTCACTGAGTCTTCCGCCATCGCTTGTGTAAAGCTCTGCAAAGCATCCACGTACATCAATAACACCGACTCCAATAATGTGGTATTTAAGCTGGTGCAGTACTTCATAAACGACCTCAAGGCCCTGCTCTTCAACCCGGCAAAGCCCTTCTCCCGAGGACAGGGCTATAACTTTGCGGATATCGAGCTGATGATTGACTGCTGGGTATCCTGCTTCCGCATCAATCCGCACAACATTGAAGCTTTGAAAGTGTGTCTGAATCTGTCATCGCCACAGGCCTATCACTTTGTTATTGTGTGCTCACTGCTAAGGTAAATATCCATACATTAATTGAATTCTACAAGCTAAAAACTTATTCTATCTATCCAGGTTGGCCCATATTTATGTAGACTTTCGCCTGCAAAATAAGAATCCCTTCCGCATCGTCAACCAACCACGACTGTCCTGGTGGCCACAAACCGATGTCGTCCACTACCGTTCTGCGGAGCTGCGAGCTTTATTCACAGACACCCTCAACAAAGCCACACAAGGTTACATAGCCCATACCCCACTAAGATATATCACCTCGCTTACGCTGAAATCAAAGGACACGCAAAAGGGCCTGACCCGGGCTGAAGAAGGTCCTGCCCACAAGATGCTTCTGTTGCTCCTCGTTCGATTGATCCATGCAGATCCAACCCTTCTGTTGAATGTAAGATTATAGTTACTAAGTTTCATGGAAAAACTGACAATTTATATTTCAGACCCAAGGAAAGGTGGCCCACGAAGTTCAGAGCTCGACTCTGGAGCTCATAAACGGACTAGTAAGTCTGGTTCACCAAACAACCATGCCAGATGTGGCCCAGGAAGCCATGGAGGCTCTGCTCGCATTGCATGCCCCGGAAAAAATAGAGGTCTGGAACCCGGAAGCACCGATCAACACCTTCTGGGACGTTAGCTCCCAGGTTCTGTTCTCCATCTCACAGAAGCTGATCCAACACCAGATTGCCAACTACACGGATGTGCTGAAGTGGTTGCGAGAGATTCTAATCTGCCGCAACACCTTCCTTCAGCGTCACAAGGACTATGCTCATGTGGGCAGCCAAATCGCCATATGCAAGCAGGCGCACATCAAGATGGAGGTGGTATTCTTTATGTACCTGTGGAGCGTTGATTTGGATGCAGTCCTAACATCGCTCTCCTGCTTCGGACTGCTTTGTGAGGAAGCTGAGATTTGCTGCAGCTCTGATGAGCTGACTGTGGGATTCATCATGCCCAACTACCACATTTACCAGGAGTTGGCACAGTTGTCCTCATGTGAGTTCTTTCATAAAACTATCTTTAGCTTTGTTGTAACTATCCTTTCGTTTTAGCTGCCACCGACACTCGTATTTGTTTCTTCGACAACACCCATGGCAACGTACTTAGCCGCCTTACGCTGCAGAAACGAATAATGACCCTTCTACGCAAAATCGAGCACTGTGTCCATGGAGTCCAACCTGCCTGGGAGGAGACCTTCCGCAATTGGGAGGTGTCCAGTAAGGTGCTCCAAACCTATCCAAAATGCAAGGGCGAGGATGCGCAGGCAGAGGTCTTTCATCGTGGCATGGGCAAGCGTCGAGCCAGTCATCAAAGCTCCGAGCACGACTTGGAGGAACAGATCAATGAGTGGGCCAACATGACCTGGTTTCTGCTTGCCCTCGGTGGCGTCTGTCTTCACAAGCGCAGCAGTAGTCGACAAATACTGCTCCAGCAATCCCAAAACAATGTGTCGTTGGGTTCGCTTGCCCAGAACTCACTTTACTCCAGTTCCACTAGTTCAGGACACGGGTCGTTGCATCCTAGTACGGTGTCCTTGTCCACTCTTCCTCCAGCGCCGCCCCAAGACGTCAGTTACTGTCCGGTTACCCAGTAAGTATTGGGAATTCCATGGAAACCTACTTAAAGCTAACGAACGTAATCTCTTTTACAGATTTATTGGACAACTGCTGCGTCTTTTAGTTTGCAGCAATGAAAAGATCGGCCTAAATATCCAAAAGAATGTGAAGGAACTCGTCGGCGAAGAGATGTCCTCCCAATTGTTTCCAATACTCTTCGACCAAGTGCGCGCCATCGTGGAAAAGTTTTTCGACCAACAAGGACAGGTTAATGTAAACGTTACGGACATCAACACACAGTTCATAGAGCACACCATCTACATTATGAAATCGATCCTCGACCCCAAAGCCAGCAAGGATCCCAACAGCGAACAGCCCGCGCCCTCGGAGCACTTGGGAGTGACCAGCATTGAGGGAATGATGCTTGGAATAGTGCGTTATGTACGCCATCTCGACATGACAGTCTACGCCATTAGGATTAAGACAAAACTGTGCCAGCTGGTGGAGGTTATGATGAAACGTCGAGACGACCTTGCCTTCCGCCAAGAGATGAAGTTCCGCAACAAACTCGTGGAGTACCTGACCGACTGGGTGATGGGCACATCTCATCAGATTGCACCACCGAGCTCAGCGGATGCCTCTATTCTCACCAACACATCGCTGATCTTTCGTGACTTGGACCAAGCATGCATGGAGGCAGTGGCCGCTCTGCTCCGCGGGCTACCTCTACAGCCAGAGGAATCGGATCGGGGAGATCTAATGGATGCTAAAAGCGCCTTGTTTCTGAAGTACTTTACCCTGTTCATGAACCTCCTAAACGATTGCATCGACAGCTCGGAGGCCGAAAAGGAGATGAACAATACACCACTGCTGCCACCACGTCCTCGTATGGCGGCCGGAAAGCTGACAGCCTTGAGAAACGCCACCATCCAGGCTATGTCCAACTTGCTGGGTGCCAACATAGATTCTGGCCTAATGCACTCGATCGACTTGGGCTATAATCCAGATCTTCAGACCCGTGCCGCTTTTATGGAGGTGCTTACCCAAATCCTTCAGCAGGGCACTGAGTTCGATACTTTGGCCGAGACTGTATTGGCGGATCGCTTCGAGCAACTGGTCCAATTGGTCACAATGATCAGTGACAAGGGCGAGCTTCCCATCGCCATGGCATTGGCCAACGTGGTGACCACTTCCCAAATGGATGAGCTGGCCAGGGTACTGGTCACTCTGTTCGACGCCAAGCACCTGTTGTCTCCGCTTCTGTGGAATATGTTCTACCGCGAGGTGGAGGTCTCCGACTGCATGCAGACCCTCTTCCGGGGAAATTCCCTGGGCAGCAAAATCATGGCTTTCTGCTTCAAGATTTACGGGGCGAGTTATCTGCAGATGCTGCTGGAGCCATTGATTCGACCGCTACTCGATGAAGAGGAGGAGACATGCTTCGAGGTAGATCCTGCTCGGCTGGATCCCACAGACGACATTGAACAGCATAGGAACAACCTGATTGCACTCACCCAGAAGGTTTTCGATGCCATCATTAACTCCTCGGACCGGTTTCCGCCGCAGCTACGCTCCATGTGCCATTGTCTTTACCAAGTGCTCAGCAAGCGCTTCCCGAACCTTCTTCAAAATAACATCGGCGCTGTGGGCACGGTTATATTCCTGCGCTTCATAAATCCTGCCATTGGTAAGGTCCTAAGATACGGGTTTCATTTTGTGTGCTAACCATTCTCCTTTCAGTCTCACCACAAGAGCTTGGAATTGTGGACAAGCAGGTCCACAGCTCAGCCAAACGGGGGCTAATGCTGATGTCGAAGATCCTGCAGAACATAGCCAACCACGTGGAATTTTCGAAGGAACAGCACATGCTCTGCTTCAACGACTTCCTGCGCGATCACTTCGAGGCCGGCCGTCGGTTCTTCATCCAGATCGCCTCCGATTGCGAGACAGTGGACCAAACGTCGCACAGCATGAGTTTTATTTCGGACGCCAATGTGCTGGCCCTGCATCGTTTGTTGTGGACACACCAGGAGAAGATCGGGGACTATCTATCCAGCAGCCGGGATCATAAAGCAGTGGGCAGACGACCCTTTGACAAAATGGCCACTCTCCTAGCATACTTGGGTCCTCCAGAGCACAAGCCAGTGGACTCGCACATGATGTTCAGTTCATACGCGCGCTGGAGCTCCATTGATATGTCCTCTACCAACTTTGAGGAAATCATGGTCAAGCACCAAATGCATGAGAAGGAGGAGTTCAAAACCCTCAAGTCCATGAACATATTTTACCAAGCGGGCACGAGCAAATCCGGTTATCCGGTGTTCTACTATATTGCCAGGAGATACAAGTGAGTGATAGTGTATTATTGTGGATATATACTAATTCTGTCTCTTTAAGGATCGGGGAAACCAACGGAGACCTCCTCATCTACCATGTCATTCTCACTCTGAAGCCCTTCTGCCATTCGCCCTTCGAAGTTGTTATTGATTTTACCCACACTTGCTCCGACAACCGATTCCGCACCGAGTTCTTACAGAAGTGGTTCTACGTTCTGCCCACAGTGGCTTATGAAAACGTCCATGCTGTGTACATCTATAACTGCAACTCGTGGGTACGGGAGTACACCAAGTTCCATGACCGCATTCTGGCACCTCTTAAAGGCAACCGAAAACTGCTCTTCCTGGAGTCGCCGAACAAGCTCAGTGACTTTATTGACGCAGAGCAGCAAAAGCTGCCCGGAGCCACTCTTTCCTTGGATGAGGATCTGAAGGTGTTTAGCAACGCTCTGAAATTAAGTCACAAGGACACCAAGGTGGCCATAAAAGTGGGCCCAACCGCCCTTCAGATTACCTCTGCCGAAAAGACAAAGGTTCTGGCTCATTCCGTGCTCTTGAACGACGTTTACTATGCCTCGGAAATCGAGGAAGTCTGTCTGGTGGACGACAACCAGTTCACACTGTCGATAACCAATGAAAGTGGCCAGTTGAGCTTCATCCACAACGATTGCGACAACATTGTCCAGGCCATTATCCACATTAGAAACCGCTGGGAGCTGAGTCAGCCAGATTCGGTGACAGTTCATCAGAAGATTCGGCCCAAGGATGTGCCGGGAACATTGCTGAACATGGCGCTTCTGAATCTTGGATCGTGTGATCCCAATCTTAGGACAGCTGCGTATAATTTGCTTTGTGCGCTGACCGCCACTTTTGATTTGAAAATAGAAGGACAACTCCTGGAAACTCAGGGATTATGTATTCCCTCGAACAACACGATCTTCATTAAGTCAGTCAGCGAGAAACTGGCCACCAATGAGCCACATCTGACCCTTGAGTTCCTCGAAGAATCGATTCAGGGATTCCAGCGCAGCACCATCGAGCTAAAACATTTGTGCTTGGAGTACATGACACCCTGGCTGAAGAATCTTGTCAAGTTCTGCAAGTCCAACGACGACTCCAAGAAGCTGAAGGTCTCTCAGATTCTGGACAAGCTCATAAACCTAACAATTGACCAGAAGGAGATGTATCCCTCGGTGCAAGCCAAAATCTGGGGTTCAATCGGACAAATACCCGAACTCATCGACATGGTGTTGGATAACTTTTTGCATAAATCCATCACTTATGGCTTGGGCTCTCCACAAGTGGAAATAATGGCCGATACGGCCGTGGCTCTGGCTTCTGCGAATGTTCAACTGGTGTCCAAGAAAGTCATCACTCGCATGTGCCGTGTAATGGACAAGTCGTGCACCAATCCCACTCAGTACCTAGAGCAGCATATGATGTGGGATGATATTGCCATCCTGGGACGCTACCTTCTTATGTTGTCCTTTAACAACTGCCTAGATGTGGCTACATCGGTGCCCTATTTGTTTCACACAATAACGTTCCTGGTGTGTTCCGGATCGTTGTCCATGAGAGCCTCGACCCACGGCTTGGTGATTAACATCATTCATTCTCTGTGCACCTGCACGAATCCCTCCTTCTCGGAGGAGGCCCAACGCGTACTCCGACTTTCGCTGGACGAGTTCTCTCTGCCCAAATTCTACTTGCTCTTCGGCATTAGCAAGGTGAAGTCAGCGGCGGTTACTGCCTTCCGCTCCAGCTGCCGACATCCCACAGACAAGTGGCTAGGAAACGAGCGGGTCACCCAACCTCTGCCGGCAGATCGCGAACGTCTGTCGCTGCCCTCCTTGGAAGTTATCACCGATGCCCTGCTCGAGATCATGGAGGCCTGCATGCGTGATGTCCCGGACTGCGAATGGTTACAGACATGGACTTCCCTGGCCCGTAGCTTTGCCTTCTGCTACAATCCGGCTCTGCAGCCACGGGCACTTATCGTTTACGGATGCATCAGCAAAAGTGTGACGGACCACGAAGTTAAGCAGTTGCTTCGCATTCTGGTCAAGGCATTGGAATCTTTCAACGATTTAATTCTGATTGAGGCCCTGGTGATGTGCTTGACTCGAATTCAACCCCTTCTGCGTCCGGAATCGCCCATCCACAGAGCACTCTTCTGGGTGGCCATCTCAGTACTCCAGCTGGATGAGATTACCCTTTATGGAGCTGGTCTAGCGCTACTGGAACAGAATCTGCACACACTTAAATCACAGGGCTGCTTTGACAAGAAGGAGACCATAGCGGAGGTCATGATGAAGACCCGCGAGAAGCTGGAGTGGCACTTCAAGCAGCTGGATCACGCCGTGGGACTCTCGTTTCGCAGTAACTTCCACTTTGCCCTGGTGGGCCATCTCATAAAGGTGAGTCTTTAGTGTTTTTAATGTTTGTATAAATAATATTTAATATGTAAACTAGGGATTCCGTCATCCGACTCCAACAACGGTTTCCCGTACCTCCCGAGTTCTGACCATGCTTCTGGGCATCATCGCCAAGCCCCTGCACCGGGACAAGTTTGAGGTGACACCGGATAGTGTGGCCTATCTGACGGCTCTGGTTGCCGTCTCCGAGGAGGTTCGCTCCCGCTGCCATGTGAAGCACGCTCTGCCGCGTTGGCCCGCCGAGTTGACAGGCAGTGTGGAGAACGGAGAAGTAGCCAATGGAGTTCAAGCTGTAAGATCACTTAGATCAGAGCAGTACCAGTAACTGACACAATAATCCTTCCCTCAGATTGGCCAGCCGCTGTCGCGTCGACAAAAGAGTTGGGACATCCTGGATCAGTCTGCCCTGCAGTTCGCTCGCCAGCACAAGGTCCCCACTCTTCAGGTAAGCTTTGTGATATAAATATGGAGTATATATATATATTAATTTCGGACTGAGCCGAGCTGTACTCCTCACTTGTTTAAATTCGCTGTACAAAAGTTGTTATAACCATCTGCTATAGTAACTTTTGGCTATCAATTTGAGTTTATATATTCAAACCTATATATACCCACTTATGAACCTAAGTACTATCGAATATCTATCCAGATCAGCCTTTGCATAACTAATAATCGTTTATTACTATTTTTCTTTTCTCTTTTTATGTTTTTATTTGAAAATTAAAAAAAAAAAACAAAAACGTTACATGCATATATCACAATGTATACTCGTTGAAACCGTATATATTTGCCATATTTTAATGCCTGCCGACTCTTACTCTAATTGGTGCTTGTAACTCTCATCAATATCGATATCAATAAATGTTCTATATCTATATATGATCAATAAACTATAAACCGCCTACCAATTTTACGACTACTACTACGCATGAACATTGTTATTTGATTTTCGTTTGATTTCGGTTATCGAATCCCCAACTGCAAACTACAAATCCAACATCAACACTCTGCCAACAACAACCACCACGTAAAAACATAAAAATAAACAAACATCCGTAGAACGCTCGAGTTTTGTTCAAAACTCAACGGTCATTCTCGGTGCCAACAACCAAAGATCCAAACAATGCTACCGGCATCGAAGAACGTCAGGTATTGCTCTACATAACTTGTATTTTTAGCTAAAACTAACCCCAACTACCCCACTGTTTCTCAAAGTTCGCAACTAAATCTTCACTTTTTTAAAAACCTTTCACTAGAATGTCATTTAGTTTGTTAGTTAATCTGCATGGCACTGAATGCTGGCGGCCGTAAAGCCTTCTCATCCACTGCATATTTTCGGACTCGTAGACTTTCAATTTTCATTCAATATCTCTGTGTGCTCTCCATCTCTGGGTGTTCTGTGTAGTTGCGCCATTATCATAAGTCTTGACTAATTCCATGACCATTCTTTGTACAGGAACGCGGTTCGCGTTCTTCAGTTTCCAACGAGTCGAACGTCCTGCTCGATCCAGAGGTTCTACCCGATTTGTCCATCCAGGCACTAGTGTTGACGGTTTTAGCCACCTTGGTTAAGTATTCTTCAGATGAAGGAGAAACAAGGGTTTTGTATCAGTATTTGGCCGAAGGTTCCGTCGTCTTTCCTAAAGTGTTTCCAGTAATGTAAGTACATGTTTTAGATGATTGAGGTAATAGGTGATATCCTTTTGTATCTTTAGCCACTCATTGCTGGATCAGAAAATCAATAATATCCTGTCAGTGTCACATGACCAGGTTGTTCTTAACTCAGTCCAAAATATAATCCAGAACATGCTGGCCAGCGAAGATCCGTCCCAGCAACAGTTGCACTTCCTACAGAGTTGCGGATTTGGCGGACTATGGCGATTCGCAGGTCCCTTTACCAAGGTAAGTCATTGGTTATACTTAAAATAATCTTTTTAATAATATAACCATCTTATTTTGCAGTATAATATGATGGGAGAGTCGTCGGAGCTTTTTGTCAACTGTTTGGAGGCCATGGTGGAGACCTGCTTGCCAGGCGACGAATCTGCTCCAGTGCCACCCTCACCGCGTCCCTACAACTTAAGCTCCAGCTTGAGTAGCCTGACCTTGGGGTCACCCACGGACAAGGGTATGTACACTCTGCCAATATCGGCGGATCCCAAATCGAGTACAAACTGCAATGCTTAACCTTAGTGCATTACCCTTTCACTAACAAATATTTACTCAGACGTAACCTTTTCTTTGTATCACACCAATTGCGTTCTATAGCATTCTCATCGGAATCATTAGATTTTTATGAAAATTGCCCGGGCAGCGTCAGCAGCCTGCGACGCCCCTCACACAGCAAATCACGCGCCAAACATCGAATTAACGACAGTCCATCACATTGAAAGTTCCACAGCTTAATCCAAAGTAAAACTGCAACCTAATCCAAACTGCTAAGGCAAACCTAATACAATATAAAAGCTAAAAAGCCACAGCAAGACACCTTAATTGGAAATACATATGTATTTTGTAGTTATCTAAGCTTTGCCAAACAAAATCATTGCCCATCACTGGAATTGATTCGTTTGTAGAAATTAAAGATACCATATGCATATTGTTAAATACAAACCGAATACCTAGGAAAATCCAAACGTAATGCACTTAATCGAACACATAATATCAAATTGATGTTTAAAATTTGAGAATTGTATTGATAATATTTACATATATCGTGTACCTTAAACCATATATACGCAAACATATTTTTGACAAAATATATACATATATGTATGCTTTAAATGCACCATTTGTAGCCTAGAGTAGTGTTGCCATTAATATTTGTTGCTCCCCCGTGAATCGAGACTCATGGGTCAATGCTACCATTATTAACTGACCCACTGAATATGTGGAATAAAAAAGTACGAGAAGATATACTGAGTACAAAAAAGTGGCCATGATTGGATTAAAGATATACGATATAAAGATTGTAACAGAGACCCAGAAAAACGTTTATAAAGTGCATGCGCAGAGTATTCCATTACATTGCCTTTATAATATAACACACAAAATAATATAACAAAATAAAAATAGTTCCCAATAACTTTTAAATTAGATAAGTCACAGTTGAAGACACAGAGCCGATATATTTTTATTGCAAATCACATTTTATACACGCGATTTGAAAATTGTACTAACATATGTATAAGCGAGTTAAATTCTTATGTCTAGGTTTTTATTTTAGTCCCGATTTTACCGATCCCTCCATATGTTTATGAATCTTTTGTCTTACTTTCAGCTGCATGAATAACAACAACAAATCCGCGCACTAGACGTACCACACTAATCGCAAAAGTAATGCGTTTCCTTAATCTTTTTAAAAAGTGCTTTTAGAGAGAGTGTGAATGAAAACCCCCACAGAAAGTCGTACAAAATGATAGAATATTTATATATTGGTATATGTATGTAAAGAAGGTCCAGAAACGCCAACGAAATGCAACAGGGGACGGACAGTAATCGAGAAAGGCGTTAAATGTATAAAATGTTTGTATATAAGTGTGTAGAAAGGAGGCGACCAAGCAGCTACCGCAGATGAGGATATCGAATGGGAATATTTTTAAACGATTTACGATTGTATATTTTGTAATCCGCAAAACTAAAACTAAGCACATACACAAAGTTCACCAGTTCCTGAGCAGATAATTACAACCTTGCGTAACGAAGTTAACCGACGAGAGCGAGCAGATCCATGATATAAATAAAAATTCAAATCAAAGGAATCGAAAAATGAAATGAAAGCTTTAAGAAGGCGACATGTTCACCATGTCGCTAACATTATTTGTATTATACAAGAATCTCCTCTGAAAGTGTATCAAACGGCATTTATTTTTTCTTATTATTATTATTATTATTTTTACCCAAGTTCATCTTACATTAACGATTACTAATTTATTTCATGAGCACATTCTACAGGTTACTTGTAAAACACCACACGAAGATCAAACTAACTAAAGTTAAGCTACAAAAATAATATCCAGTGCGCTTTAAAAGTAATTAAGTTATAGGCACAAATGCTAAGATTTTAATCCTTATAGGTCCTATAATGGGCGAAAAGAATCGAAACAAAATTTAAAAACTACCAAATTGTCAAACGCAACAAACTTATCCGTTAAACCTATTTTCTAGCACAAAATTTTAGCACCTAATTGTACTTGGCGTTAAATGTATTAACCGCATATTTTTTTTTTAATAACTAACTAGAGCGATACTAACCAAGTTAATTTGAATTAAAACTCTAAATGTATATGTGTGTGTTGCTATATGTGTATTAAACGAATATGTATCATTGTATATTACAACCACTTCAAGATATTTATGAAATGTTAATGTCTTCAAATTATCAATGTACAAGAATATCGATCAAAATAATATATACTTTCAATAAAAGTGTTACAATAAATGTTGGAGTTTTGCATTTCTGGTGGGTTAAGTTTATAATAAAACATTGGGATCTCCAAAGACCCTCTATATTTTGCATAAAGCCATCCTTTATCATCGGAATGGTCCCCTGATGATCTCGGAAACCTCCCCCACGACGAAAACTGACAATAAAATGTATGAAATCAGTGCCATCTGATGTCAATGTTTTCGCTTCTCTCCTTTTAACTTCTCGATTTCATGGATGTGATTGCGACGACCCTCGGTCCGGGTCTCGAACTCGGCTAACTCACCCTCGGGCAGGTGGATTTCGTCAATGGCAATGGCAATGGCCCAGTCCCAGTCCCAAGCCCAATCCCGAAAACAAATCTCGCAAAATGCGCCAAACAAGTGTCACAGCTGACCGAGGTCGGAAAACAGAAACAGAAACAGGGAAACCGGGAGCAGGAGTTTGCGGCACAATCCCAATACTTGTGGGAATGCCTCGAGTAAACTTTCTCACGATGCACCGACCCATCCGTGCACCGGCTGTTAGTTGCTAGCTGCTTGCCACACTTGCCTGGGTGGTGCTCTGCGGACGGTGGTGGTTTCTCTTGTTGCTGCCGTTGCGGTGGTTGCTGGCGTAAGTGTAACGCAATGTCGCTTCATAAAGGAAATAAGGTCTGTGTGACTGTGTGCCAAAAGGAAAGAGCCAAGCACTGAAAAATATAATTTAATATTTACATTTCCAATAGCTCTTATTAGGGCTCTGTCTCATCTTACCAATCATAGTTGCATCAATCCTAGTTCACTATTTATAGTTTTTGATAAAGTATATCAAAATATATAGCACATTTAGGTAAATAATTTATTTTAATCTATTATTATTTATTCTATCTATTTAATTATATCCCCGATAAGTCACCAGTTTTTCTTTCAATGCACTAGCACTTATACAGAGATAGGCCCGCACCCAAGTGCAACAATGCCGTCGTCTCCACGAGATCGGCTCTTTGGCTTAAGTGAGGAAGGCACGCATGGGGCACGTTTGGGCTGTCTCGAGCGGAGAGCGAGCGCAGAGCGGTGGCATGCGAGGAGCCAGAGATGCAAGGCAGGTCGAGGTCATGTCGCCGTTGTTTCCCAGTTGCCATGTCGTGTGTGCTAATGCTTGTGCGTGGCGGTGGTGGATCGCTCTGGCTCTCGTCTTTCTCCGGCTTTTTCCAACCCCTCCTCCTCCTCCTTGGGCTCTTCTTCCCCTATTAGGCCCTTCCCGATCGGTGCGCCGGCGCACGGGAACAGCACGAGGGAGAGACATGTCGCAGAGAGCAAGCGAATTGCCCTGAAGTGTCTCCCCAGAACGTGTTACAGGGCCCTATTGTCTACACTGAGAATATTTTGTGGTGTATTTTATAAGGTTTTAAGAAAAAATTGTAAAAGTAAGAAATAACCAAATTGAAGTACTCTCAGATAAAAATATATTTTAAGCTTCGGAAACCTAACCCAATAAACCCAATTACTGTTTGCTATTTTAGTAAAATATTGATATATATAAGTTTATATATTTTTTAAGACTTTAAAGCAACAAATTATTTTCAGTGTAAAGAGAGAGCTGCTTCCGCCCGATCCAATTTCTTTTAAGCTGCACACGTGCAACAGCGCCGAGTGGTTCTTGCCACAAGCAGAGAGCCACCAGACGCACCGACTGTGACCCGATTGATGCTTCGTGGTGATCGCAGTGCGTGGTAGCAAACAGTTAGGGGAGGATTTTGCAAGTGTACGAGCCACAGCTACAAAAAGGATCAGCTTACCTTGCGGCAAGATCATTTCTCAAGTGACTACCGTGCAGTGAGGAGCACCAGCGACAAGATCGCAACATCAGCAGCAGATCGCAACCTATATTTACAAACAACTCATTAAAACCAACAAACACACAATGGCCGTGGAGGGTCAGCGATTTATGACCAAGACCCAGCACTACCGCAAGGTGACCAAACCGCTGCTGGAGCGGAAGAGGCGGGCCCGGATGAATCTCTATCTGGACGAGCTGAAAGACCTCATTGTGGACACTATGGACGCCCAGGGCGAGCAGGTCAGCAAGCTGGAGAAGGCCGACATTCTGGAGCTGACAGTCAACTACCTAAAGTCACAGCAGCACCAACAGCGCCTGGCCAATCCCCAATCCCCCCGATCCTCCCAGGTCAACTTTGACAAGTTCCGAGCTGGATACACCCAGGCTGCATATGAAGTCTCGCACATATTCTCCACTGTTCCCGGCTTGGATCTCAAGTTCGGCACCCACCTGATGAAGCAGCTGGGACACCAGCTGAAGGACATGAAACAGGACATGGACTGCACCGAGCCTAATGACGAGCCCGTCAATCTTTCCGAGCGCAAATCGGATGAACACGTACCTCTGAAACGCTCCAGGTCGCCGCAGGAGCACGAACAGGAGAACCCCCAGGGCGAGGATGTCTGGCGTCCCTGGTGAAGAACTGAAGAACCAAAACACTCAACATTGAGAGCTTTACTACTCTGGTTTTAGAATCTAAAGTCTAGATGATAATCACTCAGAATAATCCATGTTTTCCAAGGCCTAGTGTCAACATTTGCCTCAGAATCGTATTAGCTTTTAGTAGATTTGATATGATGTGATGTTCCTGTGATAGTTTTTAAGTTCGTATTTTTAATTGATCTCCCTTAGTTTTTAAGATTCACGGATTTAACAATCATAATTTATTTTATTTACACATTTTATAGCTTTCTCACTGAGCTTCCACTTAGTTTTATCAATAAAATATATTCTTATGTGCTTTAATCTATGTATTTTTTCTATAAAATATCTAGAATAAGTCAATATCCATTTAATAAAAGAAAGACTGCAAAACAAACATATTCAGACTTTTAGATGAAGGGAAACTTTTAACTTATCTTTATTTCAACCCAAATGATCAAGGGTAATATATTTTTAATATTCAAAGACTTTCCTGTTTTGTCATATCGAAATCTATGGCATACTTCTCACATTTAGATAAAATAAATGAAAGAGAGATTTTCTAGACTAGAAGATACTCGCAACTACTATTGTCTTCTCCACGACCTTTAACCAATAAATTTTATTTTTTAACAAGCCATTTATATTTTTGAGAACATTACTAGATTTCATACTTTCAGGTTTGAAAATATGTTACAAAGCTGATTATGTCCTGGGAGAAGAATCTAAAGGATGGTACCACTCGCCAACTCTTCATTTACAGATTCAGAACGAAGCCTAGTAGTTTTTTTTATCGCTAAGCAAGAAATCTATCGAGATTTTTATATAAAAACTATTTCAACAATCTAATACCATTTTAAATGTGGGAGGACACTGAAAGTCTTACACTACTTGCAGCCGCCTTTTGCCAATAAGATTCACTACAATAACCGTCAACAAATATATTATATATCAAAACCAGGGTAATCATTTCCGAGACGTAGTTTATAGGAACCAATTCTTATTACTTTCAGATATCAATAAGTCATCAAACAAGGTATCTTGTTAACTCGATATAGCTTCGGGTATACCTCCATTCAGCCTCCAACTCGATTTTCCTATAAGATTGACCATCAATCAAACACTCGAAATAATATTAAAAGAGTCTAAGCTTCTTCTAAGCTTCACTTTCTATTTAAATAAAGAAACCCTTTTATGAAGTCCACTTTAAACTCCTATATACCTTTACTCCTTTAGTACCAAAGGAAATCGTCCTCAAGATTACAGACTCCTGGCATGCACGGTCCATCAGCCGCTTACAAAAGTCCTGGAACGCGAACAACTTACAGCCGAAAGTGTGTCCTCCCCGAGCCACACGCGAGGAGCGCTCCAAGAGCTGGATCGCCGGCCGCTTTTACATCGCAGCTCGACAAGGAGGGGAGAGGTCCTGCGGGTCATCCGTAAAGGTGAATGACGAGGAACAAGGACGAGGGAAAGTCGAGAAGACATTAAGCGCACTCGGCGCACACGAGCAATGTTCCCACAGGATCATAATAGCCGACCAACAAGTGCCAGGATGCCTTTAAACTCGAACCCGATCCAATGTGGAATGCCAACGGTAAACAGGAAGTCGTCGAGGAATCGAAACGCCCCATCCCCCGCCCGGAGATCCTTGCAACCGTGGGAACTCGAAGGGTATCCCTATGAGCTGGCATAAAGCAAGCGGTTCATTATCCTGGTCCCCCTCCTGCCCCGTCTCCGGACATAGTCAAATCATAACACACAAATCTAGAAACGGCAGCTGTTTCTTCGGCAAATTCCCATAGCCCTGGCCGAGGCTCATGCTTCGATGCTTTTGCGGGGCAGGTGAGCGAAGCGATGTGAGAAACCGAGGCAGAATGTGTTTCCCACGATCCTGGCAGCGATCCTGCTCCCTTGGCCCTTGATAAGGGTGCGCAGGGCAACAATAAGAAATCGAGCGAACAATAAGAAGCGGTCTCAAGAAGCGGAAGGGTCGTTCGCCGGCCGAGCAACCCTCATGCCAGCACACGGAGCGTGTCCCTGTCCCTTTTCCTCACCAAATGCCAGCACACAAGCGCACACATTTTGGGGGTTGGTTTTCGGGCCTGCTATAAAAGGCTGGCCGGGATCATGGGCCCAACACACAACGTCTTCGACCGTCAGAGCAGCAAGAGCTCAAGCCACTTACAAGAACACAAGAACACAAATTCCTCAATCCAATATGTCGTCGATGCAAATGTCCGAGATGTCCAAGACCTACCAGTACCGCAAATTGATGAAGCCCATGCTGGAGCGCAAACGCCGGGCCAGGATCAACAAATGCCTAGACGAGCTGAAGGACCTGATGGTAGCCACTCTGGAGTCCGAGGGCGAGCACGTCACCCGCCTGGAGAAGGCCGACATCCTGGAGCTCACAGTCACCCACCTGCAGAAAATGAAGCAGCAGCGCCAGCACAAGCGAGCTTCCGGAGATGAAAGTCTGACCCCGGCTGAGGGATTCCGATCCGGATACATCCACGCCGTCAACGAGGTTTCCCGTTCGCTGTCCCAACTTCCCGGCATGAACGTCAGCCTGGGCACCCAGTTGATGACCCACCTCGGCCAGCGCCTTAACCAGATCCAGCCAGCCGTTAAAGAAGTCCTGCCAGTCACGGCTCCTCTCTCCGTGCAGATCGCCACCCGGGACGCCTACTCCGTCCCTATTTCACCTGTCTCCAGCTTCGCCGGCAGTCCCAACTCCAATGCCAGCTCGGCCAGCACCTCCCTGTTGACCACCATTGATGTCACCAAAATGGAGGACGACAGCGAGGATGAGGAGAACGTGTGGCGCCCCTGGTAGATTCCAGCGAATCAGCGATAGAAAGTAAAAGTCTTCCAAGTCTGTGGAATTCCCCATTGGACTCACAATCTAGTTTTAAGCACACAAACCCCACAAACCCGAAAGCTTTAGACGAGGACGCGCACGCAGTTCATGTGATAACTAAATAAATAATAAATTATATAGATACAATTGAAAGATCACGAGTTTTTCTTCCGCTATTTGCTCGCCATTTCAGTGACTCACTTGGAAACATTCTTTCAAGCTTAACTGGCACTCCCAAAGTTAGAAAATAAATATTAACTTTGCAGTCACCACCGGAAATGCTATCAAAACTATTTTTCAGAACCCAAGTCTATGTAACATTTCGATCGCCCCATCAGCCAAGACAAAGGAAATCGAAAACAATGCCAAGGCCGAAGCCAGAAGGAATTAGGTAGAAATGGTCAAAAAAGAAGAAAAGACCAGGCCAAAGTCGGGGCTACCGATGGGCTATGTGGACCCTTGAACACGTGTGCAGACAATAAGCAAAGGTAACACGTAAAATTAGAGACTTATCCCAGCGTCTCTAATCGAGTTACGACAATGTCGCTCGGACTTTCAAGAAAAGATTTAGGAACCAGGGGAGGGTCCCAAAATAAAAAGGGATCGAACAATCATTCATCCTCGTTTTGTCTTATTTTCCTTTTCCTTTCTTTTTTTTTATAATTTTTTCTTTATTTATTTTTTTTGGGATTCTTTCCCCCGTCCACTCTCCGGGCTAGAAAATCGTGTGCACAATGGTCAAGGTAAGCCCCGGCTCACATAATTGCTTGGGATCAGGTAAATGAGGGCCTTGCCCTAGGGCAACTCGAAGATGGAGCCCCGGACAGGATATCGTTTTTTTCTGATTTTTTTAGGCATTCTTTTTTGGTTTTTTTTCGACTCATTCCAAGCCATTTGCTTATCTGTGTGGCAAGACCAGTAGTCGATCCCCAGACGCCTCTGTCTTGAAGATCGACGGCGGTAATAACGAGGAAATAGTCAACGAGATTGGTATCAGGGTTACCTTGGGCCTCTGGGGTTTCAGTTTAATATAATAAATTCAAAGGAACTTGATAATAATTTAATGATTTTATGTAGATTAATCGTAAACTAAAATCAGGCCAGGAACCCTAATTCTTGCCCCATAGTGTCACTTCCTGTCTTAAGACAATTATTTATCCTCAAACTTAAAGACCCTGATATATCTCAACTCATGTTCAAGGGTTATCCTTGCCTAGATGATCCGATCAGGCCACGTAACTGTCGGGACAATACCCAGTTACAATGGACAATAAGAAGTACAAGGACGTATATGGCGAGGAATCGCACCCAAAATGCCAAAAGGAAATGCAATGCAATGGCAGGCAGCACAAAAGATACTTAATCTTATAGGCAAACCCGATGAATGATGAACGTAACCGAAACCCCGATGCAGCAATATCCAGCGATCGAGCTCGAACGCAAGCCCAAGTCATTAAAAACTACAATACACAAACTGCATACGAATCACTCCAAGAGCCAAGACTGAGGTCCAAAAAAGGGTCTACTTCGAAGGGTGAGGGGAAGGGGCACAAGCCGGGGCTGGGGTAGGGACCGAACCAAGAGCCAGAAAAAGAAAAAAAAAAAAAGAAATATCAGAAGCGAAGATCGTGAGAAAATGGTTTGGAACGTGGTTCTCACACGATCGACACACCTGCCCTTTTTTATGTGTGTGTAGTGTGTGGCAGAGGGTATATCCGTGTGCCTGTGTGGGTATTTTTACGAATTCAAGATACAAGACCACTTACTGGCAAGATCACGACCGACTCGAGCTAGCCACACTTGGAGAAAAAAAAGGTACTTAAAAATATAAAAAAAAAATATCAAATATCAAAAATAAATATTTGTGAAACCTTTAAACTTATTAAGAATATGGTACTAACACCAACTAGTTTAAATCTTATTACCTTCTTGTGTAAAATTTTCTCTCAGTGCTCCTTTAGCGTTCGACATGAAAGAGAAAAGCAGCGTGCGGTAAGTGTGTCTCAGCCCAAGTCTCAGCCTCACTCACCAACATAGATGACTTTTGTGCATTGGCCAACATTGTAATGACTGTGGACACACGATCGTTAAGAGCGCGCCGTGTGATCTGGACAAAAGGGGTTTGAGGTTGGGCTCGGGCTGGATTTTGACTCGCGAGGAGGATGATAAAGCCGAGAAGATGGAGGAGGAGGAGGAGGTGCCGCATGCGCTTGCGTCCCTGCTTTGTTGAACGAACTCAATTTAGTGGAGTTATGACCAAAAAGCGAGAGGAAGCGAGATGGCAGTGGGGGATTCGGGCTTCGAGCCTCGAGCTGGGGGCCTTCAAAGATGAAGAGGCACCCAACCACACTTATATGGTGTGCTATTGACTCTGTAATATCTTTAATATGGGATGTTGTTACACTACATTGGCACACGCTCTTTCTGCCACTGGACAAGATGGGGCAACGTATGTATTTGTGAGCTGCTGCGCCTGCGCCTTCGAGTCGGATTCGAAGTTGTTGTACCTTTTGTGGAGGAGATTGAGTGGCGGCGTCGGCTCCAGTCCCAGCCCCAACTCCAGACCCATCACTATCCCAATCCCAATCCCATCCGAAGCCCATTGCCAGGCCGGTTTGCCGCAGCCTCTCCTTTATTAAGTGGTGGTCTTGTGCTTACTTTAGTATGGCTGCATTAAGCTGCAGCGGCGTGTGGTGTCCGCGTATTATGACTGAAGTAGGTGGCCGATCCCGCAGGGGATTCCGCTGCTCCGAGGTCACGTGATGGATGTCGTGTGGGCTCTACTGTACCCAGTGTCGTGGGGTTTATAATAAAAAGGATTAATGCATGTGATCTATCTAAGAAAATAAGTAATCTTTGTAGCTATTTAAGCTATGGTTTCTATGGCTGATAACTTTTAATTTTGGTCCATAACTAACCCAATTAGCACTGTTATTATAGCCAACAAACGATCTTGAAGTGATCGCTTTTCAACTGTTTCATCATAAAATAGATCACCCATTTTAGTAGACTACCGTTGAGCCCTATAAATAGCCGTTTTGTTGTTAACCAAAGCGCTAAAAAAAACCCCAAAGAGTCAACAGATCTAGAGTCTTGACCGTCTTCATGCCAAAGTTACGTGACTAATCACATTTTGTGAAGATTAACAGCAATCACCGACGGCTTGAACGGTCCCAGACTGGGTCTCGAGATGCGGCCCGGTAAGTAGTCATCATCATAGGTTGTCCACCAGACAAAAGCGCTGAAACCGAAGTTCCGTAATCGAACACCACCGCTCATCAGACAGATACAGATACAGATACTGAGAGACACTGGAGTTTTAAGTGGCGAGACGGTCGCGGTCGCAAGCTTAATTTGCAATGTCTGACCGGGCCGACCGACCGCCGGTCGACGGTACCCGGCGCATGTGCCAAGCGGTCAAGCGCAGTTAAGGCTGTCAAAGTCTTAAAAAAAAAAAAATTATATACATATCTACAAGTATAAAAATAAAATATCAAGCTCACAATACAATGGCCAGCCACAATGCTGAACCATTGACAGCGGAGCCGCGGTTCTCACACTCAGCCGTCGCGGGCCTCATAATAAATGACGTTTCCTAGAACTGACTTTTTGCTTTATTTTTATTATTTAATTGCGACAGCGCCGGCGCAAAACTTCCCGCAGAAACCCCTTTATGTCGGTGGCCCCCCACCAGCCCCGGAATCCCCTGATTACCCGGCCATAATGAGGCCAAGCTTGGGCCCAGACGATAGTCCGAGTGTGGGAAAATATTCAGACTTCCGGCTGGGGGCTCTACAATTGATATCGCCGCGGAGTTTAACTCGGTTCGGTTCTCGTTTGTGGGACTTTTCCTCTTCCCTATCCGTTTGCGGTTAGACCCCAGCTTCTAAACCAAGATTATAAAATAGTAGATTCTTTTCTTCCTACTCGAGATGGAATTAAACAAACAAATTCTTATTTCATTGACTTTATTTTGTTATCCGTTTTGGGTTAATTTTTATAATTTTATTCATGATGTGACGCCCCGTCTCTATAGCCAAGATTTGAGGCTCTGCTAGAGAGTGGCGTCGAAGTCCGTGGGTGGGCGGCAGGCGGCCCAGCTCCGGACAGGGGCAGGGGGCAGTGCGGTTTCAGATCCAGCTCTGCTTCTGCCGGGTGGCGATTTGTAGAAACCTTCCGCTCGAAGGTGATCCATATCCAGGCAAGCCGACTCACCAGGGACGCCACATGGGACCGGAGGTGGAGCTGGCCTCGCTGGGGGCCGGGCTGCAGGTGCCGCTCTCCAGGCTGCCGCACTCCGAGGGAGGTGGTGTCACCATGGCTTCCTCAGGTGCCTGCATGGGCACTCCCACTCCGACGCCGATGGGCAGAGATGGCACCACCACTTGCAGGTAGTTGAGACGATGTCCCAGATGACTCATCAGCTGGGTGCCCAGATCCACACTGACGCCGGGAACAGCAGCCAGGGTCTTGGATACCTCATTGGCGGCGTGGACGTAGCCGGCGCGGAAGCTCTCGGCAATGCTGAGCTTGGGATCCGATCCCTGGGTGGAGTTGGAAACACTGGATAGACGGAGCTGCTTCTGGGCGCGCAGCTTCTTCATGTGCTCCACGGTCAGCTCCAGAATGTCGGCTTTCTCCAGGCGGGTGATGTGCTCGCCCTCCTGCGTCAGGCACTCCACCATGATGTCCTTCAGCTCGTCCAGGCACTTGTTGATGCGGGCCCGACGCTTGCGCTCCAGCATGGGCTTCATCACCTTGCGGTACTGATAGGTCTTGGACATTTCCATTTCGAGAACCATGTCTTTGCTTGAGTCTTGTTGGGTAGTTGAAGAAATTCGCGTAATCCACGGAAGAAACGTTCCAGTCGATCGAGGCAATGTAGCGGATGAGACTCTATGTGCTCGCAACGAAGTCGAAGCTTTGAATGAATCGGCTGGCCCTCGGATCGGGTTTATATAGCCTCTGCCGGCGGGGTACCCCGTTGGGAGTGCGAGCGAGACACTCGTTTTGCCTCGTGCGGAGCCTGCTGCTGTTTCTGTTGCCAGCGGTGGTTCCAGTGGTGATGGTGGTGGTGATGGTGGTAGTGATGATGGTGGTGGTGGTGGCTTCTGTTTTTTTGTATGCTTTGCTCGTTCACAGTACGGGTGTACGGGTGTGTGTGTGTGTTTGTGTGTGAGGGCAATAAAATGACTTGAGCTGCGGCTGCGCCTCGCCTTCCTTCCCCCATCCCCCGGGGACTGTCTCACCCTCCTATATATGTGTTGTGATTGTTATACCGTGGGAAACTGTTTCGCAGCCGATTTCCACGACGACGACGATGACGACGGCTGGCCTGACTTCTTCTGATTGTGCATGCTTGGGGTCTTGTACGATCCCTCCTCTGTCTGTCCGCCGGTCCCTCAGTCCGTTTGTCCGCCTTTAGTGAGTGGATGGAGGGACGCATGGACGGACGGACGGACGGACGTCTTAAGAGCCCCGCAACTCTGCTGGATTCGAGCGATGCCATGCGATGCGATGCTCGGCAGCCAGGCGAGCACATGCCTTCCATCCATAACAAGATGTTTGCATTTCAATTCATTTGTATGGTCGGTCGGTTGGTCGCGCGGTCGGGCGGTTGGGCGGTCGGTTCGGGGTCCGGTCTTTTGGGTTTCGGTCTCAAGTCTTGCCATGTGCCTTCACCCTTTTGCAGTAGCTTATGGCATGCTGATAATTGTGGAATCGTCATCGGCCCGGGCCGGGACGGGACGGGCCAGCCTTGTTGTTGTTGTTGTTGTTGTGGCCTGTTGCTATACCACTGTTTTTTTCTTTTTTAGCGCTTTATGGATCATTGATTGGATCGTGGTAGTCGTGGGTTTCGTGGGACGAGCATTACGCTTTTCGTTTACATGATTATTCTTGATTGTCGGTTGGGGGGGTTTTGGGTCGGATTTGGATTTGAGTTCGAGCTTCAGCCGGGACGGGGATCTTGGCCCCGTCGCTCACTTCTATTTGTAGACAATTACCATCTCTCGACTGGGGCTGGGAACGATGAAAATCGACGTGTGCGCGAAAGTCGGTTACAGTCCAACAAACGATCGTTGTTTATTATTATTATTATTTTTTTTCTTGCCTTTTTTTTTTTTTTGTTGTGTTGTTGCCAGCACACGCTATAAATGTTATGGCTCGTGTGGTGTTACGGGTCGTATACGCGATATATTTAGTATGGCGGGTATTTATTTTTAACGCCTCGGTCCGAGAGGGTTTTTAGTGATTCATCGGCTCGAGATGCGGGGATTCATCCGGCGGCATCTCTGACACATCTCATAGAGCTCAAAGCTCAGATTTCACAATATTTAATTAGAAGTGCCGGCCACATGATGACGATCTCGACCCATTGAAAATGACACGGGCTCGACTCAGGGGAGCCAACAGAAGATTCAGATACGGCTTAAATGAATGAAAAGGCAAACACAAATAAGACAAATTAAGACTGCCTCTTGACGCATTCCCAATGAGCTACAGTTAGTCAGGGACAAGTCACAAACGGGCTAACACAATCATCGGCTAACAACTTATCTAACCGCAGCGTTTTGTTGTCTGGACCCGAACCGTTAAGCTGTTAAATGTCACAAAATCTGAATGCTCCGGAAATGGCTAATTGGATTTTATCGGTGCTGTTGGAAGATGTAATGAATTTTGAATTTGGAACAGGGAGATTACTTGTATACCACCCATAATTGATACATCAGTAGCTCAACTCGACTGTAGTGGCTCTGAATCACGTCAACGAGTATCATTAATTCCAATTTGTGCAATTAAGCAAACCAGTGCACAAGCACGTGCCCTTAATGGAATAAATCGAGTGTAACAATAGAATTTAAATTGCAGAAACTGCTGGTGCTATAATATAATATAATATATAAGCCTTAAAAAATAACTTTTTTTTCCTTAAATAGTTTCCTACTGATTCAGAAACACTTCCGTTCTTGGGTGTCGGAGCGATTTCGTCAGATTCTGCAATCCAGTGACGTGTAGCGCATATCCCCCAGTCGCCAAAGTCCAACTGGTACTTATAAACCCTGGTACAATAATCCCCAACCTCCACACACACACACAGTCGCAAACCTGAAGACCTCATTTCTCTCGCGTTATTATTTCTCTTTCTGGTGCTGTTGCTGTTTTTTATTTAGCCATTTTTTATCGATGGCATACGCACGCGCGAATTTCTGTGCCCGTGCCCCCGCCGAGCAAAAAGCGACCAGCATTCGGCCAGCGATCACCGACCACCAGGTAGGGGGGGGCGGCTGCCAAGGGGGCTACTGGGGGCAGGCAGGGAGGCGGGCAGTACGGGAGCAGCAGCACGAGAGCGTGCAAAGCTCGGAGACCCAGAGCAACACAGCTATAGCGTGTTGTTGAATTAATTTATATCCAACAGTGCGCTTTCAACTTTATTGCGCCGCGAAAAGCAGCCAGCCCAGTCAGTAGAGCTCCAACAACCCCCCACTCTCGCCCCCGCCACAAGCCCACACAGTCCCCCCCGCCGAAGATACACTCGGACACACAGATACGCGCCGGCACACACACCAAGACAGCGCCGGACCGTGGGAAACAAACTCGTGCCAGTCGTTTCATTGCTGTCAAATAATATCTTGATGGGGATCAACTTGAAAAGATTGGTTGGGGCTTGGGCTGGGGCTGGGGCATGGGTTCGGGGCTCGAGCTCGAGCCCGGGCCGTCTTTGTCTCGCCCTCTCTGTCGCTCCCGCGGTAGACCGTCTCTTTCCCTCGCGTCTGACGATTGCCGCTGTTTAGGATGCGGTCGACGCTTTGTTTTTTTTTTTAACTCAATTTTTTGTTGTATTTTTTAGATCTCTTTTTTAATGCTTTACACATTTGTTCGTCATAGCCGAGCGTTAAGTATGTGGAGTGTGGCTCTGTGTGTGTACCCACAAGTGCACTCGGAAAAAAAGGTACTAATTGGATAGGTTGGGTAACCTCATAGTGATTATCTAAGCTAATTTTTTAATAAGTTACTTATTTCGAAGGTATTTTAAGGTGGTCTAAGAGTTCTTAATATATGTTCTTATAAGTTTTCTGTACTAGCTATGATATACATAACCTAGCTTGTATAGGTTAGGAATCATCCGTAGGATGATAGGGGCTTAATAAGAAATCCATTAGTTAACAATTTTAATAAGCATGAGTTTGCGAAGAACGTTTGTATACTATACTATAATTGTATACTATTTCTATACTAGCTATGGTATATAGTTTATAAGTAATCTATAGGGTAGGTAGGGCCTAAAGAAGCAATCCATTAGTTAACAATTTTAATAAACATGAGTTTTGCGAAGAACGTTTGTAACTGAAACTTCTATGATCTATCTAACACATCTATCTTAGATCTATTTAAGCCGATCTAAGTACAAAAATTTAATCCCAACTAGTAGTTTCTCCTCAAAAGTCTTTCAAATAAGAAATCCTATAAGCCTTTTATAACATTTTTGTTTAGTGCATACTGGCATTGGCATCTTCATGGTGTAAGCAAAGATCCAAAAAGCCAGAAACCAGTTTGCCATCCGCCAAAGCCAGTGGACTCTGCTCTGAGTCTGAGTCTGAGACTGTTGGGATGCCGACACATACTCCGCTCGGAGATCACATAAAAGACCCGGCACACCTCCTACTGCAGTCCCTCCTCCCCATCGTCCCCACCCCCTGGTCTGACTATTTTTTTTTTTAACCACCGGCTTGTGAATGGCTCCTCCGCCTGCTTTTATGCACTGTTTGTTGTATATACACGGTCGAGCACTTGGCACGTTGCCCATTATCTTTCGGAGACGAAGAACTGGAACTGAAGCTGCGGCAGGGGCTTTTATTTTCTGTAAAGATTTCGGAGTGCATATATCATATTACCACCACCAGCAGGGTGGAGTCGAGATGGAGTCGTACCCCACCACCCGCCAAGTGTAAACTGTCAATGCCCCTTGACAGGAGGTCCCGATAGTGGGGTCTTCTCCCCCCCACAAAAAGTATCGCACTCTATGTTACCATTTCACATAAACATTGTCAGCCCATCTTGACGGGGGGTGCAGTCGCTTGGGTCCATTAGCTGCACTGATAAACAGAGAAGCAGAACTATTAAAAAACACGATCCCCTACGAAACAAAGCCCCCCTACCTCAAAAGTCCCTCGCTGCTCGCTTCGCACACACTTCATTCCTGCGCCTTATCGAGTAATCCCCTAAATAAAAACCTCCCTATCGCTCCACACTTTCAGCACACTTGGGCCGCAAGAAAAGAAATTAATTAAAATATCTATAAGATTCTCGCCACAAGGGAGTGTTTCTTCCCAAATGGAATGGAATAGGACAAGTGGCAGGGACGTGTTTTATTGCTGGTGGTGGTGGTGGTGGTTTTTTGGTGCATCGAGCCCTGTGGGAAAGTAAATTTTTGAAATCAAAACAGCGAGACAAGTGATTCGAGATGCCTATACAAACAGGGGTACGATCCAGCAACCCCATTTCCATTTAGTGTTCCATCTTTTGTCCCGAATCCACAACCAGGACGAAATGACTATGGGAATGCGTGGGAATGCTTGAGTTCGGGTCCCGTTTCCCTTATGTTGATTGCCCATTAGGAATACAATTTGCAACTCCTTTTCCACAACGTGATCCCCTTGTTGATCCTGGGCTTCCTTCGGAGTCGTGAGAAATTTTACCAAGGAACACCTGCCCCGTGTCGGTGTGAGCCGAATCCTCTTGGTCTGTATCAGTGTATTGGTGATTTTTTGTGGCTGCACTGGGGATTCTTGACGGCACTTGAATGCGTTTCCGAAAATTTTGAGGCCAACGAAAAATTGTTTCCCACACTCGTCGGACAGTTGCAGTTTCTGTAGGGGTTTGTTTCCTTAAAACTGTGCTCCCCCGCTCCGGTCCCTCCACTACCTGCTCCTGAAACTCCTGCGAGCGTCGTATTTCAGGTTCTCTGTCCCGATTATCTCCGCTGTCTGAGGGTTAGGGTGAGGGTAAGGGTTTCAGGTCTCAGGTCTCCGGCCTCCGGTCTCAGTTCTCTTGTCTGTAGTCTCTGTTTGTATTCCTCTCCTTGTCGGCAGTGCGTGTCTGCGGCAGGGGTCCGTTCGCCCCTCTCTTTCGGCGTGTACGTTTCCCTTCGAGCGTACAGGAAATGCATTTCGAGCGTTGCGCGGCCGGCCGGCTATAAAAGCCGGGTCTTTGCCGGTTGGGAAATCATTCTGACATCGTCAGCGATTCAAGCAACACACACACAAGTCATCCAAAACAAAAATTCATATTCCCAAAAATGTGCCAACAAGTAGTCGTCGTTGCCAACAACAACACCAACAACAAGATGAAGACCAACTACAGCATCAAGCAGGTCCTCAAGACCCTCTTCAAGAAGCAGCAGAAGCAGCTCCACCAGAAGCCCCAGGGCTCTCTGGAGTCTCTGGAATCCGTTGACAATCTTCGCAACGCCCAAGTCGAGGAGGCCTACTACGCCGAGATCGACGAGAACGCCGCCAATGAGAAGCTGGCTCAGATGGAGCACTCCATCGAGGAGGAGGAGGAGGACGTCTATGTCCCAGTTCGCTTCGCTCGCACCGAGGCCGGCACCTTCTTCTGGACCACCAACCTGCAGCCAGTTGCCAGCGTCGAGCCTGCCATGTGCTACTCCATGCAGTTCCAGGATCGTTGGATTCAGGCTTAAACAACATCGCCTTCAGCCTTCATCCCATCCATCTTCAAGCTTTAAAAACATTGTGATAGTAGCACTAGCAGCGGCTTTAACTCCTCATCGAGCGAATCTCATCTCGGCGATCCAGAGCTTCCATTAGTTATTAAGATATTGTGATAGACAAAGAAAGAGAGCTTTAAACAAAAAATCGTACAAAATACAAAACAAGAAATATCAAAATCAAATTACAACATTTTATTATTGGGCTTGGGATTTGGGGTTTTCAGTTTTTTTTTCGCAGAATAACATGATATGATTGAAGTCTGCAAGAACGAATCACATGTTTGAAAAGAAACATTGTTCTCGAAGTCGTCATTGCAGATAAGAAGCAGTCTCAGATATTTCCAGAAAATGATATAAGAAGTAAAAAATACGTAAACATTACTCATGAAATAACTTTTCGATGAATTGTGAATGAATTAAAATCTTTAAATTATTTTAATAACCATAGATTTAAGATGGGTTCGGGAAATCGAGAAGCAAAGACTGTTGGAAAGTAAAAACCTATTTCCTTGAAAATGTAAAACCGTCTTTATTGCGGCTTTTAAATGACGATGTAATCTTACTACAAATATTTCCATTTATTACCCGAATTATAATAAATAAAATAATTTTATATTTCCTGGTTCTTAACACTCCACTCAAACTAGGCCAATAAAATGATGTGTGAGCAGTTTTTACTGCACCCCACATCCTGCAATAAAGCAACCCACATTCACCAGAACTCAATACCCTGAATAGCTTCATCCAAAAATGGACAACCTTGCGGCCAGCCTTGTCATGTGGCAAGCTCATAGACACCCAAAGGTGTGATGTACGAGTGTCTGGAGAGATGGCCAAGAACCAACTTGGCCCGGTGCCAATGGGCAATGTTATGGCTATCACCTTGGCTAAGGCCACCATCGCCACCACCTGTGTGTGAGACCAAATATGGATGTCGTGCGCATAACTTCACGGCAGCTCCTGGCCAACGGACTGGATGTCGCTTGTCGTACAACTTATTTATGAGCCGTAGAGGGAGTGGAGAAAGGCGATTGCTGGAAGGGAGGCAATTGGGGATGGGGGGAGGTTGGGGAAAACCTCAAGAATCCGGTGAGATCCATGAGCCTGAGACTCGAGAATCAAAAACCGAAAAACCACAATTAAAATGCAACATGTAGACGTCAACACCTCAAGACATCGAATCACATGCCAAGGCGTCTCAAGGCGGACGTTGAAATTGGGCATAAAAACAGTTGCCGCAAAAGATAATCGCCTTAGCTAGGGAATCACAAACCAACGCAGGTCCCTCACACGATTCTCTCAGACGCCCCATCTCTTTCTCACTATCAATCACAAACGCATTTCTTCTACACTAAATATGCAAATTGATGTCGACAGGTGGGGCTACATAGGGGGAACGAGAAGGAGTTGGATAAAGAAAATCAAATAACAACAAGAATAACCTGAAAAATGCCAGATAAGCCCATAGTCGAATAAGTAATACACTTACCGATACAATACCGATAATTAGAAGTAAGAGTTATATGTATAAAAGGTGAGCTTCCTAGTTTATATTTTTCTAATAGATAAATTATGGGTAGTACGAATGGTTCCAAAAAATCAAAACTAGTAGAACCTCTCTAAAGCTTTATTTTCCTTTAATATATGTCTACACAATAGTATTATTATAATAAAACATTTTCAAGCCCCTCTAATGAGTGGTATATACCCCATCTAGGTAAATAAAAAGTTCTGGTAGCGCCGTGACGTAAATTAAGTAGCAATATAAGTTTCTGTTAAATTGCCTTTGACAGCACATAATTAATTTCGTATGCAAAGCGGTGCTTGTCTGCACGAAGGAATTGAAAATTGGAAGAAAGAACCCATCATGGAATGCCGTTGATAATGCTGATGACATTGTTTATGCCGATGATGAGGACGATGATTGCGAGGAGACGGAATCGGGGACGGAGTCTGATAGTTATCTACATGGGCCGTGCCTCATTTGCATATCTGTACAGTGGACACACATCACACACACACACCCCCCACCCGATGATCCTGCCGTGGCTTGAATCCGACTTTATGCTTGAGCTGGCCACTGGGATTGTGGATTGTGGTCTGGGGGTCTTCTTCATCGGTGGGTTTAATGGACGCGTGTGTACCCAATTCTTGACGACCGACGAAGCGGCCTTCGCGTGCGTGACGAGCATTCGCTTAGCGGTCATTGATTGGCCGGGTTGGTCGGTTGTCGGTGGCCGGTTGTTTGTTGTTGCCCATTTGGTTGTTGGTTTTTGGCCAGGTCTAGGCGATGGAGGGCGCCGGCAGCAACAAGTGTGTGAACACCATTAAACGGTGATTAGACCCGGCCACCACACTCCCTTGCCCATCGTCACTCCTCTGGCGATGAGGGGCACGTCGAGAGGCCTCAATTACCATTACCCCGTGGAGATCGCCGAGGCGATGAACTGTGCAACAATGTGGGCGGTCATAGAATCGGATCGATACGGGAGGGTATAGATCCAAGATCATTTGTCAAAACCTTTGGGAGAGCCGACACTCTCGTGGGGTAGTTTTGAAGATCAGAATACACCCATACACTTAGGAATTCATTGATAGGGGATTTACCAATTACACTTGATCTTAGTAGTAAAAATGACTTTATCATTACTCATTTTATATAATTTTTAAATTTTTTTATAACAAAATATATTTTTGAAAGCAAACAATGAGTATCATCTGAAATATATTAGGCAGTAATTTTTATCAAATTCTGTAGGGAAATTTCCTGCCATAAAATGACTAATCAAGCTTATGTCATTAAGGGACCATTTATGAAATTGAACTACAACTGAATACTCTCATTTTCCCGAGAATAGAACAACTTACATCTTCAAATGTTTTCCAGAACTACGCATTTGAAAAAAAGTCTGTCATCTTCCCCAAAAAGATGTTTTCTCATCGTTAGGAGTTGTAAACAATATTTATCTTAGACATAGTACCATCAAAATAATACTTCCCCGATTTTATCAATAATATTACACAGACCATAAGGAAAAACAATAAACAAGATAGTCGACTTAACATTTAATGATGCTGGTTCGGGACAACTTCCCCCTCAGACCGCAGACATGCCAATTAAATCTAAAAAGCAGGTTAGTCACTCAAACAGAACTGGCACATCGTAGAACTTTGTGGGCCACATAAACAAGTTTTTTGTTTGGCCCGCTGATAAGGGGCCCAGCCTTATCAGAGAACCATGGCTGATACACTATCTTCAGGTGAGTAGCTGCGGAGAGCCATAAAAATATATAAAAATCAATGGAACTTCAGACAGTCACAGCAATTGAAATCGATAGCTACTGAAGTGCGAACGCATTCCGCGGAAATAAATAAAGCAAACTTTATATAAATTATAAAAACCTTAAAATGATGAGCCAAACTTTTACACTCTGCTGCCTTGTTTTGGTGGCCTCCGTATCCGCCAACACGGTCTCCACCAACGACACGGACTGCCCCAAGTTCTGCCCCTCCCTTTACAAGCCGGTGTGCGCCACTGACGGATTGAACTTCAAGGAATTCGCCAGCGACTGCAACCTCCTGAGCCACAACTGCCGTCGCGAGAGGAACAGCCTGCAGGGTAAGTCCCGAGACTCTCCAAGCCCTACAAGTCCATTCTGACTAAGGATAACCCTTCTTTAGCCTATGCTGCCACCGATGCCGCTTGGTGCAGCTCCGAGTTTGTGGAGAATCTGCACGAGAAACTGGGCAACTTCAAGCTGGAGGTCCAGGAGTGCTTCAAGCCCTGCTCGATGATCTACCAGCCGGTGTGCGTTACCAATGGCAAGTACCGTGCCGAGCTGAGCAACTCCTGCCTGCTGGACAACTTCAACTGTGCTCTGCGGGTCAGCGGCGCCCAACCCGCCGAGAACTTCCGCATTCTGCGCGACCAAAAATGCTAGAAGCGATCGATCGTAAAACGGAACAATACAGGCCCATTCTTTGTACGATATAGTCCTTGCTTTGTCTAAAGCGAAAATATATTTCTTGAAACCCAATATGCACAATAAACGACTTGTTAATTACGGCCTTCACGGTGGGAGGGCAACGAAAGTGAAATACTCTTGTTCCTCACAAGAGTAGGGGGCATGGCTTGGTTAAAAGGCAAGAATGGTTAGACAGATAAGATGAAATGGGTGTGAAAGGGAAAGTTTACTTTAAAATTATAAACTCTATTTTTATAATATTATAAACCTAATTAAATATTATTTTAGATCTGGTCAAATTTGTACGAAAATGTACCACAAGTCGTTATCTTTACCACTTTTCTATCAATATAAAAAATTATTGATAGGAGTAGTCACAAGTTCAATATCCATATCAACTAATAAATAGTTTTATCAGTCATTTTCATCTTCACAGGATATTCGGCATCGATGAAAGCTTATTAAATGGTAATCGATGGTAATATTAAAACTTCTATAATTTTTAGTCAAAAAAAAAACAGTTGCTACATCCTTTGAAAGATGATACTTTTTTCATAACCTCCTTCTTCTTCTTACATTTTTTTAAAGCTTACTCCTTAAGGACCGTTCATATGTCAAGCCTCATTAGGTTCCACTCATAACATCGCTTCCGTTGTCCTTTACTCTGATCTTGGGTCTTCCGCTTTACGCAGTGTCAATGATCTCCATCCTCCATAAATTTTGAATACATTATACAAATTATATAAGGTATTTATGATGTTTTGCTAACCGTTTAAGTCTCGGGCGATAACTACCATTATAAAATAAACAAATTGCCTAATTAATTACTAATTGGTATTAGAACTAATTAATATAACATACATCCTATTTTTGGACTTCATTTCCCTTTTAAAATCAATCCAAAACCACTGTGCATATAGCCCGATCGTCGTGTATTCCACTCATAACATCGCATCCGTTGTCTGTTACTCTGATCTTGGGTCATCCGCCTTACCCAGACCCAATGATATCCATCTTCCATAAATTTTAAATAAATTATACTAATAATATTAACTCTTTATAAAATCCCAGTCGAGAACTGCCATTTTAATGAAACTTATAGCCTTATCAGTCTCCATTTTTATCAGTATTTTGACGCCCCTCCATTAAATTTAAAAACAAATGGTTTTCTGGCCATTTTCATGGTAAATATGTCTTTATATTTTGTTTTATATGCAAATTAATATCACATTAACAACGGTAAGTATTGCGCAGGAAAATAAATAAATGAAATTAAAATATTTAGGGGTGTAACCCCCTTGTGATTGAGATCTGTTCGGTGATGATTGATTCTGAATTGGCTAACACAGGGTGCCGGGGAGTTGGCTGAAACTCTGACACAGCCAGGCGTTCAGGAGATCGTCGTCCACTCGCTCCTGGGAGTTGGCCCAAAAGAAGGTGCCGTTGTCTGTGCTAAGGTATTGCAATGGCAACTGCAGATCCCAGAAGGCGCTGGGCAACTGTGTTGCACTTGTTGATGTGTTGATGTTGAGGTTGATGTTGCTGCTGCTGCTGCTGGAGTTGTTGTGATGTGTGTGCTGGCAGTTGCGTCCGTGTTGACAGTTTCGACATCCTTGGGAGCTGACCTTCTCCACGTAGACACTGCTGATCAAAGTGGGCGTGTTGGGCGGTTGCATAAGTGAGACCTCCTCCTCCAGGGGCTGTGTGCGCAGTTCCAAGCCATATTTGTGGACGAGCTCCTCGGGAGTTGACTTGCTCTCCGCCTCCTCTTGTGGTTGCTGCGGCTGCTGCGACTGTGTGTTGTTCAGATCCACGTTGTTGGGATGGGCCAAGGTCGGGTGGGTGGGTCGACCCTTGCCACCCACTGCCAACAGTCTGCGAAGTGGCAGCCATACTTTGCGCATGCGCCGCAGAGATTTCGAGCTCGAGTCCGACACTGTCACTGTGGATGTGTTTCCGCTGGCGGTCAGGTTTTTCGTATCCAGATACATGGCTGGGGCTTTGTGGAGCTTGTAGCTTTTCAGTGTGTTGATCGTTTCTGTTGTGTTTGGCTTGTTTCTGCTGCGAGTGTTGCGTGTGCGCACCTCGCGAGTGCTGGTCGTTTACTGATGCTGCTGCGCCGGCGTCGCTCATATTTATATATATGCCGCTGTCGCTGCGCAGCCGCTGTCCAGTCAAGAGTGAAATCGTATGCCGGCTGATCTCACGAGCACCAGAAGAAGCAGCAACGGCAACAGCAACAACAACAGCAACAGCCAAGCACCGTACGAAATTTGAGTGCACTCTCACACACACCGGACGAATGGTGAGGGTGAGAGGTGAGCCAGGGGCAGGAGCTGGGCAGGGGCAGGGGAAAGGTGATCGGTACGGGAACCAACGTTTTATGTGCGCGTACGAGTATTTCCCAAATAAATTCCAACAGGAATCCACAAGCTTCTTCTTCTGTGTGTGTACTTTTCCCATGCACGTACAATCGACAAGGGCCGGTTGATGAGTTTTGGCTGCAGGTAGATGAAGACCAAGACACTGCACAGTGGTTCCAGACCATTCAAATTGGATCTTCCAAGTGCTTAATGTTTATATTTGAAATAAGTAACAAAAATAAATAAAGTTGATCAACTAAATCTATTCAGTTCTTCCTACATGTCATAGAAATGAGAAGAACTTGGATATAAAAGTATATAAAGTTTAAATAAAAAACACTGTTTTCCGGGTATTCTGCATCTATATCTTGACTTAAACCAAAGAAACTAATGGTAAGCCTTTTAAAGTATTTCTATATTTACTTTTTTCAATAGGAAATAATGAAAAAACTGAGTTAAAAACTAATTGGTAATAAGAGTAAATGGTTTTTTAACATACATCCTATTTCTGAATTTAATATCCATTTTAAAATCGATCCAAAACCACTGTGCATATAGCCTGCTCGTCATTTATGCACGACTGACTTTGTTTTCACATTCACACGGTACCCACGGACCGAAGAGGGCCCAGTAGTACATGGGTTGTTGTCCGGCCCGGCTGAGGGGATTGGGATCGGGATAGGGATTGGGAGGGTTTTGCCACAGTGCCGTAGTGGCATGACTGGAAGAAAGGGGCCTCGGCAGCACCTGTTCCCTTCGCCGAGCGTGGGACTAAGACGCTGCCCGTATTTCCGTCCTGGGGAACAAGAAACCGAAAAAGCAAAAGGCGCAGGCGTCGCCGCTGTTCGATGACGATGTGCCTGTGAGTGTGCCTGTGTGAATCTGGTTGTGATTGTGGATGTGGATGTGCAGTGGATGCCTTCGAGTGTGGGAAAGGGCTTATAAGAATTTCACTTGGGTTTTTCGGCTTTTTGGGCACTATTATTGTTTCTGTTGTTGCTTTTGCTTTTGCTGTTATTTCTGTTTCCTTTGCATGTGATTTTGTTTCGATGGTGTTGCTGCCGCCGGGCGGAGCAGCTGTTGTTGCTACTTGTTGGCCTGTTTGTTGTCATTTATAATCAAGGCTCGAAGACCCCGGCGCTGATAAGTTCATTTCCAAAAAGGGACTAGTGGATTATGACATGCTGCGGTTCACACGCTCCGAGCTGAGAACAGGAATGGGAATGGGCTTGGGTTCGGGTTCGGGTTCGAGTTTGGGAAATAGTGTTCGGGGGCTTGGAGTGAGGATCTAATGAGACCGTGACCTCATTCGAGCAGCAGGTCCTTGCCGATCGTAGTTTCCCACAAACTCAGCACTGATCGCAGCTAGCCGCCATAACTAGTTTAGCCAGCTCAGAAACGAACCGGGCTGGTAGAGTTTTTTTTATTTGGTGGCCAAAACTCGTGCCAATCGCGTGTGCACCGCACGCTTACGCCCGAGAGATCTCTCGGCCCGGTTGCCTATGGCCGCTATTAATCTTGCTCGCCCGCCTCCCCCCACTGACCCGCGCACTTTTGCCCCCAATCAGCGTCTAGGCTTTGAACTGCACGTTTGCTAAATTGAAAGCGACTGACTTGGCAACATGAACACGGCAACACCGGCTCTAACTTGCAGCTCTGCAACTTGGATGCCAACTCTCCCTGGGATTGTGATTGCAACTCCTTCAGCAGTTGGGAGCTTGTGCCTGGGATTGCACTTTTCATAGACAGGGAATGATATTTATTGGGGGTATGTATACACTATATTAGGAATATTCACAACTATTATTAGAGTATTAATTAATTAGGTGCTCTGATATATAAATTATTAAATTAAATAGCGAATTATTTATGTATGTAGTGTTTTATTTAAAATCTTTAACCTTTAAGAGCATTAGCCAGTCGTGGCTTGTGGCCCTCTGTAGCTTGTCTTTGCCCATCATCAACTATTTGGCTCTTAAGCTTTTGGTTCACACGACCAGTGATGGCAACAAGTTTTGTGCAAAACTATATATGTATACAAACATATATACATCGCAGACTAACCGACGATATATGACAAGCAATTAGTGTGCATTGAGGTTAGTCGAAAATGGTTTTGCGGTCTGGCCGTGTCTTTGCGATTATGTGTGATGATCATTTTGCATATTCGCATTACTCATACGCCACGTGTGTCGGCCGAGTTGAAAGTTGAGGCATGGACTGAGGCTGAGGCTGAGGCAGAGGCATCTTGAAAGCCGAACCATAGAAATGCCTTGAGCTTCTTAATTGTTATGGCTCCAGTCAGCAGAAAGACTGAAATACCGAAAGCCCGGCCAAGTCAAGCCAAACGGCTAACGGAAGTCATGGACAGAAGACAAACAAACAGAGCGATTCTGCAGCATCATGGGAAATGCTTAGCCAGGCAAAAAGCCCCAGCCAGAAAATAACTCACAGGCGTCCAACCACAAGTGTCATATTGCTCTTTCTGTTTGCTGGATGGTGATAAACTCGGGATGGTGAACAGAAACAGGCACAGCAGCTGCGAATAAAAAAAGCGACATAAAAAACAGGCAACATTTTATACACTCTGTGCTGACCAGTAGCCCTGAGATCAGCGAATCACAAAAAAAATATATATATACGACGATGCGAAAAACAAATCTTAGAACGACAACCGGATGTTAAAGTTTACGACTAAAATGGCGACAAACACCATCAACGGTTCTAAAAGGGTTGAGGGTTGGGGCTTTATATGCATAAAGTGCTTTTATTTTGGAACCCCCAGAGCGACGAGATAGCGAAACTGTAACACTTAATCGATATGCTTCAACGAAAATTCGAGCCAAGTAGAGTCAAAACCATCATAGTGGTTATACACAAGGAAAAATAAATTTCAAATATTACTAATATTATTGTGTATGCTTTTCAGCTAATTTTTAGAAAATCTTGAGCTAGAATTATTTAAAATATAAGCACTATAGAATAATCATTCAATTTATGAAGATATAAAAAATATTAAAAAAGATATCACATGCCATAGGATAATCACAACTTCTTTCACTGATTGTTGTAGTGAATTATCTTATAATATAATAATAGAATAGTGATAATTGTATCTTTAATTTAAAAAGTTCTTAAACCACAAAGCTTGCTGGCCAAATCGCATGGGGGAAGTGGTGTGACAATTTTCCCATGCTGAAAATGTAATTTTAATAGGCTCTGGAGCTAGAAGCTATTTTTTTTAGTGTGCAGTTGTCGCAGTCATCATCATCAGCCAAGCATGCGACATAATTGCGCGAGTTAAAGCCAGACCCCCTCTTCAGCCCCTACTCCGCTTGTGGTCCTCCCCATGACGATCGCCCACTGCCCCCCATCGCTGGCTGACAGTCAACCCGCTTGAAATCAACCAGCAGCAACAGCAACAACAGCAACAACATTTCAGCAATCCATCGGATCGCATCACAATCCAGCCATCCGTCCAACGTGTGGGAAACACACGACAAATCTGTTTCCCACGGTCTCGTAAAGTAGGCACAACACAACATAGCGCAACACACAACAATACACACAGATACAGGGAGACTCTTGGGAGACCCACAATCGGCCGGGTGGCAGTAGTCGAGTAGGCTCCCCCATGTCTCCCAGTAGGTGCGAGCGAGCGAGACGAGACCGGAGACAGGAGATCGGAGAGTCGGCTTCGACAGCGAATGGGAGCCGAGCACTGTCATCATTGACAATAAGTGTGGCATGGTCGAGGGTGAGCTGAGGGGCACCACCAAGCCGCCGGAGCTCCGGTGCTGAGAGCCACGCGCAGTTGCCGCTGAGAATGAGATCCAATCCGAGCACTGACTGCCGACTGCCGATCGCCGACGGCCGACAGCGGGCTCCCTTTGCAATCAATTGAAGACGACGCGCGCCAGAGCACAGCCACAGATACAGATGCAGATACTCATACGCCATGTAGGCGCACAGTGGTGCCGGGCAAAAAATAAGGGAACAAAAATAAAACCTTAACTCGCAAGAATTTAGGATTTTAAGATTAAACGCTTTTAGATTTTATTTAAAATACAACAGGAATTTCTTATCCTATAGCATACAGAAATAATAGCATACGTTACGGCGGCAAACGTGGGAAAATTAATTTTTTACATCAACTACATGAAATAATTAAATATAAAAAAAAGTTTTGTAAAGTACAGAGGTATACACTCCAAGTTTGATTAGGTACAATGTATATTAAATGTAAATAGAAACACGAAAAGGTTTTAAAGTTTATTTCATACTTTACAAGCTACACAGGATATCCGATTATGAAACGGGAAGATCTGTCGAATTTTCTTTAAGGAATCATCAGATTTTACGAATTAGTGATGTCAATTTAATGCTAACGAATTCGTATGTTTTATTTCCTTGTATATTCTTGTTGTTTCTTTATACATATAACATTTTTTTAGCAAAAAGGATCTTCATTGGTAAATAATCAAGAGTTTTATAGCATACTTTTCTGCAATCACAGAAAAAGGGACAAACGTGACTATTTCAAAGACAAAATTTTAATTTTAATAAACAGTTGTGTAAAGATATTATGAAAAGTTTCTTATGGAATTTAATAAATTTTAGTCCTATAACACTCCGGAAAGTGCACTATCAATAGCAAAAAAATTATAATAATATACCTAATAAATATATATGGTAAGAAATTATACAAAAAAATAGTTTGTTACATACTTTGCACAATCTTAGATCACTGTAGCTCCGTTCAAAGACTGTGTGTCCAACCCCCAACCACGGCTTACAGTAGCCTCTCTTTGTGCCGCTACCGATCCGATCCGAGGCGAGGCGAAGTCGGCCTCCTGGGCGAGTGCATGGGAATGTGTGAGTGAGCCGTCATGCGGGAGCTTTGTGCCTGTGTCTGGGAGAGCGGTGAACTGGAGAGCGTGACTGCCACACGGGTCATATAAAAGAAACGCTGGGAACTAGTTTGCCACTCATTTCGTAAACGTGCCGCCTGTTGAACGCACCGCAATCGAGGGAACGCGCAACGCACGCGCACCCATTCTCGTAATAATAAAAATCGCATATGACATTTCAAAATCAGTTGTGATAATGTGCGGTTGAGATACTCAAATATCGAATAAACTGAATCCTTAAAGTTGAAAAAAGCAAACGATCATGGTCATGGAGATGTCCAAGACGTATCAGTACCGCAAGGTGATGAAGCCGCTGCTGGAGCGCAAGCGCCGGGCCAGGATCAACAAGTGCCTGGACGATCTCAAGGACCTGATGGTGGAGTGCCTGCAGCAGGAGGGCGAGCACGTCACACGGCTGGAGAAGGCCGATATTCTCGAGCTGACAGTGGATCATATGCGAAAGTTGAAGCAGCGCGGAGGACTTTCGCTTCAGGGTGTCGGGTCCGGCGGTGGTAATAGCCCACCCCCCGCAACGAGCACGGCACACGTGGAGTCGTTTCGCTCCGGCTACGTCCACGCAGCCGATCAGATTACGCAGGTCCTGTTGCAAACGCAGCAAACCGATGAGATTGGCCGCAAGATTATGAAATTCCTATCGACGCGACTGATTGAGTTGCAGACTCAATTACTGCAACACCAGCAACACCAGAGCCCACAGCATCCGCAATCCCTTGGCCGACTAGCCTTCCCGCTTCTGGGTGGTTATGGGCAGGCGGCTGCCGCTGCCGCCGCCGGCTACAACGCATTTCTGGCCGGCAAGGACGAGCTAATTGACGTGACCTCCGTCGACGGAGCGGCGATGTCGGAGACGGCGTCGGTCAGCTCTCACGAGTCCGGCGCCTCGGAGCCCGTCTGGAGGCCCTGGTAATTGGGCGTGACTGCGAAATCAGTCCTGCATCCTATCTAGATTTTATCCTTAGCATTAGCAATCGAAACCCAAAAAGTGGCTATTAATCGTTCAGCAACAAAATCCGTTGTCTTCCAAAGTAAATCATTTGAAACAAAGAAACCCGGAGCCGACCCCCAAATCGGTTTCGAATTGTTTTTGAAATACTTTTCTAGTATTAGTCTTGATAAACATAATTTGTAAATTGATTGTTTATTTTCAACTGTGATATAACTACGATGATCAATCAATCAGTGGAGCTTTTTAAGAGGGCGCTAACATCCTATTCCTGATTATCTCGATGCGCTCCTTTCTTTGTATAGATAAGCTTTAAATAATTTATAAATGTTAACTTATGGTTAATTGAAAAAGAAAATGATAAAGAAATAGAATACCCAAAATAAAATAAACCAATAAAATTGAAAAAAAAAAATAATTCTTTTAATTAAATTTTTTTTAGGATCTTTTTTTTTCTAAAGGCTTACTTTTCTTGACCTTCAAAAAATTTAAAGTTATTCCTTAAATTATATTTTGTTTCCTTTTTTGATATATTTGCTGAAAAAAACAATTGTAAAGTTTTACAGTCATTTTTGTGGAATGTGTGTAAACAAATTTTGGCAATCACTTATGTACAGTAGTGGCCACAAGTTTAGCACACTATGCTTCGCCAAACTTTAATGAATGATAATTTCGATTCTGCAAGGACTTGATCCTTGATTCTTTTACGTACGGTTAGGTTGTCATATTGAGAGTATCTATGGTTGTTTCTATCGTCCTAGCTTTTTCCTGTCTTCCTGCCGCAGGACATTAAGTGCAGCAACCTCAAAAAACCTGTATATTGTCCAATTAGTTGTTATCGGTTTGACTTTGCTTTTTAACTAAAAAAAAAATTTTTTTCGCGGTCGTGTAATAATATATTCGATAAAATGTAATATATTTTTTGACGGAACATCCATTTTTAATAGCATAGAGAAATACAGTAGTTTGTATTTATTAATTGGAGATCCTATTATGTTGATTGGAAAAAAAGATACTTCAGCTACAATGTATGCAACATTTTTTTGACTTGTCTCCGATTCAGTCTCATAAGCAGATCATCTAATTGGAACCAAACTTTATTTACCGAGACGATCGGCAATCAGCAGACAAGGGACCTACCTGCGAGCCCTGAAACTGGTTGGAATCGAGGCGGAAGATCAACAGGCCGAGCAACCCCCGACGATGATCTCCACTACCTGCTGGCAGGTAAATGGATCAACAATAAGACAGAAAAAGGTTCAGGATCGAGTCGGATTAGGCTCCGCTCGTTTTTCGAATGAGTCATGCCAATTAACAAAGGATTTCTTCCCTATTATTATTTATCTGTTGATTTGTAAACGGAAAATGGTCGGAACAAAGCCAAGCAGAAAACATTGATTACTGTGAAGATTTTTGTTGAATTTTCGAAAGCCTAATTTAATTTTGTTGACCTTAAAACTGAAAGGATGTAAATAAAAAACAGTTCAAATTTCTTTTCAATTGTAAATATATTTTTTGTTTTTTTAAATGTTAAGTAAAATTTATCACAATTTTAGTAAAGCTCTGAAGGTTGTCGGCTTGCTTGTTAATTTTTGTAAAGTTTTGTCAAAAATTAACGGAAGACGTTGATTAAAGCTGGAGATCCCAGATTGGAAGACATGGTTGCGCTGGAGATGGTTTGAGGTGTTGATCTTAGGCCTGAACCCAACGATCCTGGAACTGAGCCACAGCGATCTCGTTGGCGGTGCTGCAGTAGAGGGGCTCGATCAGGTCGTTGTCGGCTGGCAGATCGGAGGCGGCGGTCCAGAAGAAGGTGCCGTGAGCGGTGCGGACGAAGTGAACTGGGACGGTGGGCAGTTGCTCCAGCTCGTAGTCCTCGATGTCGCAGGAGGCGGAGAGGCGCTCGTTGGCTTCGTTCTCGCAGGACTCCATGGAAAGGCAGACGGAGGCGGTGGACTCGAGGTCGGCGTTGCGGCTGTTCTCGATGGATTCGAGCGACTCGAGGGAGTTGGCTTTGAGGGTGTTCTTCAGGTTCTGCTCCTCCTCGACTTGCTGCTGCTTGAAGATTTTCTGGAGCAGTTTCTTGACGCTGTAGGACAGCTTCTTGTTCGACTTGATGGTCATGGTGTTGGTCTTGTTCTGGCACATTTTGAAGGATTTGTTGTGTAGCTGCTGTGTGTAGCTGAGATGTGTACTGTACGAAGCGTTGAGCTCGAATGATGTCTGGTCCTCCGATCGGGCTGCCTTTTATACCCGCTGCCAGGACGACAGGCAACAGGAGAAACCCAAACGCACAGCGAACACAAGCAGGTCACAAAACACCGAGTGTGGGAAACTACAAGGATACGTGTCCGATGGCCAACCAGAAAATCCTATACACCGCATGGCGAGCAACAACAAAAACGGCAGGTGTGTTTTCAAAAAAGGGACTGCATCGGCATTAACCTGCATGCGTTGGAGTGTGACGGCATGTCGTGTTGCTCCCCTCGCACCTGCTGCCAGTGCGGGGCAATTTTATCCTGCTGCAGGATCGTGAGAAACGAGACTTTCCATCAGTTCCCACAGTCTTTATTCGAAAGGATCCTTTTCTGAAAAGGAGATTCATTTTTTTTTTTTCTGCTGATCACTTTTGGTTTTTATGTGCACTTATCCTGTATATTTATTTTTTGGAAACGAGAGCGAGCGAGAGGCAAGATGGATCGAGTGGAGGGGGGGACGATGGAGCGAGGGGGCGGGGGAAATCCCTTTTCGATTTCTAGAACACGTGTGCAGCTCGAGAACGTGGGAGAAAATTTTCAATTTTCAACGCTCGAACTGCAGCGAACAATTAATGGTCCTGAAGCCAGGTCCTAAGAGATCACATAGATCTGAATAGGCAAACAAACGTAAAATGGGATTCTGGAGGGGGGACAAAGGTTAGATGGGTAGGACCGAGTTGAGGGACTTAATGCGCTGTAATTTGAAATTTATCAAAATGTATGTGGAGGCGAGGCGTTGCCCAGAGAAAGGGAAGGAACGAGGCTGAGAAAAAAGTACGAGGAGTTGGGGGACAAGGATCGTCGACGAAGGAGTTGCTTTTAATTTCTGTTGCTGATGGCACACAATTAGCAGGGGACCGGTCCCCTTATCCCGAATCTTATTACGGGGCATTCTCTGTGCCCGTGAGGGGCACACATTAAAAAATGAAAAGAAGGAGGAGCATGGCTGGGAGGAGGAGGACCACGAGGATCTCGTTGGAGGAGCACACGTACAGCGAGCGTTTGTACCTTTTTGTGTGTTTCTTTTTTTTTTATTTGTAGTTTTTTGGACGCGTGATGGCGCGTGAGGCGCTGAAGCCCGGGTTCCCAGGATTTGTCTGCTTTTTGTTCCTTTGCTCCTTTTGGGCATCCCAGGCGTACTTAATGGATTGTCCCTTGACTCAACCATAAATATTTGGAACCCGGTGTGTGAGTTGGGACAAATTAAGTAGGGATCCTTGGTGAGAATCTGTAGGCTGGCGTTAACAGGTCCTCGCAGTAGTTGGCCTGTATCCCGCAATCTATTGGTCCTTTGTGGAGGTGATGATGATTGTATGGTTGAGATCCTTAACAGATCGATGGGCAGATCATTGAAGATGGGGTTAATTGGTTAAGGAGTTCTTTTATATATCCTTAATTAGTATTTAAGACCTAGTATCAGTATAGTAATATATGGTGCTTTTGAATATGCTTGGCCTATAAGTTTACTAAACTTGGCCGAAACTTATAACCCTTGCTTGGCCTATATTATATTATTAAAATCATCCTTTTCTTGAAACCGATAGTTGGCCGATGTCAGGCTCAAACATATGTATATGGGGAAGGTGCTCACCACATATTCTAATGCTTTTTACTCGGCTGCCAGTCTTGGCCCAGTAACGGGTTGGTCCTAATTTTTTATATAAATAAGCATAATTTTTAAATTATTCAGCAAAATATATAAAGGCAAGACAACCGAAGGTCTGGCTGCCACCGCTTTACCAACTAGGTTAGTCTAGTCTAGTAGTTTAAACTTCTCTATCTTCAATAATAAATAAATAAATACAAAGGCAGTTTATTCAGCATGAACATATTAAGTTACTATCTGTAAAATACTGTCTTTTTTATAAATGCAACCAAGCGGACTAATAATAATGACACTTATTAAGTCCAAAACATAAACAAAAAAGCGATCTTTCTCTTAAAGGATACCTTTAAGTTTCGATTGAGAGATCAACAGAGATCAATAAAATCTTTTCCCCAATACGATAGAGAGTAAAGTCAATAGAAAGGTTAGATATTTCTATAAAGTCCCTCTTGTTTTATCTCAACAAGAACAACCTCCAATCTTTTCAGTATCCTTTGCTGGATAAGCAATTCCAAATTATTAAATTGCTTCTCGGAAATTGACCTTTATAGCCTCGGGATGATTCTCCCAGTTCTTGGTAAGGTTTTTGGTTGACTCATGCTACCGCATTATTCGGGCCTTATTATGCACGGGGATTGTGTTGATCTAATTGTGTTTTTGGTCCTTTGGTTGTGATTTTATATTTTCGGTGGACTCACTGCCCCCGTATGCCTTTCTGATGGATATTTTGTGTTGTTTTTTGTCTTCAAATTTTATTGTGTGCCCACGTGCAGACCCAAAACAAATAAAAATACCCAGTTAACCATTTCGATGGGAAACCAAAGCCCCGCTGGGGGTCCCAACAGTGGTTTTGGGTGACTACTGTGGTGTCTTTCCTTTTCTCCCTGGTCTTCTATTTTTTTTTTTGTATCTTCCAGTGAAATCTTTGCTCTGTGCTCCGCTTGAACACGTGCACTGATTTCTTATCGTAGCTCGATCATTAAAGGTTCCAAAGTGTAGATTAGCCCGACGCACACAAAAAGCCGAGGAGAAAAAAAAATAAAATAAAATCAACCTGACCCTGGCCATCCATTGTCTCCCGGCCAAGTGTTCCAGGGGGGTGGGAACGATCGTGTTTGTACACGTGACGACCTCGTTTCGTTCGCAGCAGGGTGTTACGGTTAAACGGAACATTTCGAAACCCCGACCCCGTCACGTCCGTGGAACGATCCGAACCGCCCTATTCCTCTCCCACCTACTGGCCACCTTATTTTCTGGCCATAATGTGCGGCAAGTGCGAAACGTGAGTAACTTGCGATCGTGAAAATTTCACACATGGCCCGAATGGCAGGCGGGAAAAGCCAGTCACCACACCCATCACTGATCATCGAGGTCTTCGCAGGTCCGCAGGTCCGGTTACACGGTGCAGGACTTTCCACACCCGGGTGAGAGGACATTCACATGTGTCCAGTTCCCAAATCTGTTACGGTATTTCCGTTTACATATTCCGTGGTCAATGGCGCGAACATCAAACGAGGCGTTGCTAGAATCTCAAGCCTTCGTAAGATGAGTAATGCATCTATGTATCTGTGTATATTTCTTGTGCATTACATACGTACATAGTTTCATATGAACGTACATAGTTTTACATTAGTTGAGGATTTGGGTGATAGTGGAGCCCCAGGCCAGGCAATGAACCCAACGTCCAGAAAATTTCAACATACAGTTGATTTAACATACAGAAGTTATAAACATTTTGTTTTATCAACTTTTTGCGGTTTTTACTTCCGTTTGGTTCATTATTGATAAAATTAACATCTACGACTAGTTATAATAAATGTATATATTTCACATGCCTTTCCGGACAACCATTTTGTGGTGAAATATGTTTACTTAAATAAAAAACATATTTCTTTAATAAATATTTTAAAAACCGCACCCTAATCTACCCCACCCCCACCCTAAACCAAAAAAAAACAAACTCAAACAAAATCTTTAAAAATGGTGAAAATTTAAAAAAAATGGATCAATTCAATGTTTTTTATTTATTCAATAAAGTATTTACTTTTTTCAGAATATTCGTGCCTAATTTGTATATTTTTATTCCTTCATTAAGACTGTCAGATCTTCAGCTATCCTATAGATTTCTTAGGAAATTAATTTTAACAAACCCTTAAATTTTATATCTTTAGAAACCTCTAGAGTCTAGACTGTAAACTATAGACACAAACTATAGATAGACTCCAGACCAACGTGGCGGTTTCTTTGGTTTTGTAATGATAAAATAACAGAGACAGTAATCAGTGTGGTGATACAACACATGTGGGGTCCTTTTTGTTATCAAATTACATTGGAGGAGACGTGCCCTTGACACGAGACAGTGCGACAAGTTTTAAGTTCTTTTATTTTTAATCTTTTTTTAGTTTACAAATTAGTATGTGCGATGGTATGTCGCATATGCATATGCGGGAGGCCAGTTCCAGGAATCCTATGGCCGTTGTCATTGTTGGTTTAGGATATCATCCGAGCCAAAGTCCGGGCCTCAAGGATCCCCTGCCGCCGCCCATCACTCAGCACGCACGTGCAGGACACAAAAGGGGTCGTAATTGACGGTTTAACTCGATGGGTACAGAACCTCCCCCGAGCCAGGAAAAAACAATACGATATATGAGCCTCGGCCAGTATGCAGATTCGATAACATAACACCCAGCAACACGTGCACCGCAGTGTTAAGCTGTCAATCGAGGCGTAGACAGGTTCCAGTTTTATTTTTTTTTTGTGGCACGCCACTTAGGGGCGTCGCTGGGCCAAGGATTTGCCTGGATTCACGGTTCGGGGACCTCCGACTTGTCCCCGGGAGAGTGTAGGTCCGCCTGGGAGGTGGAACCAAAGATCATGTTTGGAACATTGTTTATCAGGTGAGGGAGGAGTCTCTACAACTCTAGGCTTTGATGCATAAAATGATATATTATTCTAATGAATTGGACCTTTTGAAGAGGGAGTCTGAGGACAGTGTTGAAACTTCAAGAAAACAATGCCAAAAAAAGAACAAATGTCTTGAAGCCAGTTTCTATTTTATTTAATATACCTTTCTTTTATGAAACAAAGACCTCATATTATATGGATAATATTTCTAGTTTAAATTTGAACCAAATCTGTCTAGCATAATGTAAGGAAATTCAGTTTCTTTACTAAGAGTTTCCTATAGAAATAGAGTTTCTGTACAGTTGTGACGTTGTTCCCAAATAGTACGATCAGCAGGAAATGAAGATCCTTAAAGACCATAACCTTTTCAAAGTCATTTAATAATACATATGTAAGCCCACCATATATATTACTCCCTCCGTAATTCCTCCCTGTATCCCTTATTGGAAAGTATAGCCCAATAATAAGATAAATATTTGAGTTTTTAGTTTTTTTTTTATTACTATTAAAGCTTTTGATGTTTCTTAACTTATAAATCTTAATAAACTATTAAAGCTTGGTATTTTCTTATAAACTAGGTAAAGCTGTTATCACAGTGTTAACGATTCAATTGGAAGACATGATTCGTTGTTGATTGTATGGTTGATGGAAGACAGGATTTGATGATTGCTGGCGATGATGATGATGTTGAAGGATTACCAGGGACGCCACATGCTGGAAGACTGAGCTGGCTTGGGGCTGACGGCGGCCTCAGACTCCTCAGTGTCGCTGTGGTAGCCTGAGGAGGCGGGGCTGAGAGGGCGAGAGGCGGATTCCAATTGAGTTGCCTGTTGCTGGGACTGCTGATCGGACTGCAACATGCGCTGGAACTCGACGCCGAGGTGAGTCATCACTGTTTTGCCAACCTCAACACTCATCGCCGGGGTGCAGGCCATCACTCGGGAGATCTCGCTGACGGCGTTCATGTAGCCGTTCTTGAAGCTATCCATGGGAAGCGGGGAGACTGGCGCCTGCTGCTTGACGACCTCCTTGCGCATGAAGACGAGGGCAGCCTCGAGCATCTCGGCCTTGTCCATTCGCAGGATGGCGTCGTCGCCCTGGAACTCGGCAACAAGTGTCTTCAGTGTGTCAAGGCACTTGTTCATGCGGGCCCTTCGCTGACGCTCCAGTAGAGGCTTCTTCACCTTCAGATAGTGCTGGGTCTTCGAGACGAAGGCGGTTTGGTTGCTGTTCTGTGGAGCCATTTTTGTAAATTTTGTTTCGATTGTTTCTCAGAGGACGAGAGAAGATGTGTACTGTTTGCAGGATGCTGCTCGAATGATGCTCAATCCGACTGCTGTACCGGCTTTTATACCGGAGCCCCGGCAATCGGAAGGTCCTGGCTGGAGGACCTGCTACCTGCGAGGACTGTAGAGATCTGGAAATCTTATTGCTGTGCGTGCGTGGGAAAGGAAATCGTTTCGAGTCTGCTTTTCGTGGGTCCTCCTGCTTATTATTCTTTTTTTCTTTCTTATTTCATTGTCTAGCCAAGGAGTGTGTGTCCTGGAGACCTATTGTAGCTGCAATTAAACCGTAAAATGCTGGCCAAGACGTGAGAACGTGGTACGAGGAACCCAACGCAATTGTCTGCGACAAACTGATTCGGTTTGGGCCACCAAATGAAAATCAAAGTCTGTAAAATTTTAATTGTCTTGTGGCTTACTGATCTCTGGCTCCTTGAAAGGGAACAGGAATCTTCTTGTTTTAAGGATCTCAAAGAATCTCATGCCCAGGATCATTGCCCTAAAATGGTAACTCTTACTTTTAAAGTCAAACATACATTATTCTAAAAATTTCAACACTTCAAAAGTAAAAATTCATTAAACTCCCTACATACATATAGAAAACAATCTTGTAAAATTAAGCAGATTTTTTTGTGACCCCCATTAGATCCTAGCCCATAAATCGTAGCCTAATGTTAGGGAGGTCTGATTGCAACACTCCCGAAGCAACCCTTACTGTTAACCCCAATCCCTATCCCAGATCCAATTCGAATCCCAGATCCCGAGAAAGTGGCAGTCACCACGCAGGTCTTGAGGGGTCTTCGGTTTGTTTTGCTCGATTTTCATATCGTGAGAACCGCTCGACGCGTCGTGTGTTTCCCACGCGATGTGCACACCTGCCATTTAAGACGCTTATATGGTTACGATTACAAACACACGGACTGAGGGAAAAATACACTCGGATACAGATACAGATACAGATCCGGCGAAGCACAGAAGCAACAACCAGATGAGGGCACTCTGTCGGCACACATTTATTGCGCCGGCGCGACGCTTATTATCAGGCCCAAGTAGCAGTCGTCGTCGTGTGACTGACTGACGACTGGCTGATGGACTGGCCGACTGTCAAATCGACTAGCCTGACTGACGGACTGTCGGCCCAACTGATTGCTGGCTGCTTTACTTTAGTTTTTCGCTCTTGTCGTCGTCATTGACGATTGTTTAACTTAAATTACCGTCCAGACAAAAGCCGCACTTGGAGAAAAATTAGCATGGATTACTGAAGGGAAAATCCCCTTATTAAATGATAGTTATCCTTAAAAGTAGGACTCTTTGGTTTCATATTCCAAAATCGATCTAAAATATATTAAAATATTTAAAGATAATTTTTCCAAGTGCATACAAGCTTATGATTATAGCCAAGCCAGTGGTTTCCGAGGAACTTGTACGCAATAGTTATTTGTACTTTACGACATGGGCTAATTGAACGAACGCACCCGCAGAAGAAGTTTAACGAGCGCAGTCCGTCAAGCTGGCATTGATTGGAGCTGGGCGCGGTATTGGAGGGGAGACCTGATCCCAAGCCATGGCTCTGGGATTGTCAATGGGCAATCAAATCATTAATGGTCCCACAACGCCACAAGGTGAGTGAGAATCCCCAGTTGCCCGCTGACAGTTCGGAGTGATCGTTAGCTACTGGTTGGATATGAATGATCCATTCAGGTGACTGATCGCCTGGTGTGCAGCACTTTAATGCGAATTATTTTTGCCATCGAGCCGGGGCCAATCCTTTCAGGGATTTATGTTGGCACGACCACCACACAGCGGAGCGGCAGTTTGTTTGTCAGGTAAATGTCTTTGACAAATGTTAGCACAACAATAAATTAGCTAGACGATAAGTGGACAATTGTTGTCAGACATTAGCACCGAGCTAACAATCCGTGGGATGCTTTGGATAACTTGGAGTTAGCTTGGTGACGAATGGCTACTTCCTGGTGATGGTTCTTGGCATAAATACAAACTAGGAAAAGTATGTGGTAATAATAGGATTAAGATACCTTCTCAGATATGCCTTAGATTACCATTCTCTGATATAACTTCTTAGTTATACCATTTCAGAGATCTATATTAAACGATATTTCTATTTAGAATAGTACACATTTAATTTCGTCCATCCACCATCAATTGCAAAAGCAATCCAATCAGCATATCACTTTGCATTCCAAAGCCATTAACTCCTATATTGTAATCAACCTCAAACGCATTTTATCTTAGCTCGTGCCAGGGATCAACCCTCACCCAACCCCCTTTTGGACAACAAACACTCGAAATTATGATACGAGATAAATTCAATTAATAGTCTATCAAAAACAAGACCACAATTGGAAAGCACCTTGCGCACAGCATTCCGTGTTATACAAATGCACGTGACCGGCCCACGGCCAATCAGAGGAGGAGCACTTGTCCTCCAGACGCCACGCGAACGGCAGGCGGCCGGCGACTAAGCTTTCCAAGCCGGCAAGCAAACATCAATCAGGTGGAAAGCGATTGGGAATGGGACGCGTGACCCGAGTGCGGCGGCGGGCGAAGCAATTAACCAAAGTTGAACCAACTTGCCGGCAGGAGCAGCAGAAGCAGCAGAAGCAGCATCAGCAGCAAGTGCAATATGTGTCAAAACCCAGTAACAACCACCACCACTCCACCACCACCACTGAGGCAACAAAATGAGCGGGGCTGTGGCCTAAATTGCAAACAGCTGCCACTCGAACCGTGGGATACTTTTCCCCTAGCCTCAAAAAACGAGATATGCTCAGGATAGGGGAAGGGCCTTCGCTGTCGAACCTTATCCATGGGAACCACAACTGCTCAACGCTCTCAATATTTACTCTGTGCGTTCAGTATATTGAAACAATATAAAAAAAAAAGGAGCAGACGAAAAAAAATTGGGAAGGAGTCGGGGTGAAACGAGATTATCCTGCACGTGTTGAGCTTGCTTCGGGGTCCCTTGCGCTAAAAGCGTGGCAGGCGAACGTTGGGAGATGCTACTTCTGCTGCTGCGGCTGCTCCTGCGCGGAGTTTGGACATGTGGCAGGCACATGTGGCACTTGTTCTGTTGGGTGGGTTTGTCTGTGGGCTGTGTTTTGGGTGGTGATTGCGGTTGCCCATCTATAAAAGCCTGCCACTTGCCATCAGCCCTCAACAGTTGCAAATTGCGAGTCAGCGCGACAAGAACTCTAATTCGAAAAGTGAATAATCTAAAAAAACTCAAAGCCATGTCGAAGGTTAAGAATCTATTGGCCAAAATGCTCCAGCGTTTCGGCAAAAGCACCTCAAATAACGACAGTCAGAGGTACGACAGCCTGGAGGAGATAGCTCAAAATCAGGCCAACGAGCGGATGCTGAGAGAGATTGGAGGAGTGGAGGATCATTTGGTTATTTGCTTGGAGACGGCGGCGGGCAGCTTCTATTGGCATTCGCAGTAGCAGTGGACAGCAGTGGAAGCAACTCTGACACTGAAGAGGCACCACAAGCTCCATGGCCAATAAAACTTCAAGAAGTAATCCTGCAGTGCAACATCGCTAAAACCACATGGATGTCATCAGTCATCATTGAAGAACCAAATGAAGCCATCACTTGCCACAGAGAGTGTTGCACGAAGAACCAGCTAAAGCCGCAATAATGGCCACATAAACCTAAAACCGGTAGTTAGATGCGACCCAAACGAAAGCCTGAATGAATGAATGAATAATACAAAACATATCATCATTCGATGAATGAATGGAGCTACCGTGCGAAACAAGTTGCGTGATGTGGCAGATCCAACAAGTGGCAGACTAGTCGTCAGGATGCAGCACCTCAAGAACTTCAAGTCAGACATCCTCTCGTTGGGTGTTAATATTAAGCCAAATTAAATATAAAGTACCAGTGTGATATGAATAAAAGTTAGTTACAATAATGTAGAAGAAATGTTATTAGCATTTAAGAAAATAAATACAAAATACTCAAAGAAAACTAAATTTGAACTGGTGTCTTACTTTGGGAGCTTGATTGGATTTCTTCCACAGAGGGCATTCCCGATACCATCACTATAAAAACTTACCAATTGGATACTAATTGAGAAAATAAATCTTTTAATAGGCTTTTTAACAACCCAATCAATAGTGATCAAACGTAATTAATAAGCACATCTTAATCATTTGTGATACATTTTCTAACAATTAGTTATTTTTTGTTATGGGTTTTCAGCTACAAAAACTTACGATCTATTATTCTAAGCTCAGTTGGCTATAGGACTTCAAAGCAGTACCTTGCCTTTAGCCAGGAGCTTTATCCATACATATTTCATCTAAATCCCCTCAAATCAAAACTCACCCTTTCTTAATATGAATATATCCCGCATATCCGGGCATCAGCGCTAATCGCAGCTAATGATAATCGGCCGCCCCGTCATTCCTCACAAAATGATAATTTCCTGTCGCAGATTCTCAGGCATTTTATTAAAAAAATACAACTCTTTTTTTTTTTTTTGATTTCATTCAGCTTTTTGCGCATGCCTCGCACATGAAGCTTCTGTAAGGGCCCTTTGCTTTTTGTTTTAATTTTTTGCTACCGCTGCGTGCGTCAGTCGCGCGTTTGGCGTGCCGAGCATGCGCAGTGCGCAGCGCGCACACATATTCAATTACACGGCAGAAGCAGCAGCCGCAGCACAAGCAGCAGCAACAACATCGATTATAGCAATGCATTGACAATAAGCCAACCCCGTTGCGTGCCCAATGGATGCCCCTATTAAAAAAAAAAAAAGAAGGTACAAAAACAAAGCTGGCCATGTGCAGCTCGAAAAATTTTCTCACACTCGCCACAGAATTGTAACGGCTTGTTGTGCAGCACACTCTCAGCACGCAACGTCCCATCTCACTCATGGACCCAGGTCCCATGTCCCATCCCTGTCTGCCACACACTTCCTGTCAGCATTTTTAAACTGGCCACGTATATTGTTTATATAGTTAACGAATGCGATACATTTAATCTTTAGTGTGTGTCAATTTGCCGTACAGTCATTTAGTTTGCATGTCCCTCGATCCATCGAAACATCCCTTTTCTGGGTCCCACGATGACGACGATGATGATGTCCCGACGTGCCCAGGAATACACAATACACCTATATGTATGCCACTTAGCGTTGGCCCGGCCGGAGAGCCCAAGTGTTCAACAGAAGCTACAATTCAGCATTCATAATTGACAACAGCCATGCCACACTCACAGGAGTGAAAAGGATACAGTATGGGAGCGAGGGTGAGAGCCCTATTGAGCCCGGCTCTGACAAGAAAAAATTTAATAAAATGAAGGGCAGGTGGTAGCGTTTTTTTTACCACTACCCGTGACTCGAACTCGTAGCTCGGTCAGATTTACAGTGGGGCAAGATGCCAATAAAATTTCGAAAAATGTTTGAACAGTACTTTATCTCATAAAACCATTAAAGTATTAGTATCCATTCATAAATTCTTTTTCCAGCCATCTTTCCAGGAATTACCAAAATCTTTGACGAAGTTAAGTTAACCTGCGTGAGAAACTGCCTAAATTTTTCTCATCTATAAGCAAAAATCCCTCAACCATTAACGAAAACTACAAATTCCCACATTCAGGTTCCCAGGCATCACCTTAGCAAGTCGTATTACCCAGCGTGAAGCACCTTCGCTAAAACTTCCTAACATGTCTTATAAAAATTCACGCTACTTGCCGTTTAAGAAGTCCTGCAAGTCTTAAAACTCAAAAAAAATGCTATGGAAAACCCAGGACAGGATCACATACCAAATGGTTACTACAATTTCCAAATTTCAGGTTCCCAGGCCTACAAATAACCTTAGCAAGTCCAGACCCAGCATGAAGCACCTTCCTTAAAACTTCCTAACATGTCTTCTAAAAATTCACGCTACTTGCCGTTTAAGAAGTCCTGCAAGTCTTGAAAATCAAAAAATATGCTATGGAAAACCCAGGACAGGATCACATACCAAATGGTTACTACAATTTCCAAATTTCAGGTTCCCAGGCCTACACATAACCTTAGTAAGTCGTAGCACCCAGCATGAAGCACCTTCCTTAAAACTTCCTAACATGTCTTCTAAAAATTCACGCTACTTGCCATTTAAGAAGTTCTGCAAGTCCCGAAACTTCAAAAAATATGCTGTGGAAAACCCAGGACAGCATCATATACTAAACTGTTACTCTCATGAACCTTTCAAAACTATCCATAGGAAGTATTCGATCAGGATGCGTAAAATCCTCAGTTAAAACGTCACGTAGCTTGGAAATACCTTAAAAAACCTAACGTTGCTTCAAGGATATGGAGAATTTCCATCACATGTTCCTGAGGCTTGGCCCACTGTGCCATGTGCATAAGGGCTCGAAACTCGGTTCGAGCTCGGAGCTCGGGACTCGCACACGGACTACCTCCGATTATAACTTATAACACCAACGAGCGAGAAAAATCTTGTGGGAAACTTGAGGGCAAAGTGTTTCCCACGATTCGAATGTCGGTGGAAAGGAAAACAGAGAATCAGCATGTGCAACCACCATCGTACCACCACCACCACCACTGCACCATCGAATCTTCATCCCCTGCTGACATTGGGACATTGGGATCACAGTCATAGCGCATGTTATAGGAACTTTATACTACTGAAGTTTATTTCATTTTAAGAATATTTTTATATTGCTTAGTTTACTTAATTAAAATTAGATAATATATAATAAAACGAGGTTCCTATATTTTTATCTTATAGATTCTGTGACATATTCTTTCCACCTCGACTGTATCCCAAACTTGTTTGTTAAGAAAAACCTACCACCAAAAATGCAGGCGAGAGGATCGTGTACTGGGCCTGGGCCTGGTCCCAGTGGCTGAGTAATTTGCTCGGCAGGTGATGGCACTCTCTCCGGGTTCTCTGCGCGCGTTGAGCACGAGACGCTCTCGCCGGGGGCACGTGCAGCTATAAAAGCGGTGGTAACTGGAGACAGGCCACAACATTCTTAACGCAACCATCGTGCAGTCAACATCTCAGGACTTCCGTCTCAAAAGTTCCTCAGCGAGTTCTCCTACGAGTTCTAAAAACACAAACAAAATCAACACAATGGCCACCAAATACGAGATGTCCAAGACCTACCAGTACCGCAAGGTGATGAAGCCCCTGCTGGAGCGCAAGCGTCGTGCCAGAATCAACAAGTGCCTGGACGAGCTCAAGGATCTGATGGCCGAGTGCGTGTCCCAGACGGGCGATGCCAAGTTCGAGAAAGCCGACATTCTGGAGGTCACTGTGCAGCATCTCCGCAAACTGAAGCAAGCCAAACTCCAGCAGCCCCAGCCGGAGCAGAGCTTCCGCGCCGGATACATCCGGGCAGCCAACGAAGTGTCCCGCGCCTTGGCCTCCCTACCAAAAGTTAATGTAGCTTTCGGCACCACTTTGATGACCCACCTCGGAATGCGCCTGAACCAGTTGGAGCAGCCCATGGAGGAAACCCAGTCAATGAACACTCCACTCTCCATCGTCTGCGGCAGCTCCAGTTCAAGCTCCAGCTCGTGCTCTTCCATCAGCCCAGTCTCCAGCGGCTACGCCAGCGACAACGAATCCTTGTTGCAGATCAGCAGTCCCGGACAGGTGTGGCGCCCCTGGTAAATATCCCAGAAACCTCGGGATATCACAGCTTCAACTACGGGCAATTACGCAATGGATATGCAGCTTTAGAAAATGCTTTACAATGATCCTCACGTTACCAAGTTTTAGACTTTAAGTTAGGTCTGTGATAGGGCACGCTTTAATAACTTTTGTCAACACCTCAATTGATCAGAAGTCTGTTTTTTACTCTACTTATATACAAATGTTTACTAATTAAGAGATCTCAATAACTATATAAGAAAAGATACGTATCTGAGAAAAAAGAAATACAAGAATATGAAAACAAAAATTTATCAAGAGTCTTCTTTTTTATGGAATATAATATTGGATTTGTTTATAAACAAACATTAACCGCCTTTTGGGATGGTTCCATCCTGAATGAACTGTGCAGTTCACAATTGGATTTTACAAATATTTCAAATATTTTCCAATAGGAACATTTGCAGGAATACCTAACAGAGTAATTAGTTAAATACTTTACTTAACCCCTAATTCTTTAAGTCACATATTCCACACTTTTTTAGGAAATAATATTATTCTACTAATCCCTTAATAAGCACACAACAAACAAAAGGTCCCGGTATGAGACCCATATGCAGAAATAATGTTTCTTTTTCTAAAATTGTTTTTTTTAAATAGGATATAATCGGTCTATCTAGAATCTAGATAAAGCCTTTAAGAACCCTTAAATGTTTATGCTCTCATTAAGTATTAAAATACGATCCAGCATCTGGCAATGTACATAAGTAATATCACCTAAAAGCTCCCATGGTGTAAGATAATATAGACGTCATATCTTAAAAAATCGTCATATCTTTCGAGCTTTATCTGTCTGTAAATGCATAGAAAAAGGCATAAAAACTTTAAGACTCTATTACTTGTATGTCCTTTATCCATTATCCATTTGTCTCCTCCGTCTTGATCAAGGGTCAATATAACTAGGAGGGTCGGATAATATTTCGTCACTACATTACAGGCACTCGGTCAAAATTGTATTACCCTAAGAGGGTTACCCTAAGGAGGCTCACCTATAATAAACATTTTCCCAAAGCCCATTTGACTTTTGCCCCTCACAATTACCACCAATTGAAGACCAATTAGAGGATGCAAGGACGTGAAATAATAATGCATTCGCGGTGGATGTTGAAATTCCAGTACAAAGCCTCTAACTCAACCTCAGGGAGTCTGGCACGCCGGGCACACTTCCTGCGCCCGACTGACCCACTTACACCCCAAGTCCCCTGACAACCACCCAACCCAGATCGTGTACAACCCATCGACCCAAGGCGAGGCAGTCGCCGAACGTACAACGATCGACAAGGCGACCCGGCATAAAGCCAATATGCCACATCCACTAATTGTGTCCAATAAACACTCGTCGAGGCGAAGTGTGGGAACGGAAAGAGGAGATCTTGGCTGTGAGGCACTAAGGTCCGAGGAGGGCATTATGCCATCATCGTCTGCAGGCATTGATGAAACAATAAGCGAGTAGATGGCACGGCAGGATAACAATGAGCGGCCCACGCACAACCAGATATCCCAGTTCCCCCCCACCCCGGTCATATCGTTCTGCAGGCTCCGATCCAATACCCATATCCACAGTCATGCCATTCCAAATCAAGCGACAGGATGAGGCAGTGAAGTATGCATTAAGGATAATAACACCGGCCCAGAAAGCAATGCGAACCCAGCGAAAACAACGACAGCTGCAAAAATGTGCCCTGATCCTTAAACACGAAAAAAAGAGAAGCGAAGCATGTGGCCAAAAGGGAAAACAAACGAGAAAAAATTTTGTGAGAAACTTACTTTCAGCTCGGTTCCCACGCCACGAGCCACAAGGATTGTCCTCCGAAGCGTGTTGCAGCTGTTCCTTTAGAGCGAGACGGCCTACACAGGGCCAACCCTTGGGAGCGAAAGAGAGGTGTGCAAGGTGCGTACAAGAGGGTGGATTTCGGAGCTCGGGGAAAGGTATAAAAGGGAACTGCCTTCAGAGAGAGGCTATCACTCACGATTCCGCCATCAACAAGGCAACATCCAACGAAACCAACTTCGTTGAAAATTTACTTTTTAAACACCTGTACAAAATACGTAAAACCAAAACATACCAAAATGGAATACACCAGCAAGACCCAGATCTACCAGAAGGTGAAGAAGCCCCTGCTGGAACGTCAGCGCCGCGCCCGCATCAACAAGTGCCTGGACACCCTCAAGACACTTGTCGCCGAACTTCGTGGTGACGATGGCATCCTTCGCATGGACAAAGCCGAGATGCTCGAGTCAGCGGTGATCTTCATGCGCCAGCAGAAAGCCGAGAAGAAGGTCGAGGAACCCAAACTCCCCCTGGACAGTTTCAAGAACGGTTACATGAACGCCGTCAATGAGGTGTCACGTGTCATGGCCTCCACACCTGGCATGAGCGTTGACCTGGGGAAATCGGTGATGACACACCTCGGCCGCATCTACAAGAACCTGCAGCAGTTCCACGAAGCCCAAACCGCAAACGAGATCCCTGCCCCCGTCTACATGGACTGCACCTCCGACAAGGCACCCCTCAGTCCCGCCTCCTCTGGATATCACAGTGACTGCGACAGCCCTCTGCCCTCTCCGATGCCCGAGGAAGGCGAGAAACTATGGCGCCCCTGGTAAAGTGGCAGAGAGAGGAGGAACCCCAACGCATCTGTGATAGTCCAACTGTGATGGCAACAAAATAGAAACCGAAAAGATCTAATTAGCAAAACAAAACAAATAATTAAATTAAAAAATTACTTAAAAAAAAAAATAGAAAATATTTACTTATTGGGAATTTGGGTGGGATATACATTTCAGAAAATTAGTCAAAATTTATAAACTGGTTAAGGAAATAAAAGGAAATTTTAATGCTTAATGATCTCTTTAAGCTTAATGATTAAGCGATCATAATGGACCACCACGAAAAAAAAAAACAAAAAAAACAATAATATTCAAAGTATTCCATATACTGAAATGGAATAATTTTTATAACTTGGCTAATACTTGTTTACAAATTTTCCTGGCATATACCTTCCTGATTTCTTTTCTTTTCAAACAAAGAATCTAATGAACCATTTTTTGTTACATTTTTGTAGTGCAGATTAAAGGGGATTGAAGCTCTGATTTAAAAATGTTGTACCGTATTTGAATCAAATGCTTAATTGTAAAAATATTCAATAAAAAGGACACAAGAACCTTAGATTTTAGCCAAATAAATTATATCAACAATTATAGAATGATTTTCTTAGTGGAATAACTTGACTAATACTTGGAGGATCAAAAAATCCTTCCCGATCATGGGTCTTCATGTACTTTTATTTTCAATCAAAACCTGGCATAACAAAATTGTGACCATTTTTTCACTTTTTTTCAAGGGTCATAACAAAGTGCTATCACAATTATAGCCAAAAATTGGGCAACATTTTGTTTGGCTAATTTATTAAAACTTTTGATGCAGTTTGAGGGGAGTTGGGACATTTATGAAATGGTATTGCATTCGAATCTAATACGAAATAATTAAAATATTCTAATAAAAGAAATAATACCATAGGTTGCAATTTTTCATTTTTGCATAACTTGTGCATAACTGCAAAAATGTCCATAACTTGACTAATCTTTGCTGGATCCACAAATGTTATACCTTCTCGACCTTGGATCTCCGTAAACTTTTATATTCAATCAAAATGTGTATTAAATTTGCGTTTTAAATTTTGACCAATTTTTTGTTAATTTTTCTAGGGATATAGCATCACAACTTTAACCAAAATGTTGATCAAATTTTTTTTCTTAATTTTGTAAAGTTTTTTATGCAGATTTAAGGGGATTGAATTTCCGATAATTTAATGGTATTCCGTTTTTAAATCGCATCTAAAATATCTTATATAGCCTTAATATCCTCTGAATAGCTAAATAGTTTATCAACAGCGTAGATTTCGGCCAAATAAAGATTATCACAATAATGGTTCACAACAATGTTACACCCTCCCGATCGTTGATCCATTTTTCGATTTTTCCAATGGCACATCACATTTTTAGTCAAACATTTAGCTTAGTTACTTCAGTATGTTGCTTAATCTTCTTTGATTTTTTAAATGGGAGATTGAGACTGCGATTCACAAAATATATTCCGTTTTTGAATCGGATGCAAAATGTATAAAAATGATTGTTCAAAATTTAATTAAATGTTTAAAATTTAGTCATATTAAATCCCTTTATAAATGTACATACTACATAATATATATCTTAAATTCCCCTAATTAATTTTTTTGCCAGACTGGCAACCCTAGGTTAGAATCCAAGTGGCATATCCTTTGAACGATTAAAGAAAGTTGGCAGGCCGTTAAAGTATTTGAATGGCGCCAATTTTAGCGCCATAAGTAATAGATTTTAATGTGATTTGGTAAGCCATGTTAATTTCAGTTGAACAACATTCTTTCAAATGTGTGAAAAAATAAAGGGTCTAATTTTTAATTATTTATTTTATTTAAAGAATAAGTGGGACCAGTGCATGTTACTCGGGATTTCCAAACGGTAGCAAGAATAATAATAAGTGCTCCGGATTCATTCACTCAGTCTGGCCACACTTAAAATTCACCCGAAACCGACGCGTGTGTCGAGGCTAGGAAAATAGGAAATTATAAATAGAAATAGACAACGCCGATGCCTGAAAACCCCCGCTACTGGTAGCTGACCCTACGGAAAAGGGAAAATCAAACCACCGAGGTGAAGATCGGCGTGCCAATTTGTTGCAAAAAATTGAGGCGAGAACGCCATTTACAAGCCGCGTTTAGCAGCGAGTGCGCGAGTAGAACGGAGAGTGAGAAGACTTATGGAAAGGAGGGAGTGGGGTGCGTGTGTGTGAGTGCGAGAGCAAGAGAGCGCCGCCGCCAAGCTGCCCACCACATACACGCCGTGTGTCAGACACTTCGCGGTCGGTCGGCTGAAACAGGCAATTTTATACGGGCGAAAAGTCGAAAAAGAAATTACAACCGTACGTTTTTTTCAAAAAATAAGCATAAATACAAATGTGGACGCGAAGAGAAATTGCTAAAATCGAACGATAGAACGTGCTTATCCAGGACATAGAACTGGTACTAACATTATGTCGTTTTTTTAATTGCTTTTGTTTATTTTTTGTATGGGCACAGAATAAATTTTCTTTTGCGCTGTTTGTGCGCGTGTGTGTGTGTGTGCGTGTGCGATTTGGCCACTCGTTGTTTCCTATGTATTTGTGTGCGCGTATCTCCGTCAGGGTTGCCGCCATGTGAAAACAATAAATACAGTTTGCATTTAAATTGCAAAGTTTTCCCTTTTTAATCCTTCTGGGCCCAATAAAACAAACAAATATATAAAAATCTATATGAATAGAAAATAGAAGTGTTTAAAATCAGTGCAATTCGATTCTGTATTTTGACCATTATGGCAACCCTGTTTAATTGCAGTCTGTCTGTATATGTTCGTATATTGTTTGTGCGGAGTGTGCCGTCTTTACAATAAAAAAAAGTTGAATATTTTCCACGCATTAATTGCCTAGCCCACCCAAACAATACGGATAACTCATTAAACCGGACAAGAAATTGAACTGTGATTTTGCGTAACAATTTCTCAGGCCACATGCAACTGTGCGCTTGATTTTTCGGCGGTAAACACTCACACACACATCGGCACCCTCGCTCCCGTCGGTGCGATGGTGTGCGTGTGTCTCGCTGGCTCGACGTGTGTGTGTGTGCGTACGTGCGAACGTATCGAAAAAATGGTGCAAAAATATGAAAAAGCATAACTAAGCAATTGTTAAATTCCATTCGCAGGATATGCAAAATGCGATCGAAATCCCCAGAATCCCACTAGCTGCCGGTATAATACCGAGCGAACGTAAATAAACAAGTGCATGGAAGTTGTGGAAATAGTCGTGTAAAGTCGTGTGCGGCGGAAAAGTGCCGTCGAAAATAAAACAAGAGCCATAAAACGCTTGCAAAAGAAATTTTCTACGCTTTGCGGCAATCTATTGGAGTACCACCACAACTGGATGACCGGAGGAAGGTTTATAAGCCAGGAGAAAGAGAGATAAGCCAGAAGAGGAAGAAGCCCTGGGGAAGAAGAGGAGTTCCGGAGCAATCGGAGCAATCTGGTGCATTGGCTCCGCCATCCACCTCGGCTTAACCTGCCCATAAAAAAAAAACAACAAAAAAATATAGCATAACGTAGATTAATAACAACATGTATCCCTCACCGGTGCGTCACCCCGCCGCAGGGGTAAGTTCACCTAGTCCCATTGGTCACTCGCTGTCGGTCTTCTAATGTGTCCCCTTTTTTCCCCCCCATCTATCCATCTTTCCCTCCAGGGACCACCACCTCAGGGCCCGATTAAGTTCACTATCGCCGATACCTTAGAGCGCATCAAGGAGGAGTTTAACTTCCTGCAAGCACAGTACCACAGGCAAGTATCCTGGAGAGTGATTAGCGGACGATAATTAATTCCAAAGACTTGAATTGGTTCGGTTGGGAGATGAGAATTAAACCGGATTTGTCTGATACGCGATTGTTTACATTTAAAGCAAGCGAACCTTTCTTTATTTTGAATATTTGACTTTAATGAATAATGCTAGCCAGGTTAGAAACCGAAAGCTAGCTTATCTGATTGTTAGAACTGTTTAAAGAATTATAATCTAAGAATCAAGAACTATCTAGAGAGGTCCATCCATTGAGAAACAAAATTAAGATCACTTTGAGCCTTTCCTGCTCCGCGCTAGTATTTGTGTGGATGCTGCTTCTGAGTTTTGCTCTGGAAAGTAAAACAAAAAGCTAAGCAAACCGGTTTGGCACGCCATATGCGCGCCGCCGCTGTCATAGGATTAACCTGCAAAGCTGGGCCGCCGAACCAACCGACCGACCGACCGACCGACCTACCGACTGTTCCTTGGAGAACAAACTTTCCGCTTCCGTCGCCCAACTAATTTGCCCGTTGATCGTTTTTCCTGTGAATTTCAGCATCAAATTGGAGTGCGAGAAGCTGTCGAACGAGAAGACGGAGATGCAACGCCATTATGTTATGGTAAGTTGGCATGGTCGTGATCCGCATCAGAGCTTTCTGGCTAATCCTTAATTTGTTGTTTTTTTTTTTTTATTTGAAATTCCGCAGTACTACGAGATGTCCTATGGCCTTAACGTGGAGATGCACAAGCAGACGGAGATTGCCAAACGGCTGAACACACTGATCAACCAGCTACTTCCATTCCTTCAGGCCGACCACCAGCAGCAGGTGCTCCAGGCGGTGGAGCGTGCGAAGCAGGTTACCATGCAGGAACTCAACCTCATCATTGGGGTAAGTTGGATGATGGATGCCGGATGATGCAGAAACTTGGCAATGGTTAAACTCCAATAGACTCCTAGACAGAAGAGTAATACTTCCAGAAGTAAGGTCTTAATAGGTCAGGGCAGGGTTTAATCGTAAACAGAATACTTTTGGGCTATATTTTGAGTTTATTTCTTCCACTTTCTAATTTGTTATGATTTCGCATTCGACCAATACCAATACCAATCCAAACAACATTGTGCAGCATCAGCAGCAACATGGAATACAGCAACTTTTAGTAAGTTTCTTTTGTTGCAAGCTCATTTTCGTATTATTTGTTTATTGTTGCCGTCTGCCAATGCATCCGCCAAATGCCAATTGTGCCGCTGCCACAACTATAAATACAGCCACCAAGTATCCACTCCCTCCTGTTTGTGCTCTGATCGTTCATATATTTTTTTTTCTCTCAAATAATGCTTACTTTGCCGCCAACATGTTGCTGTTCTTATTAACCCTAGATAGTCTTTATTCTGTGTGGCAAGAATGCTCGAATCATGGCCATAAAGATAATATTTTCACATAAAGACTATTTTCCGTTAATGTTGTTGTTTAAACACCAAGTTCAATGCTTACATTCTCACAAAGCACGATGTTAAGTTCAAAATCTTTCGACTCGATCCGGTTTAATCTTATTTTGATGTTTCTTTTGCAGCAACAGATTCACGCACAGCAGGTGCCGGGCGGACCGCCACAGCCGATGGGTGCACTGAATCCGTTTGGCGCCTTGGGTGCCACAATGGGTCTACCGCACGGGCCACAGGGTCTGCTCAACAAGCCGCCAGAGCACCACAGGCCGGACATCAAGCCGACGGGCTTAGAGGGACCAGCAGCCGCCGAAGAGCGATTGGTGAGTAAAAGACCGTCATTAAATTATTTAATTATTAATTTTAAATATTAACATTGCTGCAGCGCAATTCTGTATCGCCGGCTGATCGTGAGAAGTATCGCACACGGTCGCCATTGGACATAGAGAACGACTCCAAGCGCCGAAAAGATGAGAAGCTTCAAGTGAGTATTCATTCAGGTTTTGTTAATGGTTTTGCAAGTATATCAGTATCATTCATACGGTCAAACCATCCCATTTCATATCATCAGAGCTGTCCCTCAACTCACCAAAAATCGTAGTCCTAACCTAGATATATTTTGTAGAATATTACTAACCTATAAGATCCAAAAAGACAAACCTTATAGAGGGTTATAGTTCTGGTTTCGTTTAATTTCAATAATCCGCATAATATTTATTCAAATTTTAATTCGGAAAGTAATCATAAAACCAGAACAAACCTAAAAAAAAAAAAAAAGAATTCTTTATAAGCTTATACCTGTCGTTGTTGTGATTGGTGTGGTTGTTGCTATTACTGTTGTTGTTTATTGTGGGGTTTTGTACGAATTTTATTTTATATTGTTTTTGTATTTTTTTCAAAATTATTTCCAGGACGATGAAGGCGAGAAAAGCGATCAAGATTTAGTCGTAGATGTTGCAAATGAAATGGTGAGTTGAGTGTCGGCCCAGATTCAATGCAACCATCCCTCTCCTCCCTCTCAACAAAAAAAAAAATAATAATACTTTACCGAAACCACAATCCAAATACCATTCACGTGCCAATCTGTTTGCTAATCGATTTGTATTTTATTTCCAGGAATCCCACTCGCCTCGCCCCAATGGCGAACATGTTTCTATGGAGGTCCGCGATCGGGAGAGCTTAAATGGGGAGCGTTTGGAAAAGCCAAGCAGTAGTGGTATTAAGCAGGAGCGTCCGCCATCACGTTCAGGCTCCAGTTCGTCACGTTCCACACCCAGCCTCAAGACAAAAGATGTATGTTCTTAATATAATCTATAATATTTCGCAAAATTAATGTCATATGTTACCATTTAGATGGACAAGCCGGGTACACCGGGCGCCAAGGCACGCACACCAACTCCAAACGCTGCGGCTCCAGCGCCTGGCGTGAATCCTAAACAAATGATGCCACAGGGACCACCCCCAGCCGGCTATCCAGGTGCACCGTATCAACGGCCAGCCGATCCCTACCAGCGTCCACCGTCGGATCCAGCCTACGGGCGACCGCCACCAATGCCGCCATATGATCCACACTCACACGTGCGAACTAATGGCATTCCACATCCCTCAGCCCTAACGGGTGGAAAGCCGTAAGTTTATTCGACAAATATTCGATATTCGAAATATTGCATAACTAATCGGTTTAAATATTTTTTTTTCAGTGCATACTCTTTCCATATGAACGGCGAAGGCAGCCTGCAGCCAGTTCCGTTTCCACCGGACGCGCTAGTGGGCGTGGGGATACCCCGACACGCCCGTCAGATCAACACTCTGTCACACGGAGAGGTCGTCTGTGCGGTGACCATCTCCAATCCCACTAAGTACGTGTATACGGGCGGCAAGGGCTGCGTAAAGGTGTGGGACATTTCGCAACCGGGCAACAAGAGCCCCGTCAGTCAACTGGATTGCCTACAGCGCGACAACTATATCCGTTCGGTTAAATTGCTACCCGACGGCCGAACGCTGATCGTGGGCGGCGAGGCCTCCAACTTGTCCATATGGGACTTGGCCAGTCCGACGCCGCGCATCAAAGCCGAACTTACCTCGGCGGCGCCGGCATGCTACGCCCTAGCCATCAGCCCCGACTCGAAGGTCTGCTTCTCGTGCTGCAGCGACGGCAACATCGCTGTTTGGGACCTGCACAACGAGATCCTGGTGCGCCAGTTCCAGGGCCACACCGATGGCGCCTCGTGTATCGACATCAGTCCGGACGGCAGCCGGCTTTGGACAGGTGGTCTGGACAACACGGTGCGGTCTTGGGATCTGCGCGAAGGTCGCCAGCTGCAGCAGCACGATTTCAGCTCTCAAATATTCTCGCTCGGCTACTGCCCAACTGGTATGCCCATAGTTCTTATGTCTAAAACATATTTTTAATCCTAATTATTATTTTTAGGCGACTGGCTGGCTGTGGGTATGGAAAACTCGCATGTTGAAGTACTTCACGCATCGAAACCGGACAAGTATCAACTGCATCTGCACGAGAGCTGCGTTCTATCGCTGCGCTTTGCCGCCTGCGGAAAATGGTTCGTTTCCACAGGCAAAGACAACCTGCTAAACGCATGGCGAACACCCTACGGTGCTAGCATATTCCAGGTAAAGTACTAACTCATCAAACCTTAAAATCTATTCTAATTCTCATATATTTCTAGTCGAAGGAAACATCATCCGTACTTAGCTGCGACATATCAACTGACGATAAATATATTGTGACGGGTTCGGGCGATAAGAAGGCTACTGTCTACGAAGTTATTTATTAAATTCACAAATTCAAGCAGTTTTTTCATTTTGTAATAAGCTCGTACAGTTTTTATTACTAAAAAAAAAAAAAAGAAACAAAAGCGGAAACAGAAACAAATAACTACAACAAAAAGAAGGTCGTAATCTAAATCCGGAAACTAAAAAATCAATAACAATAAAATTTCAATGAGCAGCAGTAGCAACGCATCAAAAAGCGAAGCAAAAAAAATTCAAATTCTACAATATATAAAAGAAGAAGAAGAAAAAACTAAAATTTTAAGCGTACTTTTAGCTACTAAGCCTAAGCTAAGTCAAATAAAAAAAACAACCAACAAACAAAAGTTGAACACACAAATTGCAAGTAAAAAAAAAGAGAAATAATAATAAACAGAAAGTAATAAAAGTATAATGAATGTAAGCAACAGAAACGAGAGTATGTTGTAAAAAATAAAAAAGTTAGTCGGCGATACCTACCTACGTTCATCATAATAGAAGGATAAGTGCAGTCTGCATGGATTAGTCATTGCGAGCTGAGTAGGAGGAGCGTTGAGATTATGATTAACAGCTGAGCAGGTGGCAGATAGGGGAGCTAAGCGACGATGCGAGTGCTTTTAGTTTGTTTTCATGTAAAAGGTTTTGTAATTTATCCCCGAGAGTCAGACACCCACACACACCCGCGAAAGGCGGTAAACAACAGATGTAATTTTTAAGTTTCCGTTTCCTTACCTCCCTCCCTCCCAAATCCAAGTCCCTCCTTGACATTTACACACCAACACACACTCAAAACACACACATTTGCATAAATGAAGGTATATATATCTATATATATATATATAAATATAAATGAATATAACTAGTAAGAATTTAATTTAAGGTTTTCTTTAAAAAATGAAACACAAACAGACTATTTAACACACCGACCGACCGACCGACCGACTCCCACACCCATACATTCTCGCATTGGGGGGTCAGAGAGCTCAGAGCAGTCTCAGCTTTTGCTTGTATGTAACTTGAAAGGATGTAATGATGAGGATAATACTTGATAATTGTGTGAACTAAGTAAGCTCTTTGGAACCAACACTGTAAAATCCTATACATTGGTGCAGCTAAACCCAACCGAGCCGCACCTACAACCGAAATAGAACACAGCTAAATTGTTTAGTGTTTAGAGTATATTTGAAAACGAATCGATTTATATATATTTACAAAAATATATATAATGCGAACGGCGAAATTGTAATAAGCAAGAGATAGAGTGCAGCACACGCTTCGATTTTTAATTTTACAAATATTATTATTGTGGTTATATATGTATATAATTATATTATAAATAATTGAAGCAAAACGAAAAAATAAAAAAATTATATGTAATCGAATTATGTATCTTCCATCTGGAATACAGAGTTTCTCTAGTCTAAAAGACATCCGTGGTGTAAACGCTCCTCTGCCGGGGCAGGGGAGCTCCCTGTTGGCGGGACATTTTCGAATGCAACTCCCGCAGACCCTCGCACTGCCGTCCAGAAATCTGTCTAAACTTATCGATGGCGATGGGCAGCAGATTATCCACCAGGAATATTTTATTTTTCATCACAAAGTTCGGCTGGAAAAGGAGAGATTTCTTTAATAATCATAATATTTTTAAAAATCCAAGAGAACTTACATCCACAGCCATGTCTCTAGGGGGTTTGAGGGAATGCTGGGCAATGAACAACTCTTTCAAAAGTTTCTCCAGACTTTGTAGAAGGGTCTCGCACTTGGCCAAACAGCCACAGTAGTCGGTGAGCTGGAGGAAGTGCCGGATGAAAACCACTGTGGACTGTGTCAGGTTTATCCAAGTGTCACCGGTCGTTTGTGCTCTCACATCGATTCCCAATACATCGAGCTCCAAGAGCAATCGTCTCAGATTAGACTTGGTTTGCAAGTTGTACGGCAGCCAGCTTTCCTCGGTACGTCCCACCGAGTCCAGTAGGCGCTCCTTGGACTCCTCGATTAGAGATTCAAGGGTGGTGCGCAGTAGCCCCTCCAAGTGGTAGCTTATGTCCAATCCGATTTCTGTGAGCTTTGTAGAGGGCTTGCGCACCCTTTCCACACACTTGGCCACTGTCTCCAGAGAAGTGCCTTTGGTCAGGTAGTGTTTAATCAGCTGGCTGGCAAAGTACTGCAGCTCTGCATTGCACCAAACCACTAAGCCTGTAAGATGGAACCATAATGCTTATGCTTTTAGAAGAATATTTCATATACTTACTACTAACACATGCCGGTTGCTGCTCGAAGGCGGTGAGAAAATCGCAGGCCACCTGCGTTAGATCGCAAAAGAACAGTTCAGATATATCCGCATTGTTCCTCCGAGCCTCTCGTTGCGCCACTCGTAGACTGACAGTGCACACCTTTAAAAGTGTAGCGCTTGCTTGCCGATAACGTCCCATTTCAACGAGGATCTTCAGTGGTCTCTTGGCTGCCCTTAGGGCTATTTGCAAGTTGCGGTTGTGGCTATTCGAAAGTTCCTTCAACAGCACATTGATGAGCTTCTGTTCCTGCTGCTTAACCTTGGTTTCAATGGCGTCTGCTTGGTGGATCTTCTTGCGATTATCGCTTCGCATAAACTCTTGAGTGCGCTTGATCAGCTCTTGGGCATCCTCGAAGTGCCTCTGGGCAGCTAGGGTTTGAATCTCCTCGCTTGCTGTGCTCAGCCATTCAGGTGTCTCGGCCTCCAGGGACTTTGGCTCCGTCGGACTTTGCGGTGATTGCTCTTTTTCCACAGTATCGGCTTTTGACGGCTGTTTGGTTCTTGTCGGTGGCTGTGGAGCTTGACCCTTTTTCGGTTTCTTTTGCTGGTCAAAGCGAAAAGCCTCCTCCAGTTTCTCAATCCATTCTGATTTACCGCCTGCCGTGATGCTTTGATAAATCTTGGAGCCATCAGGAGTAATAATATTGATTGCATTCTTCACTCCATCCAAATCCTTGATGTTGATTACGGCAATTTTCTTGGGATCGTACTCGGTGAGGAAGTCTAAGCGTCTAAAAGATTTTAAAATCATATTAAGAATCCTACAACAATTTAATCCCACTTAACATACTTGTCGTGCTTCACTTTGCAAACAATTAGGACATCGTTAAACAGGAAAAAGAACACTCGCTGAATGGGCCTATAATCATTGCTATCCAATTCGATCAAAGCCCCCTCGTTGAGAAAAGTCTTTCCCTCCAGATTTCCGTTGAATCCCTGCACCATTTCCTTCACCGCCCTCGTGGCATGGCTGTTTTCCACATCCTCGGCAGCAGTGGTGTTCTCCGCCTCCACACTGTCGGCTTTCAGGTGACTGGAGCTCTTCCCATCGGTCATGGTGGCCAGAATGTTGCGCTGTTCAATAAGAATATGCGACAACTGATACATTTCCGACTCGAGATCTAGAAATTTATATTAAGAGTTAGTGATTGATTTATGCTGAAGTATTTTTACAGCTTACGAGATATCTCTTTGGCCGTTTGGATGAACTCCATGTAGTTCTTTTTGCATGTTTGCTTGAGAGTAGCCGCTGTTTGCTCATTGTAAGCCTCGATTTCTTTTTTTCGCTGTTGCAAATCGCTGCCACCCACGCATTCTCGTGTCAGTTCTTTAGTATCTGCAACACATATTAAAGCTTTAGCAGGCAAGCAAACCTCATCAAACTCATAAAACTTACATTTTTCAACGCTAAAATTAAAATCGTCAAACTCTTTCATGTTGGAAAACAAGCAGCAGCTGACGCAATGCCATTCACAATGGACGGCATATCATGGGCGTATTCAATAGAACTTTTATTTGTAAAAAATATATGAAAATATTTGTATTTAAAGGTTGAAAGTGAATCTTTATAAATGCATTATATTTATTTTAACTATTTAAACAAATTTAATAAATAAAAACCAATATCAATCATATGCAGTGCTTCTTCTTCTTCTTTATCCATTCCCCGCGAAACGTATACACGCATTAACCACCTTACAAACTTGACACCGTGGGACGTTTGTTTTCTTGTGTTGGATGAGTAATCTTTGATTAACTCCGTCATTCCTTGCCTTACCCAGTCGTAATTAGAAATAAGTTAAGAAAAACGCAACAAAATGGACTGGCTTTTCGGGAAAAGGATCAGCCCAGATGAGATGCTGCGCAAGAACCAGCGGGCGCTGAACAAGGCGATGCGGGACTTGGACCGGGAGCGGATGAAAATGGAGCAGCAAGAGAAGAAAATCATTGCCGACATAAAAAAGATGGCCAAGGAGGGGCAGATGGACGCGGTGAAGATCATGGCCAAGGATCTGGTTCGGACGCGCCGCTATGCCAAGAAGTTCATGCTGATGAAGGCCAACATCCAAGCCGTGTCGCTCAAAATACAAACTCTGAAATCCCAGAACACAATGGCGCAGGCCATGAAGGGTAGGGGCATCTATCAGCTGATTCAGTAGCTTATCGTCTTAATTTTCAAATCTTTGCAGGTGTCACTAAAGCCATGCAGAATATGAACCGCCAGCTGAATCTCCCACAAATCCAGAAGATCCTTCAGGACTTTGAGAAGCAGTCCGAGATGATGGACATGAAGGAGGAGATGATCAACGACGTCATCGACGACGCCATGGAAGATGAGGGCGATGAGGAGGAGACGGACGCTGTAGTATCTCAGGTACTCGACGAACTGGGTCTCCAGTTGGGCGAACAACTGGGCGACCTTCCCACCGCATCAGGATCACTCTCCATAGCCGGAGGGGCTGGGGCCCAAAAAGCTCAAGCTGCCGTGGTCGCGGGTGGCGGTGGTGCAGCTGGAGGAGGTGGTGGCGGAGGGGCAGCCGGAGGTGCTGGAGCGGCAGGGGGCAGTGGCGCTTCTTCGCCCATGTCGGATGCTGATGCGGATCTGCAGGCGCGCCTGGACAAGCTACGCAAGGATTGAAGCCTACACCACTGTAACTGCCTCCCCTTTTTGCTATAAGAACCCGATTTGTATCTCCTACAAAAGCGAATGTAATTAAATCAAGAAGCTTGTTTCGTATCGAGCGTGTTCGAAAAATCGATTGTGAACCGAAATGGAAACCAACAAGGCAATTTCATCTTTATAGAAAGCTATTTGATGTTCAAGAGCAATCTAACATTTTCGTTTGCAAATATATATTTTTATTTTATTTTTAAACTTTTTATTTATTTGTTTATTAATAGACAGAATAGAGTTGTGAAAAATGGTATAAATTATCTTCTTATAAAGTTTCCTAAAACAAAGCTATTGAGAGAATTTTCGTCATTGGTTTCGAAGCATTTATTTTATCTACACTTTAAAATATCCAATGGATGTCTGCCACTAACCTCAGGTGTTTAAAACAAGTGCTGCCTCTCCCACTATTGATTACTCGTAATTAGCATTAACAAGCGTATATATGTGTATTTCTGAGGGGTGTAGGAAATTCAAGATAACACTGCACACAGAACCAGATAGGAAATGTAATGTCTAGAAGCCGCTGGCCACAAACACGCGTTCCACATCGCCGAAGACCGCATCCGCTTCAGGACTTGCGTCGATCTTCTTCACCTGGCCGGCGCCTTCGAAGAACTTGATGATCGGTAATGAGTCGTTATTGTAGGTGGAAATGCGCTTTTTCAGACTCTCCATGTTGTCGTCCGACCGACCGGAACCACTTTGGCCACGTCCCAAGCATCGCTGGACGCACACGTCCTCGCCGCAATCGAAAAATAGCACAAACTGCATGTCCACTTTGTCGGACATCTGGCGGTTCCAGCCGTCCAGATTGTCTTGATTCCTGGGGAATCCATCAATGAGGAACTTTGACTTTCCAGACGCCTTCATGGCGTTTTCCAGCAGCGAACATGTGACCTCCACGGGCACGATCTTGCCATTTCTGATGTAATCCTCAATTAGCGTGCCAAACTCGGAGCCTTCGCGGGATCGCTCCTCCCGCAGCAAATCTCCGGCGGAGAGATGCGTGAACTGGAAGCGGTCTACAATCTTTGAACACTGCGTCCCTTTTCCGGCGCCAGGTCCGCCGAGCACAAAAACAACCTTTGGCTTTTCGGAACTCATATTATATGATGCGGTTGAAAACGTGGAGGGGGCCGGGGCGGAAAGGTACTTCTTGCAAAAACGGCTTCCGATGGAATGTCGCAATACCTGCTGATTCAGCGTTAGTAGTTGTAATCCTGGTGGTGGTGGTGGTCCACAATCGAAGAGTGTCTTTGCCGTTCGCGCGAAAGCCCGCCACATTGGCCGAAGAGAGAATGTGAGTTGGGTGATGTGTATGTGCTTGAAACACCTCAGCAGAAATGCTCTGTGACGTCAGGCACAAGCGCAGCTGTTCATACAACAACATTAACCAACACTGCAGAGTTTTAACCCTCTAAGTGACACAAAATTTTCTAATTCAAAGAAGTTTGAGTAATTTTAAATTAATAGTAATAAAAACTAGAAAAATGGATTTACCCGATGGAAATACATTTTTGACTTTTTTAAACTTTTAATACTAGCAAAAATGGTTGTCTTAAAATACCAACTAAAATCATTTTAGAAAGTTTAATTTTTTTATATTTTTGTTTATTGATTACCTATTATATTAGTTGTGCCTGATTATTCTGTATCAAGTCAGCAACTAGTTGATACGGAATAATATGCTGGGACCCAGCCGCCATGTCCACCTCCTCGTCATCAACACCCACGATCACAGCCGGAACTAAAATAGTACCAAAATATATGTAGCAATTCATAAAGAAAATTAAAATTTAGTTAATTACCCGCCACGTTAGCCTTCAGGAAGACATGGCTCATAAGGTTGGGTGTTACGATTCTCAGCTCAGCCTCTCCGCGCTGTTGATTGGGCATATACTGGGTCGCCACCTTGTGAAAGTACTCGTCAACATGTCCGGCAAAGTCCTGTGCGAATTTAGTTTCTTCGGGGGACAGTCTCTTCTCGTCCGGATCACGTGCTTCCTCCTGGTTCAAAATATGCTGGGTGAAGGTCTCGATCTTCTGTAGCCGGCACCGCAAATAGCTAGCCATAATATAGCGGACGCGCTCCAGCTCCATCCCATGGACCACCGCACGAAAATCATTCTTGTCCAGGTCGCGCATCTGCTCCTCCATGTGGGCCACTTGCGATACCATTAACTCCAGCATGTCCACTTGACTAGGCAGGATCTCGGGGGCGCACATTTCATTGATCCAGGCTGTTTCGAGAATTTCCAGGACCTGAAAACAACAGGTGATAAATTTTTTTTTATTTTAATTTATTTACTCACCTTTTGAGCTGTTATTTGTTCCATATCATCGTCGTCCTCTTCCTCTAACCCCGCTCCATCGCTTACATCGTTCTCCATCTGAGTTTCGGGTACATTTTCCTCATCCGACATGATATTAAATCCTTTTGTTTATTTTGCTAGTTTTTTTTTGGCGCAATACCATTTATTCGATGTGAATGCGCAAAGTGTGAATGGCATCGGTGTTGTTGATGTACTTATGTCACTTTCCAACACTGTAACAGCACATGCGATGGCAACTGCACAACAAACCGAATTCCAAAAGAATTTTCGCCTGATTGTTGAAAAGATTTTCAACCACTGGCAGAATCTGCGGCTAGCAGTGGAGCATGGCATGGGTGGACGCAATGGCCAACAGGTGACATCCTTGTTTCACTCAAAAAACGCGATAATCTAACCTTTCTTTTCGACAATGCCAGGTGGCCATTGAAATCATGGACTACACATATCAATATTGTGTAGGAAACGATAACATCACCCAGGGTGAACTGCAGGAGGTCCTGGAGGAACTAATGGACCAGGAGTTCAACACGCTATGCGACGATAACTCGATCCCTGAGATCTGTCGTAATCTGTTGCGCTACAAACAGCTGTCCCTGCAGAATCAGTATCCGCTGATTGAGGCTGAGCTAAGCAAACTTCCCGCCGGAAAGGAGTGGCTGCGCCCGGATGTAAAGATCGCCTACACTCCCATCGACGGAGACTCGTCATCCGACGAGGATATGGATGATGATGATGATGAGGATACTGGAATGGAGGAGGTCGACGAGGAGGCTCCCACAACAAGCGGCAGAGTGACCCGCTCACAAACGCGAAAACAAAAGGCTGAAGATTTCGTGGAACCAGAAGAAGGCTGGACCACTGTGCGCAGAAAATAAATATGGTGTAAATAAGAAATAAACCTTGTTACTTTTTTAGTTGTAATATGCTGTATTTACTTCCTGGAGATCCAGGAAACGAAGTGGTGCGATGGGTGTTCGTGTTATGGACTGGTGTGTTGTCTGGCAAAGATTGCAATTAACTGGGTCAGCCACTTTTTGTTTATATGATGAGTTTTTTCCATGATTTAGCTGATCCCAGGAGCTGAAAGCTGTTCCTTTCGGCAGGACCAATTTGGGATCCACCACAGATGAAACCGAATCCACATTTACTGTCATCGATAGATTGATGGCTGGATAAATGAGGAAAGCGAAGAACCAAGCGAACACTATCACTAAAAATGGTACAAAAACAGCGAAATACTTATCCGGCAGATACGAGTGCAGGCCGAATTCGATGGGTATAAAAGCCCACGCTACATAAACGAAAAACAACACCGTAAATAACATGTAGAAGGCAAATCCGTACACCGCTCTATGCGGAGTCGGTGCTGGACTGTGTTCCGGCATCTCCGCTGTTCTCTGGAACTGTGGGTTCCCCGAAGTGCTTAATCGTGTCCTGACAGAGAAGCAGGCTCTCGAAGAAGGATGTGATGGCCGTGCGGAGGTTTTTTACTTGGTCAGCTTCGAAATGCACCACCAGGACGTCGTTATCCAAGCTGAGGGTTTTTTGTACGAAATTCCGGCGTGGTTCCTGGTCGACACTTAGCACCTTGTAAGCGATTTCGGCGAGGTGTGGCGTTTCGAACGGCACTCTTATTGTGCTGTACGTTGGTGGGATACACGTCATTTAGAACTTATTTTCAATTTATTATAAAACTTACGATTCGTTTGGTTTATTCGCAATTTTTGGCATCATAGAAATAATGTTGGTCGAAAGCAGTCTTTAATGTTAACTAAAAATCGGAATGGCTTTATAAGAAGAAGCACGTGCGGCTTGTTTATCTCATCAGCTGTTTACAAGAACAACGTTTTCCTACCTTTTTTTAAAAAAAAAATATGTAATTTTTTTAAACTTTAAAGTATCAATATATTTAACAAATATATATTTTCTTTTTTTATGTAACTGCAAAATATATTTATATTAAATGCTTATTTCATAGACATTTCGTTAAATATATCCCAATCGCGAATATCACAATAAGAAAAAGGTAACCGTTTAGTTTTGTTTGTCTAGTTTGCAGTTTATTTTACAATGAAGCTTTGCCCATTAGCTTGGTGGGTTACGTAGATGTTTCATCTCACTTCTTGGTCTTGATGGGTCCCTTAGGGGCGGGCTTCTTTCCGGCGGCCTTGGCACCAGGTTTGCCAACGGTCTTACCAGCGGTCTTACCAGCGGTCTTGCCAGCAGTCTTGCCAGCAGGCTTCTTGGTAGCAGCCTTCACGGGCTTCTTCTCCACCTTCTTAACTGGCTTAACCAGGGTATCATGCTGGGTCTTCAGAGCCTTGACAATCTTCTGCTCCTCGAGGAGAAAAGCACGAACAATGCGCTCACGCAGGCATCCATGGCACAGGACACCTCCGTAGGTGCGGCTCACGGTCTTATGGCGCTTGGACAGACGCGGACGCTCGCTGGGGCGGGAAGGAGTGATGCCCTTAAGCTTTTCCTTGCACTGTCCGCAACGCGGCACAGTCTTATTCTTCTTGACGTACTGGTACACCAGACGGCCACCAGGAGTGCGAACACTAAAAGGTATGAATTATTAGTAAAGTTAAAGTAAAACGATATAGTTGAAAACTTACATGCGCCTCTTGTTGGAGCGGGTGTTGTAGGACAGACGTCGCCTCAAAGTCAAGCGTTGAACCATTTTGCCGCTGCAGATTCCGCACCAAAACAAAGCATTTCAATTGCCCGACCAGACAGGAGCGGGGATATTGGGGAAAAGATTATAATGTGATACGACCATTAGTACACGGTTAACGTTTTCCCGCATTATTTGAACCAATTAAACGCCTCTCAGAGTCGTCAGATCGATTTAATTACATGCGGAAGAATTTTTGTACGTACCTTAGCCGGAAACAAAAATCGAAAAGAAAGTGTGCTGGACAGTGTTACCAACTACCTATCGGAAGTTATAGCTGAACATGGCCAGAAAATAGCCAAAAAAAGGTAGGTTTTTCAAAAGACAATAAAAAAATATTAATTTTTAATAGTTTTCATTTAAATTGGATCAAATTTGGTTCTATCTGATATTTTTAAATATGAATGATATTAAGATTGTATAACGACTGTTTAAAAATAAAAAACCCAAGCAAATGAAGAAAAGCAATCTGGCTTCGTCTAGTGTTGATTAACAACCCGACGACCAGTGTTGCCCCTTCAAAAAAAATAATTCAGTCTTGAAAGGATTAACGGAAATATGTCCACAAGCCGGCCCCTAGTCACTGTTGTCCGGGCCGGACTTCATAATTACGCTGCGGGATTGAAGCTGCAGAATCGCCTGGCGAAGACCAATCAAAGCCTAGATGATTATGCGAAATTTCGTAACTACCTGGTGCTCCAAGAGCACGATCCCGTCTACACCATAGGAATACGGACAAAAGGATACACCGAGGCTGATGAGGAGAGGCTGCGAAAGCTGGGGGCCGACTTCCATCGGACGGACCGTGGTGGCTTGATAACATTTCATGGCCCTGGTCAGATAGTGGCCTATCCGATCCTTCACCTGCGTCAGTTCAATCTCACAATGCGCAACTATGTGGGCACGCTGGAGCGCATGGTAATCGAAACCTGCCAGAGACTTGGCATTCCAAACGCTAAGACAACCATGGATACGGGAATCTGGGTGGGTGACTATAAGATCTGCGCCATCGGCGTCCACGGTTCACGTTACGTCACTACGCATGGAATCGGTCTCAACTGCTGCACCGACCTTAAGTGGTTTGAACACATAGTGCCCTGTGGCATTGAGGGCAAGGGCGTTACTTCATTGAGTAAAGAACTGGCTCGGCACGTCAGCACCGAAGAGGCCAGTCGGACCCTTCTTAAAAGCTTTTCCCAAATATTTGACTGTCGCCTGGAGGAGCAGGCAGACTCCAGAGCGTGTGATACAATTTAGGATCCAATACGTGTGTATTTACAAGCCTACGAAGTTAATTAAAATATCTATTTATTAGTTAAATCTAGCCTTGTTCAACTCGCACTTCTTGGCGCGCCCGTCGGATGGAACTTTGCCACGCAGCTCCATCTCTGCTCTTCCCAGCTCTCGTTGCTCAGCCTTCCGCATTCGACGTTCTTTCCGCGATTCTACGGCACTGTTGAAATACCGATCTCTGAAGTCCTCTGACGGAGTCGCCACCGGGAGCTGCGTCGTTTCGGGTACACTGTACTGGCTGTGCTTTTCGTATGTTAGTAGCCGTCGCGATGTGTTGCCAGTTAATCTCTGTTCGGAGTTAGCCACTAGAGTCAGATTATTATGTTGCGGAACCATTTCTGGGTTATAGTCTTCGCGGTGGAATGGAAGCCAACAAACTAGGCGTCCACCTAGTCTCAAATGCTTTGCAGCGAACTCAAGCAAGTCGCCGTACAGACTCTGTAGCGAGTAGTGTGATGTTGATGGATAGTGCACCATGTCATCGGTCCTCGTGCTGTCTTTGCTATTCGCTTTCGTTTCCACCTTCTCGGTGGCTTCTCGAATTCCGTAGGGCGCTGAAATCAGTCAAATGGAGTTAAAGAGGATGCCAACAGCTGGACATTAATACCTACGGTCTGTGATGATACAGTCGAATGAGATGCGGGGATGCCACAACGGGTTGGAGAAGTCCGCCACCACCACATCCATGTAACGGTCAGCGCATCCGTACTGCTTCAGATTCGCACGAATGCTTTCATCCTTTTCGCGGATCTTTTGGCTTATCCGGCTGGGTCGGCAGCGGGCGTGCACCATCATGTAGTCTATGTCAGCTCCTAGGACATAGCCACCCCACTTGGCAGCGCTCACCAGCAACGATCCCGTGCCTACAAATGGGTCAAATACGAGATCGCCCTCCTTCACCATTGCCTGATTGGCCATCAACAGGCTAAGCTGCGCGTCCATACTGGTGTTTCCTATGAACTTTCTCTGCTTTAAGGACAATTCCTTGATCAAATGACGCTGTCCATGCGCCAGAAGACGGCCAAACAAGATATCCTCGGGCTCTGGCGGTACAGCAGTGGGGTCCAAGCCCCAGAACTCGATGTACCACCATTCCACGCTGGGATTTTTTAAGTTAACTGGTCCCTCTATGGGGAGGTAATCCATCGTCTCAATTTTCTCTATTTTTTCTCGCTGGCTGAAGTGTTTATTGTATGTCTCCACTGTGATTTTAAAGCTGGTATCAGGCCGAAAGTATGTCGCCAACTCATCCTTGTTTTCGTCAACATGGGCACGGAGACTTTCGTGAAACTGGGGAAACTTGTTGGAGTGCGCGTAGAGCTCGAAAATAGCGCGAAGGGCAATGGACCGGGAGGCGTAGAGCAAGGCTGTCTTCTCATCAGGGAACTCCACCAGCCAAAAGGGTTTCTATAAGCACAAGGCATGGTTATATTTGAAGAGAAGAGTCTGATTTTGACTTACCAGTGTCTGTTCGGTAACCGGCCGAAATTGAATTCCGAACATCTTAACGATTGACTGAAACTCGGATATTCGGAATTCGACATGCTCTTGGGCAAACCACAAGATGTACTTTCGCCACAACTTTGTCATTTTTTAATATTGTGGCTTAGTCAGCTTAAAATAAAAGAAAGATTAAATATTTTACTTTATTTCTACATTTTCATGTATCAACTTAAAAAGTATTTCGGATCCACACTTGTTATTGTTTGGACCCAATTTTAACCCAAAACTCACTTTAAAAAGGAATTAATCTTTTAATTTAATGAATTAATATTCTATTAAATAGGTTTTATTCAAGGATTATTCTTAAAATCCATAATTTGACTATTCCGCGTGTATTTGTTTACATTATATTCCAGGGATACCATAACATGGGATCGTGAGTCGATATCAACTATCGGCTGCTGACTCAGACTATCGATAGCCGCAACGTGCCGTCAACTCGGCCATTTTGCATAAATCTTGTAGGCCACACGTAGGCGAGCCGAAGATTTTAACAATTTTCAGCATCTCCAGGCCTCAAAACCGCCCAGACGTAGTAACAAAATCTGCATAAAGTGCCAGTTCATACTAATTAAACAAGTTCAACATGGCTCGTTACACGCAACGCCCGGAAAATGCCCTAAAAAGGGCCAATGGTAAGCCTACTGAAAATTTTCCATGCGGTGCCAAAGAGAACTGTCACTCTCTCTTTATCGGCGCGATGACGCTCTGAGCCACTCTCATCTCTCTTTGTTTGCCCCCAGAGTTCATCGAGGTGGGAAAGCCCCTTCGGGCGCTGGATACCCTCCAGGAAGTGTTCCGCAACAAGCGCTGGAACTATGCCTACTCGGAAACCGTCATCGAGCCCCTCATGTTCAAGTACCTGTACTTGTGCGTGGAGCTGAAGAAGTCCCACATTGCCAAGGAGGGACTTTTCCAGTACCGTAACATGTTCCAGCTGGTTAACGTAAACTCGCTGGAGAATGTTATCCGTGGCTATCTGAAGATGGCCGAGGAGCACACGGAGGCTGCCCAGGCGCAATCTTCCGCTGCCGTGGCTGTGCTTGAGCTGGACGATCTGGACAACATCGCGACGCCTGAGAGCATTTTGATGAGCGCTGTCTGTGGCGAGGATGCCCAGGACCGCTCGGACCGTACCATCTTGCTGCCGTGGGTGAAGTTCCTTTGGGAATCCTACTGTCAGTGCCTGGAGTTGCTTCGCGTTAACACCCATTGCGAGGCTCTGTACCACGATATTGCTCGTATGGCGTTCCAGTTCTGCCTCAAGTACAACCGCAAGAGCGAGTTCCGACGCCTTTGCGACAAGCTGCGCAAGCATCTGGAGGACATCTGTAAGAGCAGTAACCAGACCACTGGCGTCTCGATCAACAAGGTTGAGACCCAACAGCTGTGCCTGGACACTAGGCTTTACCTTCTGGACTCTGCCATTCAAATGGAACTCTGGCAGGAGGCTTATAAGGCCATCGAGGACATCCACGGCCTTATGGCCTTGTCCAAGAAGACGCCGGTGCCCAAAACCATGGCCAACTATTACCAAAAACTGGCCATGGTCTTCAGCAAGGCTGGTAACCAGTTGTTCCACGCGGCCGCTCTTCTGAAGCTCTTCCAGCTGACTCGCGAGCTGAAAAAGAACCTGACGAAGGATGATCTGCAGCGCATGGCTGCTCACGTCCTTTTGGCTACTCTTTCTATTCCATTGCCATCGGCCCATCCCGAATTTGATCGTTTCATCGAGGCTGACAAGAGCCCTCTGGAGAAGGCGCAGAAGCTGGCAGTGCTTTTGGGATTGCCCCAGCCGCCCACTCGAGTCTCTTTGCTTCGCGAAGTGGTAAGTGGTATGAAAATCCCAAGCTCGCCCGGATAATCACGTTCATTATTTTAGGTGCGATTGAATGTTCCCCAACTCGTGTCCGAGGACTTCCGCAACCTGTACAACTGGTTGGAAATCGATTTCAACCCCCTCAATCTCTGCAAGCGGATCCAGTCTATCGTGGACATCATCGAGGGAGGACCGGCAGAGAGCAACCTGCTTACTCCCTACATTCAGTCGCTGAAGGACGTGACCATCATGCGTCTCATCCGCCAGATATCGCAGGTGTACGAGAGCATTGAGTTCAAGCGGCTGTTGGAGCTGGCATCGTTCTGCAACATCTTCGAGCTGGAGAAGCTGCTGGTTGAGTCTGTGCGCCACAACGACATGCAGATTCGCATCGACCACCAGAAAAACAGCATCTACTTCGGTACCGATCTGACCGAGAGCCAGCGCGAATACCGCCCCGATGGTCCTTCTTTGCAGTCCATGCCCTCTGAGCAGATTCGCTCCCAGCTCGTCAACATGTCCACCGTGTTGACCCGAGCTGTGTCCATCGTGTACCCGAACCGGGAACGCGACCAGCGTGCCAAGCTCCGCACTCAAATGGTGCACCACTACCATGAGATCAAGGATCGTGAGCACCAGCGCATCCTTCAGCGCCAGAAGATCATTGAGGATCGCAAAGAGTACATTGAAAAGCAGAACAATGCTCGTGAAGAGGAGGAGGCGCGTCGTCAAGAGGAAGAGTCGCGCAAGGCCAAGCTGGCTGAGCAGAAGCGGCTGGAGCAGGAGCAGGAGGAGCGTGAGAGGAAGCGCCACCAAAACGAAATCCAAGCCATTCGTGAGAAGAGCCTCAAGGAGAAGGTGCAGCAGATCTCGCAGACGGCCCATGGAAAGAAAATGCTCTCTAAGCTGGACGAGGAAGGTATCAAGAAACTGGATGCCGAGCAGATCGCCAAGCGGGAGAACGAAGAACTGCAGCGCGAGGCCAAGGAACTGCAGTCCAAATTGAAGAGCCAGGAGAAGAAGGTTGACTACTTCGAGCGCGCCAAGCGCTTGGAGGAGATTCCCTTGTTCGAGAAGTACTTGGCTGAGAAACAAGTCAAGGACAAGGAGTTCTGGGAGGCCACTGAGAAGACACGCATCGAGAACGCCATAACTGAGCGCAAGGACGCTGTTAGCCAGCAGGAGCGCCTCAAGCGCATGTACCCAGACAGGGACGAGTTCCTCGACGCGCTTAAGAAGGAGCGTGCCTCCCTTTACGTGGAGAAGCTTAAGAAGTTCGAGATTGCCCTCGAGGCGGAGCGCAAGAAGCGTTTGGCCGATCGTATCGTGCGTCGTCGCGAGGAGCGCCGCCAGGCATTCCTTCGTGAAAAGGAGGAAGAGCGCCTCCGCAAGGAGGAGGAGATCCGATTGGCTCAGGCTGCTGAGGAACGCGCTGCCGCAGAGGCCAGGCGGTTGGAGCGTGAAGCCGAGGACGAGAAACGCCGCGCCCAATATGAGAAGCAGCGTGCCAAGGAGGAGGAAGCCGAGCGCAAGATCAAGGAGGACCGGGAGCGACTGGCCCGCGAGGTGGCAGTTGAACGCGAACGCAGTGAAAAAGAACGTGACACTTGGCGCCCTCGTGGTGGCGACCGCCCAAGCGCACCGGCTGGTGGAGCCGGAGAGTGGCGCCGTGGTGGTCCTGCAGCTGGCGAACGCAACGATCGTGGACCGGAGCGCAGCGAACGTGGAGGAGAACGTAATGAGCGTGGAGGAGACCGTACTGACCGCGGAGGAGAACGCATCGAACGTGGTGGAGAGCGGATCGAGCGTGGAGGTGACCGCGATCGCAAGGACGAAGGTGATTCCTCGTGGCGAGTACGAAGGGAACCAGACTCTCAGCGTGGTGCCGGACCCAAGGAAGCTGGTGGCGCTCCACCCTCAAGGGATGACAAGTGGCGTAGGGGTGGTGACCGCGAACGGGATCGTGACTTCCGCAATGACGGTCCTCGTCGCGATCGTGATGAGCGTGATGACCGTGACCGCGGTGGATTCCGCCGTAACGATGGACCCCGCCGCAATGATGAGCCCCAGCGCGAAGGTGGTGGCAATTGGCGCGATGCTCCACGTCAGAGTGATCGTGACAATCGTCGCCCTGGTGGCGAGCGACGCGACCGCGATGGGCGCGATGTTCGCGGCGATCAGCGTGGACCTGCGAAGGAAGCCGGCAGTGGTGGTGGCGGCGGCGGAAACTGGCGTACCGCTCCCGCCCCACGCGACGAGAAACCTGCAGCTAAACGTGAGCAGCCCCAGGACAAGGGTAAGAACATAAAGAAAAATAACAGGTGCATATAATCATGGAACCTTATTTCTTGCAGAAAACAAAGGCGGTGATGATGGCGAGTGGACTAGCGTAAAGCGCCGTTAAACATCTTATTATATAATTGGTGGCTAAAATGTAATGTCCGACATTTTTCGTACGCATATATACATATACAACACGTAAACAAGTTTTTCATTTTGTGCGATTTGTACTTTATCAGAATAGAGCTGTAGTTGGCTTAGTATATCACCAAATAATAGCTTGTGCCAGATAGTTGAAAATATATTGGCTGCTCATAAAAGTACTTTCGAATAAAATAATCCGTTTCTAAATAATAAATAGTATTATCAATATCATCTCTGAATTTACTATTTTGTCAACGAAAACTAAAACATTGGAAGGTAGAAACCAAATTTCTGATTAAACCTCTTTGTGGATAGCCTAGTTTCCTGGGAACTTGGTGAATCATTTTTGCTTAACTTTAGTATATAAAGTCCCTTACGAAGTAATTGGTGTGTAGTGGAGTAAGTAGTTCCCACATCGCCTCTAGTAGTAAACATGTGGGTTATGTGTTAGCTTCAAGTATTTATGTTTAAAAGCAAATATTTATATTCCCTTCACAAAAAATAAAGGAACAAAATGTATTTAATTTTCAATATTTATTTTCTCACAGTGTTGAGTCATAAGTAGTGTTACCATAATACCGCAGGAATTGGAAAAATAAATAGCTTTTTTTGTAGACTTGTTAGTCCTGTTTTGTTAGGACTTGTACTACAAGTCTTGAAGACTTGAAAAAAACATATATATCAAAAATTAAAATATAGATAGCTTTTTCAATGATATGGCTTTAAAGTTTCGGCTCTTTTTAAAAAACAGCTGGATCTGGCAATAAAACAGCTGAAATGGCAATCCTGGCCGCAAGTAAAGAAGCGTTAGGTCTACAATGATTTCAAAGAGCCTGGCTACACTAAAGCTACCTCTGCCGCGAAACTCCACGTGAACATGTTTTTGGCAGTGAGTGGATCCCAAACTTATGAGTGAAATTGAAGTTGATTCGCAGTGCATGGTCGAATTGTAGCCAATTAAATTGGTTTTCAAAGTGCGCGGTACTGAAAGTTGGCCAAAAGCGTGAATTTCGAAAGTGTGTTTGTGTAGGTGCTGCAGACGCGGCGCTCAACATGTGAGGTTAAAGCAGACGGACAAACAGACGGCGGCAACAAAGCTAAAAACAATTGTGATTGTCGCCCAATTCCACAAGAATTTATCCAGTGCTCGGCACCATATACGATTTTATAAGGTAATTGAGGCTGCCGACAGCAGTGGGAGACTGCTTTCACAGGTGGAGCGGGTGCTCCGCCATGGTTTCAAAATTCAAATGCATGCGAATCGGCTGAGAACCAGATTCGGATTTCGTCTGTGTCCAGTGGGGTTTCTTCCTGCGAAAAAGCTTTCCAAACAGAGTGTCGAGCGGATCTCGTGCGTGTGTGAAATGTGATAGTGAAGATTATCAGAAAGTATTGAATCAGATTGTTGTTAAGCATAAAAAGCACATGGCGTGGCGGCGGCATTTACCCACACACGTCCGTCTGCGCACACTCACACCTACACGTGGTTGTGGCCCAACACATGTGCGGTATGCTTCCTCCTCCACGAGTCGAGGTTTGTTATTGTTGTCAGCGAGTGATATTCATTATTAAAAATTATTTTTGGCTGATAGGCCTCTCCAACGCTAAGCTATTATCATCGAAGCAGGCAGAACATTTTTATTTAAATATTCTAATCGGACTGCAGGTTGCTTTCTCTTGCCAGCATGTGACAAGTGGTGCAACTGTCTATTTATATCTAAATATATACAGTTTCGAGTTAAAAAAAAAAAAAATCTAATGAGATGACTGAAGCTCAGCAGCTTATGAAAAATTTGATTAAATTTAAATAATAAACCCATACTCCTTATTCTGTCACAACGGCAACACTGGTGCCACGCTGCTTTTTGCCGCTCCCTTTTCGGGCTGCAATTGGATTCTGACTTCACCACCAGTGTTGCCAACTTGTTGACTGTTTGGCACTAAATTCAAAAACGTTGTTGGTTGCTTGCTTGCACTCTTTGGACGTTTATTTAAACTAAAATTAGTGAACATCTTTGTAAAAGGGCTGTGTGGAATGTTTTGGAATTAGGTCATGTGTTTCTTCGACTTCATCTGACGCCTTTCACGTGGTGATGCGAGCATACCATGCTTGCTACGCATCTTCTCCACGAGTTCTTCGCGGTTAGCGACCAAGTCATTCAGTTGCTGCTCCACCCTGTCCATAAACGGGTCTGGACAGTGGAGGTACGACTGGATCACGACGTTCCTAGCGGCCAGGTCGGCAAGCTGTTGTGCCAATTGCTCATCGGTGCCGGTCAGCATAAAGTATCCAGTGTTGCCGAACACTTTCGGCGGTTGAATCGGCGGCGCTTCTGGTGTGGTAGTGGTCGCATCCTTGGAGTCCTCTTCGGTTTGTAGTGTATCAGGTACCTCAACAAAGCCAGCACCCTGACCGGGATCTGAGCAGCTTTCCCGTGCCACTGGACGCTGCTCAGACCTAGGTCTTAACTCCAACGGCCCCCGATCTCCCTGCTTGGCTTTGTTGAGGACTGTGTTGATTTGTGCCTTGATTTGCTTGCAGATTTTGGTTACCAGGCTATCATTCAAAGAGGGCTTCACCTCTTGACCATCGTACCAATTTGTCTTTAGCACTTCAAGAGCCACGTTGTGGGACGTTGATGTTTCGGCAAGTTTCTTGAAAACAGGTGGGATTTGTTCCGGACCTTCAATGGAATATTGTTGACGCGACTCCTCAGCCGCTAGTCTTTGCCCCATTTTTGCCGATTTCATTCCTCGCTTATAGTCTCGCACCAGTTTCTTCAACTTCTTCTTGCCAAAGTAGCCCCTGATCTTATGCCGTGTCAACGGAGGTCCCATCGCATCGACAGCTGGGCCACCCTGGGATTGTTGCTGGGACGGCTCGTCATGTGTTGTGGTATTCTGAGCATCTTCATCCGAAGCCTTGGCATCCTCAACCGCATTCTGACCTCCAATACTGGCCAAGATATTCAGACGAGCTTCCTCTTCCGCCTTGCGCTTGGCTTCGGCGGCCTTACGCTGGCGTCTAGTCACTACCTTTTTTGGCATTTTTCAAATAATACTTACTTTTCAATAAATATTTATTTTTCGAAAAAATTTAAATTTATTTCAATTTACGATTCAAATTACGATTTTTACGAATTTTTTACTATTTAAACTTGTACCTTTACTGACCGACACTGAACCTCAACTGACTAGAGCCTAGATTTAGGATTTAACGAAAACTTGGGTATTGGAAATCTTGACAGTCAACTTAATGAAACGGCACCTTTGTTTTTAAAAAACTTGCAAGTAACCTATATAAATATTTTACAGATTCACAAAGCATTGAAAAGAAATGGATTCCCAACTGATGAACGTTTTCCATGAGGATCCTTTTGAAGGAAACTTCGTCAAATACGAGACAGAGCCAAACTTCTGGTCCCCCAACGATGAGTAAGTGCTTGTTACTTTCTAATCATCCAGATAGATGATTACAAAATTATCTTTCAGTCTGCAGCTGACGGACACGCTCAATGGCATTCTGCCCATCGCCCCCACAGACGAGTCGCTTCTCAATCACAGCCGCGAGGAGGATCTGCAGAACAGAAGGAATATGGTAGGTGTTTTGGGTCTCGAAATAATACGTGCGAAGAGGTTCTACTAGTGTCGTTTCCTTGCGTAGCTGATGTACAGTGAATTCGTTGAACAGCAGCTCAGCGACCAGAATGGCAGCCAGCTGAGTGCTCAGGTCTATCAGGCCATGGACGACAGCGAAGTCGATGTCTATGACCAGCAGCGTCAACTGAGCGCCATTGTGGAATATGATGTCATGGAATCGGAGGACGAGGATGCCCGGAGCCAGTGCAGCGTCTCCACGTTTAGGACTCGCACAGATAGCTCGTCGATTGGGGACTACGAGTCGCATTCCAGCGATTACGAGGACGAAGTGGACGACGACATTGTCGAAGATGACTGCAAGTCCAGTAAGGGAGGCCATACTGCCCCAATTCAGAGTTTCGAGGATCGCAAGAACCGAACTTTGAGCACCAACACCATCACCTCGGAAGTTGATGCCTTCGGGCTTAACATAGACGTTAATAATTTTGACTTAGCTGACTTTATAACCAAAGATGACTTCGCGGAGAACCTGAACGCGTGTCGCATGAAGCAGTCGACGGTTCCTAAGAAATCTGCTGTTCAGGCAAAAGCATTAGTTGCTTCATCTGCGCAACATTCGGCGTCAGTGACTACCATGTCGCTGGACTCCGATACCGAAGACGACTCCGATTCTATAATTGACGTGGAAACCATCGATGTTGTCGACGTTGACGAGTCCGTATGGGCTGACCAGGCCGCAACTGCTGGGGATGATTTGTGCTATACCGATAATGTCAAGGCTGACCCTTCATGGTGCCCTAAGGCTGCAAAGAAGCCCACGCCAATTGCAAAAGAGGTGAGTCCGATGAGGTTTTTAATGAAATAAGATCCAACAAAATTGTATATTTCAGTTGCAGCACAAATCCCCAGAAGTGGAACCTGCTGTTGCTCCAGCAGCACCTGTCACCAAACCGAAAACGGCAAATATTTGCTTGGTTCCCAGCAAGAAACAATGCGATTTTCTGAAGCGTAAAGTGGGAGTCACTACGACCACGTCCAAAGCAAGCAAGGCGGCGACAAAAAAAGTACAGGACGCTTTAAAATCGACAAGCACGAAGCCGGTGGTAAAGCCAGTTAAAGCTACAGGCCTCGGCTTGGGTGGAAAAAACTTGGCGCTGCTAAAGCAGCAAAGGGAAGGCGCTGCCTCTCAAGATGCGGTCAAGGAATCACCATCACCGGCACCTACAACCGTACTAATTCCGTTACCGGTGCCGGCTCCGGTCCCCAAGCGAAAGCTCAATCTAGAAGAGTACAAACAGCGCCGTTGTGGCGGCGATTCAATTCCCAAATCGAAACCTACTCCACCTAAGCAGCCGAAGCTGGACGCCGGCAGCAAAGTATTGCCGCCAGTGGCTATTGAGAAACCCTCACTACCTCCATCCCCCCAGAAGACAGCCATAGCGAAAATAGTGAATAGCCTGAAGTGCCCGAGCAAGGTGGCTGACGCCGTACCCATGGACCCAATTACTGTTGCCAAGAACAAGGTCCTGCGAATGCTCGAGATGAAGCGAGCCCAACAGCTGAAAATAATAGATTCTCGGGTTTCCGCAAAGGTGCCTCGCGTCACAAAGCTACCGCCACTCAAGGACATTGTCAAGGGCACCTATTGCATGGAAGTAGAGCCAGCCGATACCCCAATCACTGCGCCCAACAACAAACTCCACCCGGATTATGAGGAGATAATTATAGTATCGGTTGGTAGCAACACAGACATAACGATTCCACCGAACCAGATCAGTAAGGTATCGCCCCGTTCGCTCCTAAAATCATCTGTCCTCCTGTATAATATTTCGAATGGCCATGATGCTGCCACGAACATGAACAACTCTTTGCTGGCCAGCATACAGAGTGAGTTGGTGAAACAAACCGGCAGCACCATACTGCCCACCTTTGCATCGAAGCCCGATCCGGTCAAGAATCCGGTCGACAAGAATGCCCAGCACGGCGAGGATATGATCATAATGCACTTGCCCAAGGACCGTGTGCGCAAGACACTGGTCACCATGGAAACTCAAACGGACTTTCAACCGGAATTCCCCGTGTTGGCTCTGCCAAAGTCTGAACTAACTGCGCGAAAGTCCCGGGAGCGCGTTAAGAGAAAATATCGCAAACGGCGTAACGACACGGCTTCGGGCTCTTCCAGTGGGTCATCTTCGGATTGCAGTAGCCTGGACTCCTATAGGAGTCGGTCGCGTTCCAATTCCGTTGAAAGGCTGCGCAACTTGGAGGCCTCTGCCGTGGGTGAGGGAAGCAGTATTGGAAATTGTGGCTACTCCTCGCGCAGTACTCACCGTCATCGCAGTTCGGTTAGCTCGTCCTCGTATTCGGAGGCCGGAGAACGCAGGCAACGTCGTACCAGTTACAATAAACGGCGTGCTAAAAACCAGAAACCCAGCAAGTTTTCCAGCTCTGGCTCGGAGAACAGCGACCACGAAGGAGGTCGCGGTCTCAGTCCGCACAATAGTCTGCAACCAAAGTCTGATCCACGCTTCCCCAACGAAGTCTGCCAAAACAACAACAACAATCGACGTGGATTCATGGATCGCAACGTCTCACAGCCGGCTGTGGAGGAGCGGAGGATCGTCTATGTTGGGCGAATAGAACAAGAGACCACCAAAGAAATGTTACGCCGTAAATTTCTGCCATATGGAAGCATTAAGCAGATAACATTGCACTACAAGGAAAATGGGTAAGGATCAGAAGCAAGATCCAAGCTGAATAGTAGACCTTATATCATTTGTAATCCTTTTCAGAATGAAGTACGGCTTTGTGACGTACGAAAAGGCGCAGGACGCTTTCACAGCCATTGACACAAGTCCTAGAGACTCACAAATCAACATGTATGACATTAGCTTCGGAGGGCGACGTGCATTTTGTCGCGCCACCTATGCTGATTTGGGTGAGGAACTATATCATTACGCCTTGGCCCGCTCTATAGCTTAATATATTATTTCAGATAATGCTGGTATCAACACTTACGACTCTTATGTGTACCCAAAGGAGGCACCGGCTCCGAAAGTTCGGGAGGACTCGTTTGAGGCTCTCTTGTTGAGTGTTAAAGCTAAGCTGAACTCTGGAAAGGCTGCCACACCTGCCCCTGCGGAGGCCCAACCAGTTGCACCATTTGTACCTCAGGACGAGCATCGCATGTGACATTTTTGCAAAAACATAAATGTTGTTTTTAACTTATTTCTGAGAGGGTGAAGTTAGTGGCGAGCACCCTACCAACGTTTATACAAATCGAACTGTATGTTCCCCAAAGTTGCTAGCTGTACAGTTTAAAAGCCTGATTATTATTCATAATTTATCGTAAAATAGTTGACAGAGCTATGCATTGCAAGCAATAGAGCAAGCATGCAGTTGCAATATTCGGTAGAACCCTAAATGGAAGCTAAAAACAAAACAAGAACTTGAAAAGAAAATGGAATTGTGATAACCGCGTAATGCATACAAGTCAAATATTGCATGTAAGTTAGCAGATCCATAGATTCATAGATCCATAGACATAGTTGAATCCACTCAAAAAAGCTTTGTAACAGTCTATCTAACAAGCCAATGGAACTGAATTTAAAATAACACAAAGAATAAGTTGAAGCCACAACTACTAAAATACAAACACACAAAAACAAAGTAACATGAAAAGAAGTAACAAACGAAACAAATGCAAGATGTAAATTTAAATTATCCCACAAAATCGTAGTATATATTTTTGAGAGAGTAAGAAAGTCGCATGCAGCATGCGCCGGCCACGAATTAAACTGTTGATAATTAAACTTTGATATTAGTTTGTAAACAGAATTTATATACGTACGTTTATTTACTCGGTACCCTTTGAACAACATCCAAAAATGCCAGAAGAAATGCTGCCCCCATCCTCTAGCTACTTTTTAAAATTTCCCCTCAAAATATTTGCCAACAATCAATAATTTTGAATTATTTTTTTCCTGAAGAAGTTAAAACCCTAGGTTAGAGGGAACAAAATTGTTTTTCTACTTGTTTATCAAAATACCTACATTTAGTTTTCCTTTTGTCATAGTTAATTTAGTTGGAACTAATTAAAAAGTAATAAGTTTAAACAAGGTAGTGTTTGTAACATGAAGTGCCGATGAACACGTTGAAAATTGCGACCTATTTGTATCCTAGACTCAACACATTGTATTTTTATTAGCAACAACAAATTGTTCTCTAAGTTCTTTTGTACTATTCTCCTATTTGATAATTTAATAAAAAAGTGTTTGCTTGTCTCAGCAATATGAATTTCAATCGACTTTTAAGAAATATTTATTTTATCATGCTTTAAGTCTCATCTGAAAACTTTCGAACAACACTTGTGGATCAAAATGTAGCTATAACCGAGTAAATTGTGTGACAATTAATTACATTGTGTTTATTGTAGCATATGTTGTTATTGTTCAACTGGTAAACAGGAAAACAAGTGAATTGCGTAGCCGCCCTGTAGGACCCACACAATGCTGGCCGAGAATGGATTGTATAAACAGGAATGGCGGCAGAATAGGGACAATGCGACTGTGGCACTGTTTGCAGATAACGAAACGGGGAAAACTAAAACGGAATTTCAAAAGCTGCATTGGATGCCTCAAGTTTGTGTGTCGATGTCGTTTCCCAGATATAAAGTGTCACCTGCAAGCTCCTTCAACTTGAACAGACAACGGGCGTCTTGAAAGAAGTTCTCAAGCACTCTCGATGAATTCTACGATTTCAAATCTCAACTTTTCCTATAAATAAAAGATGAAATTATATTCTATAACTTCATTACTTTGGTATTTTTTGGAAAATCACTTCAATTAAAATAATCAAAGCTGTTATAATGTTGTTCTTTTTCAAGAATGAGGTAAGAATTTAATTTTAAAACCGCCGCGATTTAACTTGGCACTTAAATCCTTTAAAGAGCTGTCCCATTTCTGGGTTCTCTCTTTTATGTTGGACTACGCCTGCGCCAGCCCTCCAATCATTTCTAGCCCCCGCCGATACTGATGCCAAATTGTGTTTTGGTTTCAGTTCTGTTTTGGCCATTTAGGAGTGCGGTTCGTTTCGCAAGTTCGAGGTAGGACTATTGACGAAGTTCGAGTCCTTTGAAGATGTACTAGTGTGTGACTTGTGGGTGTGTGTATGAGTGTTAGCGGTTGCGACGGTGACTACCAATTTCGGGTCTGTGTCAGTGGGTGAAGTATCTTCTGTAAACACGTGAAAAGGCACTCGATTTAATAAAAAAAACAATCCGCTTTTTTAAAACTCATCAGGATGACCAACACGGATATGTAGGCACACAGTATATAGCACTGATAAGGAAAGGTAAGACTACTCCAATTAAACACCCCTGTCAGTCACTGAAACATAAGAGTGATTTATGTTTTTGAAGCACCCATTTCGGTGGGAGGGTCCTGTGAAGAAATGGTCCATCAATCAAGCCAACACACTCCAAAGATGTTGCCGCCGAAAAGGTTTCTGAATATACATATGCTTGTGGGGCCTGACGAATGCCAGCCATTAGTTAAAAGTTGAATAAAAAGTGCGGCCGAGGCCGGAATGCTTCCTGGTATTCATGACCTACGGCAGCTTATGGCAGCTGGGATGATTCTTGTATCCGCAGGAACCTGAAACATGAAATGAAAATGGAAAACTCATTTCCCGTCGCCAAGAAACGCAAATTGAATATGCTTCAGTCTGGACTGGCTTAGCCCTAAACAGGATATTGTTTTTCGGATACCTCCGACCAGACGGGAAATTAGCATTTTAGGCGGATTTATTTGGCGGCGGCCAAAAGGGGTCCTGATGGGACGCCTGGCTTTTGATGTCTGTCCATGCAAGCAAAAGCTGCCCACTTGGCATCGTTTGCTCCTGACAGCTCAATTAGGCCGCCCGAAAGGCAGATTACCTCCTGGTCCTGGCATTCAAATAGCCCAGCATCAGTCTCTGGGTCACAAAGGACATAAAGGCTTGGGGCCTCGGCTCCGCTCTGCTGCCACTGCCAGGTTACTAATCGAGAAATCATCCTGGCACGTGACCAGCTGTGGTCTGGAACCCATCTGTGCAATCGGTGCCGGTCAGCAGCAGGCACGGGCCATAAAACAACGCCACGTAGCGAAGTTTTATGACAAATATTTATATTGAATTTGATTGGTTTTTGTTTCCGATTTGCTGATAGAACACGGAATGCCATATAATACGAAGGCATTAAATGAAACGAAAACAATGGCATCAGTCTTCGTTTATTTCTTGGAACGTAAAGTGTTTAGTTCTTTTGTGTACATATGGTAGCCTACAGTAAGAGCACAAAAATCTTTAAGGTATCTTTAATGAGTGGTCTGCCCATTAAAGTATGCTACATATATGTATAATAAACCTCATATAGAGAAAGGTTTTTTTTGATCTCATCTTTTGTGGGTCAACTTACCGACTTCCTCCAATTAGCATGCAGCGGGTAACCCTGGAAGAAGCTCTGCCACACCACGACTCTCCCCTTTCCATATAATTATCAGGACTAATTATTCATTTCTGGTAGACTCTGAGATAAACGCGCTCTAATTAAAATCATGACAACCGAGAAGCACCAACTCCACATCCTCCTGACGTTGAAATTTCAAAGCAGATGTGTTTTTAGGTCTTTATATTACAAGTCAAGTTAATATTCTCTTTATTTCATAATAGAAATAAAAGTAATTTCAAGCCTTTCACTCTTAGTTTATTTTAAGCTTCCATAGTTTTAAAGATATTCCATTACTAATTGGGCTTTTCATTTGATAAGTTCATCAAAAATAACTACCAACTTTCTTGGCATACTTTAGGATGTAAGAGGTGTTCTTGTTTATTGACTTACCTGTCTACAAGCCTCCTTGAATCCTTCAAAATGTACGTATGTGGAAACGGTTTATGGCAAACAAAGACCATCCTAACCCTCTTAGGAAAGTGACGAGACGTAAATATAATTTTTTAGGATGTTTGCCTTTTGCCTTGACTTGGCAAAGGCCCCAGGGTTTTCACTGCTGACTTAACTTTCGAAAGTTTAAAATTGGATTGGGCAGAAGGTTTAACTTTCCCGATTTGACACTATTCGGAAATTTAAGCTTTGCGAACTTTTGAAATATTTAGTGGCGGAAAGTCGATTTGATTTGACTGTTATATTGCGAAGTTAAGTCAACAATGTTCTAATTCAAATGTATTTATTTATTTAATTCCGTAGCCCCATCAGGCAGCTTTTGACTTTCCCAGTACCCCTCATCCAGTACCTACCATGAATTCAATCAAGCGAAAAGCGAAAATATCAACAATAACCATGGGAGGATAGTGGCTAGGGGGGGTGAACGGAAAATGCCCAAAAAGGGCGAAACCTCCATTTCGAACACGTTAAGTCCACAAACAATAAATTCTGCCGTTGTTGGCCAGAAGCAAACAAACCCCTTTATGGCCATGGCTTCGGTGTTATTATGTTATCACCCACGGGCCGCATGGTGCTGAAGCTCGTTGATGGCTTTTAGGTGCTTGATGCTTGGAGCGAGGTGCCAATGCTTATCATAACATATGCAATAATAATCCATGCCAGATGTCCCGCAGCGGCAGCCGCAAAGGACGACATAAATTTTGATAATAAAGGCCAAATGGGGCCACAGAATTGGATGGCAGTGGCTCCTCTTCCCGCTGACCGACCGGCCGCCTTACCCTCGGCTTCTCTATTGCCCTTTGCTTCTGGTTGTTTCGATGGTTTATTGTTTTGTCCAATCCTAACGAGTGGGGGGAAGGAACCTGCCAGCCGGAGAACCCAGTGATTGGCATTTATGAGTCACGGCTGTCCGGGCTGACCAGCAGGCCCATTAGGGCCAATTATTGATGGTCGCCGTGCGGAAGTTGGCGGAATTTTCGAGCCAAAGTAACTAACTAGATTACTTTCCTGAAAGCTCTATACTTTTTTGTTATAAATTATATTGAAACCAAAAACTTATTTTTAACTTTATATGGCACGAGCTGAAAGGAAATCGAGTTAATGCAGAATGCAAGTTAATTGAATTATAAACGGTTCTGTAACTAAAAAGCCAGGATAGTTTCAAGGGGTGGTTCATATTCCTTTAAAAGCGGTATGAATTTTACCTTAATAAATATTAAAATCAACTACTCGAAGAGTATTATTTCTGTAGGATTCTTTATGAAATGGATGTATTTTTTCCCAAAAAAAGGTACGCAAGATTACTATAGCTATATATTTGTAGCTGAAAGTATATTTTAAAATAACTAAAATAAAGACCTTCCTTAAATAGCCCCACAACCAAAGTATAAGCCGATTTTGTAATTTTCCAAACAAAACCACAAAAATGTCAAATGATATGGAATATTTGCAGGCTTATTTGAAAGCTTTTAACAATACATGGGGCTTGGTTCGGTTATCTGGCTTAAATAAACTTTAAATATTTAATTTTCATTCTGATGGGTCTGAATTAAATATGCCTGTCGCAGAGAAGCCATTTGTCGATCCACACACACGCGCACACACTAAATTAAAATGTAATTTGATGGAACAAATGAAATAATTCATTTACATATGTGAACAGACGCAATAATTGCGCATCCGCCAGGTCTCCCTAGCCAATAGTGCGAGGCTATAATGCAATTACCAGAGTTTCGAGAAACCAAAAAATGTAATTAACGTTTGTTCGAGTTTAGTGAAGCGCTGCTGCTGTGGCAAACCACAACGAAAAGGCGTTGCAAAAACGGTTGAAAGACAGCCTGAACTTTTCGCAAATTACCTCTGGTGGCAACTAGGCTTCGAAGTTGCTACGTACGGGTCGGGGTTGAAACCCACCGACGAGGTGGGAGGAGATGGGTACCTCTGACATCCTTTTAACGTTGAATACACATATGCCGTAGGACTGTGACTATGTATGACAAAGTTTCGGTTTTAGCGCTGGCCACAAATTTGCTCAGCACTGAGAAGATACTAACGGGAGTCCTTGTCCCAGCTCATGCATGCATAACTAATCCCCGGAATGTCCTGCAGCACTGAAAAGAAACCCTTTGCATACGCCCTGTACAAACGGCACTATTTTTTTTCTCAATCTTCGAAACACAGCATGGTAGTATTCATAGGGAAGACGTCTTTGGTCCACTTGTACTGCCCAGGAATATTTTTCCTGGGCCAAGGATCCTTGAAAGTTTGTCGCTTGGCTGGTGCTTGAAGGTCATTGGGATGCGTCCGGCGGATGGAGCCACCATTATTAATGTAAAACAATTAGTGTAATTGGAAAATA